TGAAGTAAAAAAAAATCTAATGGAAGCTGGTTCGTAAGTACGGATGTTCGTGAGTCGGATGTTTGTAAGTCGAGGACTTATGTACTATGGTTTACCCCTTTAAAAATAATTGGCCAAACTTTCCAATGCAGGACCCTTCTGAAAAAGACTCCGGCTAGCTTTGAGCTGGCACAATTGAGACGCTGAGTTTGAATAAACATTTCCTGAAATGAATTCGGCTTCTCAAGTGTACATTAATGTATAGTTTCAGCTTGGTCGCCAGTGACTTCCAGAGTATTCTTAATGTGGGTTTGATTGACATGCGGCAAACATTAAATTCAGGCCATTAAAAGGTGTGCCCCGAATATTGTATTTTTGTATGCATGTCGAACTTATTTCGCACCTTACGTAGCCAACCGTGCTAATCTGAGGTGTTGAACTTATTTCAGAAGTAATTATATGATTCCACCCTCGGACAGCGCGCTGTTCTGCGAGCCGCACAGTTGCATGGGACATATCTTTAAATCATGACTGAACGTTTTTATAAGAAAAGAAAATACGAAGGTCGGCGTGTTCCGTCCCAGAGGCTAGACATTAACAAAACCACGCTCTCCATGTTGTGTCCAGGTGTGAGCCAATGGCGCTTCACTCGTCTTTTGCCTCTAGACACTCTCCGCGACGGCACGGTGCGCTCTATCGCCTGGGGATGATAGACGATGGGTCCAGTAACACGGGTCTAATTGTTTCAAAGGGTAAATGAACAGTCGGAAGAAGGCTATTATTGTAACATGCAAATAAATTTCATCACTGAAATTATTGCACTACTGCCTTTTTTCCATCTCATGCTTACCAGTAGCATTTTCCAAGACGCCATATTGGATAATCAATGGTATCGTGAGCAAGATGTGGCCTCATCAGGCGATATAAAAGTAGAAGGCTTGGACTGGCTTCACCTCCGCTCAGTCCCATCAGCAAGGTGTGGTCTCGTATGCCAATGCCACTGACCATCCTGATAATGGGCGATAGAACATTGAGTGCCCTCGTTTGTCTTTGCAGCACTGTTTCATTATTGTAGGCTTAACGGGGGCAGATTAGAAATATCCCACGAAAAATTGGACCCAAAAAGTGCATAACTAGGTTAAATTAAATGAAAAGTTAAACAATGCCACCTAAATCAGAGGGACTCAATTTTGTTATATATATGTATAACCTAGACTTAAACCTTTCTTAACTGCAGGCATTCATATTCTATGGGTATTTCGGTAAAGCCACGTAGATAAATCACGTTCAACAGCACTGGACCAATTTTTCAATCACATCAATTCCATACACCCGTCCATCAAATTCACCATTGAAGGAGACAAATGATGGCAAGCTACCATTCCTGGATGTTTTGATCAAGAAGAGACCTGATGGCTCGTTGGGACATTCTGTCTACAGGAAAGCCACCCACACAGATTCCTATCTAAAGCCTGATTCCCACCACCATCCAGCCCAGAAGAACTCCCTCATCAAACATTACACCATAGGGCACGTTGCATCTCCTACCAGCCACACCTAGCCAGTGAGCTGGAGCACGTACACCAGCCCTCAAGATGAGTGGATATTCAAACCGCACAATCCGCAAAGCTATATCCCCATCTGAGGACCCAATCAAAACCATCACCTTGCCATACATAGCAGGTGTTACTAAGAAGATTTCCAAAATCTTGAACAAACACAAGATCCAGGTTCGATTCAACACAGTACAAAACATCCGTTATTTGATCCCATGTTTGAATGATGTGATTCCTGACATGCAATACCCTGGTGTCTACAAACTAAGTTGTGTCTGCGGTAGCAGTTACATCGGGGAAACGAAACAACATGTTTCGGACTGTGTTCGCGAACACAAGGCAGATTTGAAACACGGCAGAACCAATACCTCTGTCGTGGCTGATCACTGTTTTAACGCGGTGGGTTCACACGATATTGTTTTTTTTCCGAGACCAAGGTACTCTGCAAACCTTCGGGCTACCATCAAAGAATTGTCCATGAAGCCATCTAGAAATATAAACACAGACACAATTTCACAATACAATGGCCACCCCCACAGCTTCGTTTGTCAAGATTTACCTGTAAATTTACATGTAAATTTCATCTCTAGCCCCTCCCACTGACCCTTGGGCTACACCCATCCCAAACCTTTATAACTCCTTACCTTAGCAGCGCTCCCACCATATATTCTCAGCAGCTCTCCCGCGATATTTCTCACCTGATGACGAATGCTTGTGTTACGATCGAAACGTCGTGATATTGTTATTATTTTAAATTATTTGATCTATCTTCGTGGCATTACCGAAAGACCCAAAGAATATATATAAAACCTTATACTGTACTTTAGTAAGAGCAAATTTAATCTCTCTAGCCATGTTGCACGGTGCCGGCATTGTCATACATAAGTATATATCATACATATATGAGATGACTGATACAAGGCGAATCATTAACACGCATACAACTCCGATCAAAGTCAATGCTAGAATATGTTGCTTGGTGAATCGCAGCTTAAAGATCTGAACAGCATAACCCAAGTTCTACAGCCACGCGACAATGGCTTGAGGCGAAGCCGAGTGACTTGCTGCCATGCCTCCTCTGAATTTGCGAAGTTGGCAGTGGGTCTCCATGTGCTCGACGGTTCGGTCAGGGTCTCTGCAGTTCCAGTTCGGACTTCCTTTGATTTGCTACTCATGAAGGGCGGTAACATGGTCCAGTGGCAAGAGTCTCAAGGCGGTACGGGCACGGGATTACAGTACGGTAGGGGATTTTTGGGTTCTTAAGTCCGGTATTTTTTGGTTCTTAAGTCCGGTATTTTCCTTCGTGACCTTTTCGTACTATGTTGGTACTAATTCGGATCATCGATTATTTAGTAGCTCAGCTTCTTTTTTCTGATCATCATTCTACTCTCTTGTCTTTAAAGGTGCTACAATCATTTTAACACGTAAGTTTTATATAAAATTAAACGGCAGGCAAGATTCAAGTCTCAAAATGGCACTTACCATTGATAACGGGTGTGAATTTTAAGCGTTCTAAACAAAGGTAATATTTCGAATTTAGGCAATTTTGGATTTAAATGTTTCGTGTAAATTCGAGCAAAAAAAATCAAACATGTTTACAGCAGATTTTTGTTTTCTTTAAAGAGCTTTCTACAGGAAAAATAAAGCAAAACGATAGACTATAAACTTGTCATCTAGCCCTTATTTTATGAGCTTGATTTTCTTAGGTACGATATAACGAACGAAATTATGGTATCAAATTTGACCATACTGTTACGATATGAAAATGTTTTAACGGTACGATTCTTTTTTCAAAGGTATGGTCTGAAATTATGGTACTTTTTTACGTATTTCTTGTTGCCACCATTGCCTAGTGGTTGTGCGTTGCAGATTTTCATGGTTCGAACCCACTGTCCGCCCTGAATAATACTGTGGCGAATTAACCATTAAAATCGCCGTGAGTAGGCAATTGTGTACCAGCGTATATTTTTCAAATTAGCCACATTCTAAGGTAACACCCGAAAATTACTGAAATGCCAAAAGGAAACAAAAAAACTTGGCAGGACCATCATGCACAAGATTCATGAGATTCTGTTAAGCTTTCCTGCATGGGTAAAAAGCGTATGAACAAATATATTAATATGGAGGTGGTTACCTTATCCGGTGGTATGGATCGTTTCATTGAATCACGTGCTCCATTGTTTTCGCCAATGGTCAACACCAGGTGGCTCACTTGTGGGAACCGATATAAGATATTTGTTCAGAGTATTACAATTTATCCAAAGTTCAGAATTATTTTCCTTTAGGATAGATCGTGTAGGTACAATGCAGTGCTGTGTTACTATAACCCTCCACTACCCGACAGAGCCAACCAAATCAAGTTGTCACGTGGGCAAACATGTCTATTTACGTGGTTTTTCAGCAAACCGGAGAGTTGAAAAGCAGACATTTTTTTACGACGTTTCGCTGGCGATCACATCCAGTATCACTCCGTGTTAACAAAAGCTCAGGTCTTACCACATAGACGACTACTGGTGTAAATTATTTTTTTGAGAAGGGACTGAACGCCGAATGTTATCCTGTAGTCGATAGCTATACAAAAAAATATAACATTTTCATTTTTGAGTTACAGCCCAGAAGTCAATTGGATTCACTCTTAGGGCAGGCTCATCCCAAAGTTCTAAGCTGTTTTACATATTGTATTGTGCTAAAACATTTACAAACATACGATCACCACTATCATCAGACACGTTGCCTACCGTGTAAATGTGCCGCTAAAGTCAGTAAAAAGCGTATGATGTCTGATACACGCGCTGCTGTATGTATTTACCCGCGTGTAAATACATACAGCAGCGCGTGCAACGTGCGCACGCAAAGGGGCCGACACCTTCTGTAAGCAAGACACAATGGGTTGCCCGAGGGGAATGAGGTTATTCGTGGGGCTGTCTGTTCAAGCACAGCGTGCCGTCTAAAACAAATACAGTGGCCGGACTTCCCCGCCGGCGCCTCTGCCGCTCTCAATGCTGGCTGCATTGACGTTCTGACACATTAATGTTGAACTCCAGGAATCCAAAAAGTGCTCCCCCCCTCCCCCCCCCCCCCCCTTCATTCCCGGTCGACGCAACCAGTCGCAGGGATTCTACGAATTGTCAAGATTCAGGGTCTAAAATTCGATTCAAAAACCGAGTCTGGAAAGGAGCCACCGTTACTGACTGCAGAGTCAAGGATCGCAACACACCTGGAAGCACGATTGGAATTGGGTAGAACACAACGATAATTTGCCCTGTTTGGATTTGTCTAAAATCCCATCCAGTATTATTACAGACATGACCATTGTAATGTTCACTGGACTTATTTAAATTATTGCTTTAAATCAATGTATACTATTATTTTCGTTGTTGTTGTTAATGCATTGAAAGCCATTTATTTGAATTGTGCTTTGAGATGTTATTTGTCGATGGAAGGTTTAACGTCATACAGGGTTTACCAAACTCCAGTAATCGCGACCCACCACTAACGTCTTTCCGCATTTAGCAATTTAATCCTCCCTATTCAAACACTAATTAACTCGTGACGCGTGGCACGCGCCTGACGATTATTAAACACGTCCCAGGTGACGTACTGAGTGCGTGTCGTGTTATTTGATGCGGTCAGCTAACGGGCAGGTGAACCCACGGAGATCGAAACATGACCAGGTGATTATATCCGTCCGCCTAGGGCCACTCCACACGGGTCGCAAGGGACCGGGTTCCAGTTCCCTCCGCAATTCTGCTCCTAAAAAGCGCGGCTCCACCGCGACCACCGGCGCAAAGCCACTCGGACATCGGACACGAGGCCATAGCTCAACTCCCGCTCGTGCGTGCTGCACGGGTGAGTCATGGCAGCAACATCATCATCAACGGTGGCAGCGGTTGCAACAGAAACATTTCATTATCATCAAAAGCGGAATTTGTAAGCAGCAGCAATTTTCGGTATCAAAACAGCAGCAGTTATCATCATCAAAACAGCGGCATTTATCATCACCGTCATCAGCAGCAGCAAAAGTAGCAGTATTCATCATTGTCATCATCGCTATTTCACCACGAATTTTCATCTTTACCACCATTGTCGTCATAATTGGCATCCGCGCCACCAGTAGCAGCAGCTGAAACAGAAACACCATTTTTCGTTATCAGCAATATCATCCTTAAGCATTGCCATCAGCCAGGGTCAACTCCGTCTTTAGAAACACCAACACAACCATCAATATCGTTACGATTATTATATTCTTTGGGTCTTTCCGTAAAGTCACGTAGATATGTTCAAATTAATAAAAATAATATAGACAAAAAACTACGCCGTTTCGATCACAACACAAGCGATCGTCATCAGGTAAGATCTTATAGTTAAGTGTAGATCAAGATTTAACCGCCTCTACGGGGAGGGTTTCCACTACACTATAAGATATTTCCTGATGACTATCGCTTGTGGTGTGATCGAAACGTCGTAGTTTTATTGTTTATTTTATTAATTTTAACCTACCTACGTGACTTTGCCGAAAGACCCAAACGAATATGAATTCCTGCAGTCACGAAAGCTTTAAGTCGAGATCGTTACGATTTCCAACGTGAGCACGCCAATACCAAAAGCCCACGATCATGGCCGTTTGCTGGACACATTCATAGGTCATGATTTCATGCTTTTCCAGCCGCGTAGACGGCTTTGGCCCGCTGATGAGCGTTCAGATCTCAAAACCTGTCCAAGTTTATCGTATTACATAATGCGTCTTGCAAGAGTATGTACTTACTAATGTATGTGCTTGTGTTATTGCTTTTGTGGTTTGTCTTTGGTATAAGGCAATGTGGGTAGTGTAGTGGTTAGCGTACTGCGCTATTAAATCGAGTTTGATTCCTGCTCATAGCCAACACCGATGGCCATTATCTGAATTTGTCTTGGGCCTTGCCTAGGTCGACTCAGCCTCAAATTTGTAGCCGAGTGCGATGTGCTGGCCACCCCCTCGTGTGGACCGGTGCTGGCCTTCACGGGTGCTGCGAGCTAACAGCGCTTGCCCCAATAGTCTGGTAAGGCTACACGGGGGATCTTTGTGTTTTGGTACAGGGAATGTTTGCGTGCTCTGCAGGATCATCCACAATGGGCGGCACGCTGCTCTGGCTGTGCGCGTTGACTGCGGTGTCTTGGAAAGTCGTCTCGTCCCAGGACTCCGTCTGTAAGCGCCTCGCCCTCTCCGGGCACCAACCACCACGCTCACAGAATACGGGCAGCGCGTGGCGGCGCTGGGGATTAAACGCCACAAGTGAGGAGGAGGAGGAGGTTGAGGGGGGACACACAGCGAGAGCAATCTGGCTAGCGCAGTCTATTCAACGGAGCTTGTTCATTGTCAAGCGTGTCCATGAGTTGTATAGATGCACAGTCACTGGGCAAATTCGTACGTGCGACGTCATGGCAGCGCAGAAAACAGCAAGTTTCAATCAATGCACGAATATAATAGAGGTTCTTTTGGATTAGATGGCGTAAATATATAAATGTGTCGTTAAAACCCGCCACCACCCGACACAGCCAACTAGTAAGGGTTGTCACGTAGACAGAGCGTGGCCAATTCGTCACTAGTACAGCACACCGGTGTGTTGGAGAGCCAAGCCACAACATTTACAATCTGAGTACGACGTTTCGCCAGTAATTACAGCTAGCTTCATCAGGCGACAGCCAGATTTGTGGAGAAGTCCGCCTGTTTCGTTCCTTAAATAGAGGCGTAGATGTGGTGACCACGATTCTGCGCTCTTGTGCAATACAGTACGAATTGGCATGTTCTGTTTACGTGACAACCCTTACTAGTTGGCTGTGTCGGGTGGTGGCGGGTTTTGACGACACATTTATATATTTTACGCGATCTAACCCAAAAAAAAAACCAATTATGGATGATATTGGTCGCGAAAGCCGACGTGTTAATTCACAAATATTCTGGAAAGAGCACTCAAAAGTAAAAAAAATAATGCTTAACCGTTTTTTTTTCACCGCATCCTTATGTTGTTTGAAACTTATATTGTATTGGCAAGCAGTCTGTTACGTTTCGTAGTGATGAGTTGGGACAGCTTTTGGGTTCATGTTGAAGACGGGATCATTGCGTGCACGGGACACCAACCTGCTCATTCGCGAGGCAGTGGTGCAAGTTGGTTGTTGGCCTATCGGTACAGCCTTTAAAGTATTGTCCCCCCGCATGTGGGTACTGGCTGCGATTTCGACTACGTACACACAAAGGAATTGGTCAATATTCACAACGCAGCACCCTCCAGAACGAGCCTTGAGACTCGGTGAGGTGTTCCTCGGCAAACAAATACATTGATTTTTTTTATTTAAAGCTTTCGTGACTGCAGGGATTCATATTCTTGGTTCTTTCGGTAAAGTCACGTAGAAGGGAAACAATAAAATAATAAAAATATAAAGCAATAAAATTCTCACGACGTTTCGACTGCAACACAAGCAATCATCATCAGGTGTGAAAACCACAGCAACAACACTTTCTTTCGGAGATTTGAAACCATACTTCACCCATGCCCGGTAGATGAAGGTTAAGAGTAGAGCTGTAACCCATCGCCTGCCACGCTCACGATCCAAGGTTGCAAACTTGACCCAGGAATGTTTGTTTTATTACATCGTGGTAAATGTAGAAGCAGCTTCTAGTGGCCGCAGGGGTCACAAACACATTGCATACGACACGTCCATTGAAAAACGTGGATTTTAACACACGCAATTCCATGCATGTACCACAAACTTAAGAGTTGGCATTGATGAATCGATTAATCGTTGCACCCCTCATCGCAGAACCTCGCCTCCAACGAGCGCGATAGCGAGAACTCAACACTCGCCTTCTCCATGCCTCCCAAACCTCCGTGCAGATCACAACGTGGCACTGGGGTACGACGTCTCGAGTCAGACCACGAGCGCCGTAGTCACGGACGGGGACCAGCACACGTGCTTGCCGATTATCTGGCAGGCGACGAACATTCTGCAAGTGGATCTGGCCAACTCGATCGACGTGTACGCGGTGTCCATCCTGTATAACATGACCAGCATATTTTCCTTCAGTCACGTGGTCTCCATCCACGTGGGCGACACCCTCGACCAACTCGGGAGCAACAATCCCAAGTACCGTGCGCGAGAGGACTTTTACACCGCGACTCGTGGTCCCGAATATCTCGCGCAATTACAATTTAACTTCTTCTTTCGTATGGCTGATGTCGATGCAGAACAACAACTACAATCTAACAGTCAGGTGGTCAAGGCACAATTGAACTTCAACGTGTATAAAAAAAAAAATATTTTCCAAAACTTGACTCCGCTTATGCCCGTGGGCGTCAAGTCGTGACATGAGACGAGGTAACCATTTGGAGCTTTCACACAGCACATGCGACCACCGTGTTCGAGAACACAGTGGTCGCATGAGGTTCATTTCCAGTGACACATCTATCGGGAGCTTCAGACTGGGTATTAATGAATCGATCCACATCGACTAGGTCACATTTCAGGAAACTTTTTTTTCCTTCTCTGCGATGTAACAACTCACCCCCAGAGATTGATAATAATTCATGAGTCACCATCCGGGTCATGATGCAAGATGTTTAGGTTTTTATCGTTGTAGGGTTACTAATTACTGAAGGGGTCAGGTTAACCAATTGTATGTTGAACTTATTTCGCACGGACGGACGCAGCCAACCATGCTAATCGGAGGTACAAAATATGTTGATACTATGACATTGTTCAATGTAAGGTCCAAAAAAAATAGTATACGTAGGTTTTCACGACCAATATCATGATTCGCAAAATTCAAATTTATCCAAGGTTCATAATTAGTTTATTTTGGGTTAAATCGCCGTGTAGGTATAAGATAAAATTTTATTATAACCCTCTATTACCCGACAGGGCCAATCAAATAAAGTTGTCACGTGGGCAAACATGCCAATTGATTTTTTTTTGCAAAACCGGAGTGTTCAAAAGCAAGTAACATTTGTAACAATGTTATACAACGTTTCGCTGGAGATTACATCCAGCATTATCAGATGTTTACAGAAGTTCAGCTCTCGAAAAATAACATACGAGTAATAATTAATCATTAATTACGAAAGTTCTAAATAAATAGCCCTTCAACCATTAAATGAGTGCTTTACAAAACGTGTGTTCGGAGTACTTGACAGCATGGTAGCTCAATGACCGAACAATTTGTTTAGTTTAATGTGGTTTCAATCTTCACTTAAAGCTTTCGTGACTGCAGGATAAGTTACATTTTTATTTATTTAAAGACATACTACGACATCGACGTTTCGATCGCAAGACAAGCGGTCGTGTTTTACAGTTGTGTCTCTCCGCTTGTGCTGCGATCGAAACGTCGTCGTTTTTTGTTATTTTTTTACCTATCTCTTGTGTAACCATCAGAATGCGTGTTATAAGCAATAACGATTTAAAGGTGCAATGCTTGGTTTAAAAAAAATAACTAGTAAGTGATCTTCATTTGCACCGGAAGTAAAACATAGCGCAAAACAATACAATAAAAAAATGTGAAGTAGAATCATGTTTTGGGAAACTGATATCTTGATAAATGTCATACGAATGAATAAAAAATATATTGTACGCTTTTGCGAAAAATGATATCACAGCAAGCCTCTAGCATTCACCTCCAGGATCTACCCGCTGCCAAATGAAAGCCTCTGAAGTGGTTGCCCTCTCTTGTGCCCTCGAAGTCGGTTCCCTCCTTTGGCTGCCATTCTATCATTAGTCTCGACCATCAACAAAGTATATATGTCCTGCCCAAGCTAACTCACTTGTCTTCGTCAACATGACGCCTTCAATTTTGTATTTGTTCTTCAACCATTGTGATCCCATGAGTGAAATTCCAAGCATGCATGTTTCACTACGCTTCTTCTCTGTGCACTTTTCAGCGTTTGTTTTATTTTCTTTGTCAGTGGCCATGGTTCTGATCCTTGTGTCATCGCTGGCAAATTTGCAATGATTGAAAACTTTCTTCTTTTAGGTACGTTGGTATGCTAGTTTTCATGATCAAGTTTTTATTTTATTTTCCCAACAGCACACAAACCTGCTCTTGCTTGCCTGTTTATATCATCATTTTGATTCTGGACCACCTTCAATCATTGTCGTGTGTTTTACAGTTGTGTCTCTCCAAAAAAAAAGAATTTCGTTTTGCGAACTTGTTCTTACATGACCTTTTATTTTTTGTATTCATCTAGACTCTAATTCTGCAGCCTTCGTTGTTAAGTTTTACAATTCCGTCATTATAATAACTAATACAAATTAATTACATCTATTGATTGGATAACTTACAACATACACGAATTGAAAATTATTTAGTTTTACGCTTGTGATTCAACGAGTGTATGGCAAGTCATTTTAATCGGTGAACTGATGCGTTGTTAGGCACGATGTTTACATATTTTCGAATGTTACAGCAGACCTATGGAACTCTCAGAACCTCTTAGACCTAGATATCTCACAGAATCCACATGCTCTTCTGATCCATAAGAAACCTCAAAATCTCCAGTCTATTTGTGCAAATGTGCTCGTGTCTCTGAGTGCGCAGGTGTCAGGACATAAGAATGGCTTATGGAAGCTGGATGTCCACCTCCAACTGTGGAGGAATGAATGGCAGATATGTGACATTGAATTTAGGGAGCTTTGCAGCGTGTTACATTTGTGAAATCATGGTATCAGCGACTCCACTGAAAGTGGGAACTCGTGAGTACTAACTATGACTTCATAATAATCTTGTGCAAGCATTGTAATGCCTCATGTGCTATTACAGTATTGATAATGAAAAGCCTTAACAAATTTTTTTTTACAGAGGGCACTGCATTGGGACATTTGATCAGTTGTATTAATGGACGTTTGGCACGAGGGAGAATAAAACCCCACAGATAAATGGGGAGCTCAGCGAAGTGATATTCAGCCCATTGCTGTAGCGGAATCTCCCGGCCACCTCACAGCCCAAATCGACAACACATAATATGTATGTGTTGAACTTCTTTCGCACCGTACGTAGCCAGCCGTGCCAATCAGAGGTGCGGGGGAAGGATGACACACTAAACACAACAATCAGTTGTAAAGGAATGAGTTTTTTTAATTTCCCCAACGGTCTTTTACTTACGAACTCAGCGGGTTGTGGAAGTAGTGGCCCTGACGTTAAATAATCATGCTCACAGCCCCTCCTGGTTGTATCAGAAACCCATCTGCGTCACTCTAAAGGCTTCACCTCATTGGTACAGAAAACCGAGCCGCTCCACTCGACTCTGTCAACCCCACATCCCATTACAGCCACCAAATGGCAGCCCAATTGGTGAAACTTCTCTTCTGTAACCACTCGACCTGGCCACAAACGATAGCTCCACGAAGTGGCTTATTACGTGGAAATTTAAAGCAGCCAAATACTTTAAACGCATGTTTCCAAATGTAGAGGGAAAAACCGGAGGACCCGGATAAAAATCCACACGACCACGGAGAGAGAGAGACTCGCAAACTCCAAATATATAGCAGACGTCAGGGTGGGGATCTAACTCACGACCTCCTGCACACCAGGCAAGGCAGTTAACACCTCGCCACTGTGACGCCCATATTAATATGTGAATATTAATATGTGAATATTAATATGTGCATATTAATAAGTGAATATTAATATGTGAATATTCTTCGAAGAGATGTCCAGCGCTGGCTGTGGTGGCTGCCTTGTCTTTACTGAACGCAGAGGTGCTGATGTACGGAGTGGCGTCACAGTCGAGCGAAGTGGAGCCTGGTGCAGGGCCCTGGAAGGCCCTGGACAGCCGTGCGGAAATTGCCTCGGCCCCCACGCTCTGCATGACCTCGGGACTCGGATGCAGCATCACGGACATGGACTGGGAGCCATGGTGGCGCCTCGACATGCTGCTGCTGTAGGGCATCCTGACTCGTCACGTGTTGCCCTGTTACACACTCCATTTGTGCCATCAGTGGGACATAAATATAAAGTGCGCGTCATTTTCAAAGATTCGCAGAGCTCTGCTGTGTCACGGAAAACCCTGGAACATGTCACACCGACTCCTTAAGTCACCTTAATGGGCATCTTTATCAACAATATAGCAGCATACCTTAAACATGCGCCTGAGAAGTGCATTCACCGCATGTCAATCACATCAAATGTTTAAAACTCACAGCTGGAATGAGCCAAATTAGGTGAACGCCTCAATCACGGTTGCGCATACAGCCACACGGGCGGCTGCGCTCGTCTTCCCCTACTGTCCGTCCTCGTGCCTCCTCTTCCCCTCCTGTGCCGATTCCGCAACGCCTCTCTGTGCCCTGTCCCCGTTCGCCCAACGGGCGCTCTCGTGTGAGCCCCACGCCTCCTCGCGCCGTCTTCTCTCCCGCAGCTACAGAGTGAAGAGCGTCACCATCGCCGGTCGTGAGGACGTCCAAGGCCTCCGTCTGTTCGGAGCCGAGATCCGCGTCGGGAACTCGACGACTCGGGAGGACAACAGTTTGTGAGTGTCCCACGTGACGAGGCGGTGTGGAGTCTGTTTTTTCTTATTAACCCCTCAAATCTGCTTGCTTTTCGACATTCCGGGTCGCTGTGAAACCAAATCAATTGGCATATAATTTGCCCACGTGACCACTTAATTCGTTTGGCTCTGTTGGGTGGTGGAGGGTTATGGTGAAAAACATTAAAATTGTAGCTATATGACGACCTGAGCCCAAATAAACTCATGATCAATGTAGGTCGTGAAAGCCTACGTGTGAAACGAACTCCACTGCAAGGGTGTCGTGTCCTGAGGTGACGGACGGGATTTCGATTTGGAACTTCTACAGCGAGCAGCAGCAGCAGTTCAGCAACCTCTAGGCAGAGAACAGCCCTGGAAGATCACGTCACAGAATTGCTCACAACTGTATATCTCCCTCTTCATCCCCACGAGGGGCACAGTTAAAAAAAAAAACACCCAACAACCCAAAGACGTGCTCCACGCGAAGATTTCTGAAACTCCACTCATCGCGCCACTCGACATATCTGCCACATTTACCATGTTTACTTTCCTTCAAAAATTAATCAAGTGCAGTCTACGTCATGCGTGACACAGGAGAACGCATGCACAATACGTCTGCCTGAATTTGAGTGAGCGCTCTCCGAGTTATGCGGGACGTCTTTAGCAAGCGTCAGGTGCGTGCAGCGTCTCACCACCTCATCGTGATTGTTGACCGTATTTGGCATTTTTTTGGTATTCTTGTAACGCAAGGCTATCGCGATGGAGGACGTCGTGTTTCACAGAGGCGGTTGCTTTTGTGTCGTTCCAATTTAGTACTTAGCAGGCCATTTAAAAAAAAATTGGCAAATTTGGATCTTGACGCCAGCAGACAATGGCCAAAGTCTTTCGAATGACGTCAGGGGACATTTAAGGCCCACTGTGAAGCAGACGGCGCATTTGTGTCGTTATGGTTATTACACCCGCAGTAATAACGAGGACGGCCTGCCGTTTTCAAACCACGAACCTCGTCAACAAGCGGCGAACGCGCGGCCGCTGGGCCCACGTCATCGCCAGGTGACTTTATTGGTATTCGGTCACCGTCATGAGGGCCTTGCTAAAGGAATGGCGCAAATACCAAAAGTACTTGTCTTTATCGGGAGGTAGATTGGTGAACACGTGTCCCTGTGGTCAGGGAGCACGACTCTCAATCAGAAGGGAATTCTATTAGGGTGTTGGCATATCTCATTTTTCACTGTCGGATCCATGCAATGCAGAGTACAACTAAGTAGAGAGTGGTCGCCTCATGGACAGCCTGGCCGCGCAGTGGAGCGGCAGTCAATGGAGAGGACTCGCCTAAGGAGACAACCGCCTGCAGAGATGAAATCCGCTCGCACAGTAGTGGAGCTGATTGTGGGGAGGCATTCATCCAGCAGTGGATATACTCTGGCCGATTATTTAATTGGTGATAAATAAGACCAAGACAAACGACGGCCTTGCCAATAGTGACGATCAATGGAAGTTTTGTGTTGTTTATGATGTCATGAATGAAACTGATATCAATGAAGTATTGCTAATTAATTCATCAATGTAATATTTTAATGAAAGCCAATGATGATGTTTCACGGCGCAGATGTGACCAGGACATATTCGTGACTTCTGGACAGTCGGCGGCGTTCTATTGCCTGCCCTGGCTGGTTGGCCGCTTCCTCATAGTGGCCTTGCCTGGGCGGATCGACAGCCTGGGCCTCTGCGAAGTCTCCCTCCTGGCAAACCCCATGCTGAAGAGTAGCATCGTCTGGAAGAGCGGCATTATCAGCACCAGCGATCCCACCACACCCAACTGATGCACCCCCACGGGGGATTTATTCATTTAGGTTCCACATAAATGGTGGTCATTTTGTCATCATCAATCGGTGCCATTTGCGCGTATGACCACTTGAATCACAAACAGCATGAGCAACATCATAGTCGTCGTAAGGTCAACAGCAGTGTATTCAACTGAATGGTAACATAAGTATACTTGTCAGCTTTATCGTTGTCATCAACATTAACAATACAATCACCGTCATCATCAAGATTCATCACAATCTAATATATTATATACGACTTCTGTAGAAAGCAATATTGATAACAGTGAAAAAATTACGTGGAATTATGCTACATATAATTCGTATGGATATGAACAAATTGTAATGTATTCTACAGCTAATATAATATTACGTGTGCGGATTAATGTATAACATTGTATGGTTTTATACATTCTTCGTCATCATCATTAATACACCAAATTATCATCATCGTCATCCACAATCACCCACAATAAAGATGTTAAACATAATCCACTACATCTTCTGTCACCAACAGCGCCATCGTGAATATGTATAATTGTAAATATTGGTTTCGTGCATTGCAGTGGGCGTAGATGTCGAGAGTGCAAGCGGTTCAACTGCTGTGGGGCCAATGAGCCGGAGGGGTGGCCCAGGCGCTGGGCTACGCAGAGGGGGGGGGGGAGCAATTTGGTCAGAAGGGGCCCCCTTCATTCCTTACACCAGGGTCAATGGTTCACCACGCGATTTGACTGCTCGAGTTTTTGGCTGCTATAAATTTCCATGTGATAAGCCACTTCATTGGGCGATCATTTGTGACGATGTCTGTTGTGAAAAAGAGCTCTACTGTATAGCTCAGTGGGCCTGACATGGTGTGAATGGACTGGGTTTTTTAAATCCGAACTTTTTCGAACTTTTCACTCCTGTACCATATCGTGGCGGGTCGGGGGGGGAGGGCTGGCACGAACACCCCATCACACACCAAAGACAAAAATCCTCCATATATATTCTGAACAGACTGATAGACTGATGTGGCAAGTGCTGTTAGCGAGCACCTATAAAGGCCGGCACGGTACACGATGGGGTAGGTGGCCAGCACCACGCCCGACCGCCTTTGTCTTCTCAGTGGTGATGTTTACACACCGCACCGGGTGTTAATTTGAGGCCGAGTCGACTTAGGGGAATCTCAGGACCGGTTCACATATAATCGTCACTGCTGTTGGGCCGTGAGCGGCAATCGAATTCCGTGTTGCCGGGTTCGTAGCGCAGCGTAGCGCTAACCGCCACACTGCCGCTCCCCCGCAACACTCACACACACACGGGGGGAGGGGTCACACGTATCGCTGTGTGGTGTGGTAAACCCCGACACAGCCGCGGTCGCACACACACCTCCCCTCCCCCGGCTCCCTCCCGTCGCGCCCCCCGGGGAACTGGCCCAGGCTGTAGCTGTGTCTGCTCACCCCCAGCTCACCCCGCGGACCCGTCGCGACCTCTCCTCGTCCGCCTCGCTTGCGCCGGGGTCCCCGCGGGCTGTCCTCCAGCTCCACGGCCGTGACCCTCAGGGTGACGATCATCACCCGCCGCCTCCTGAAGGGGAAGGCACCAGCACAACACGCGCGCACGCACACGGCTCGCATCTACCAGCCCGCCGCAGCCGCCACACAACGTAAACCTGTTTAACACGCGACCAATATCATCCATAATAGAGGCTTTGTTGGGGTTAGATCGCGTAAATATATAAATGTGTCGTTAAAACCCGCCACCACCCGACACAGCCAACTAGTGAGGGTTGTCACGTAAACGGAACATGCCATGAAGCTAGCTGTAATTACTGGCGAAACGTCGTACTCAGATTGTGAATGTTGTGGCTTGGCTCTCCAACACACCGGTGTGCTGTACTAGTGACGAATTGACATGTTCTGTTTACGTGACAGCCCTTACTAGTTGGTTGTGTCGGGTGGTGGTGGGTTTTAACGACACATTTATATATTTACGCGATCTAACCAGAAAACCCCTCTATTATGGACAATGTGAACTTGTTCGCTTGTCAACTCTCCTGACATTATTCGCGGGCAACACCCATCGCTATTGAACTGTAGGTGAATCGCTCCACCATTCCCTCTCCCTGCTCTGAAAAAGGCCCATCGCCCGGATAAAGAAGACACCTGCTGGATAAAGGCCTCCCACAGCTGGTTAGTCGTGTTCGTTGGTGAAGAGGATAGGGCCCAGGAGTGCTTCATATGTCACTCGCCACTCGTGGCTGCAGATCGAACTCGTGTCGCTGGGTTCGTAGTGCAGTTCGCAAACCACTGTACCACCGCTCCACTGCTGCTCTGTTACTCGACTGCGCTGGTTGAGCGTGTAACGGATTCATACGCTCTGCGAGTCAATACAATACACGGTTAGGGATAACGGGGTCACGATTTGGTTGAATAATTTCATTTTTGTTTTGGTTCATTGGTTTGGTTTCTCGTTTTACGTCTCATTTGTGGACAGTTTTTTACCCCCCCCCCCCCCCCCGACCATTATCCTAAATATATCGCATTAGCATATAATGTGCATATATCGTAAATAATTGATTCGCACTTGCATGGTGTGATGCGTGAGCATAAGAATCGACCGTAGTTGATGAACTGCTGCATCCATACGTGATGCCTACCTAGCACCCAGGTATCACGTTCTGATGTATACGCTGCTGTAACTTCCTTATTTTCACCAAGGTCGTTCTTGTAAAAACAGCTTCAGGCTGAATGTTTCTTCTCCACGTAAACAAATAAATATCAAATTCTGACAAATGCGATTAATTATGAACTCATTGCACGACTCAATAATAGCCACCGCCAACAGGATATGCAGTTAATGTATCTCTGCCATCACTCATCAATATCAACAGCAACGCAGACACAAACAACTTCGGCAAAAAAAAAACTAATCCTCACCACCGCTATCACCAATATTTGCATCAATAGTTACTCTTCTAAGAACAATAGTTAATAAGCCTTCGTCATAATCACTACAATAAATTATAATCAACATCACTTATCTGGCTTCACCACCTGACTGTGAAATGGTAGTTGTTGCTCTGAATCTACCTCAACCACACTAAAAAAGAACATAAATGCCACCACATCCACCAGCTCCACATCACTATCATCATCACCACTACATCACAACCTTCACCTTCATCGCCACCATCTTGGCCCACCGCTATATCCGCACCTGTGCACACATCTTCTGAGGATGAGGATGGCGAGAGGCGTGAGGAGGAGACACAAGACGGCCGAGACTCCCAGGGCATGCGGGGGAGACACGGCTGATCCTGCGTCTCTGTCACCTCCAGCACCACCTTCAGCAGCTCCTCCAGCAGCTCCACCATCACCTCCAGCAAGTCTACCACCACCTCCATTAGCAGTGCCAGCAGCTCCACCTCCATCAGCAGCTCCAGCATCTCCACCACCTCCATCAGCAGCTCCATCACCACCACCTCCAGTAGCTTTGCCACCTCCAGCAGCTCCACCACCATCTCTAGCAGCTCCACCATTATTTCCACCTGCAGGTCCAGAAGCTTCATCACTGCCAACAGTAGCTCCACCACCACCAGCACCAGCAGCTCCACCACCACCTCCAGTAGCTCCACCACCACCTCCAGCGGTGTCGTCACCTCCAGCAGCTCTACTGCCACCTCCAGTAGCTCCACTACCACCTCCAGTAGCTCCACTACCACCTCCAGCAGTGTCCTCAACTCCAGCAGCTCCACCAACACCTCCAATAGCTCCACCACCACCTCCAATAGCTCCACTACCACCTCCATTAGCTCCACTACCACCTCCAGTAGCTCCACTACCACCTCCAGTAGCTCCACTACCACCTCCAGCAGTGTCCTCAACTCCAGCAGCTCCACCAACACCTCCAATAGCTCCACCACCACCTCCAATAGCTCCACCTCCTCCGATAGCTCTACCACCACCTCCAGCAGTGTCCTCACCTCCAGCAGCTCCACCACCATCTGCAGCTCCAGCAGCTTCATCACTGTCTATAGTAGCTCCACCATCACCTGCAGCAGCTCCATTACCACTTCCCGTAGCTATAGCAGCTCCAGCAGCTCCAGCAGCTCCATCTGCCTCTCCATCCCTTAATTCTGTGGTGTTGATGTCATTAGGGTTATTAGGAGAGTCATCGCCCCATGCCGCCTTATCATTGCCTTGAGGATGGGGCAGAGTGTCTCCATCAGCACCAACATCAATGTCACCATCACTACCATCTTCACCACGGCCCACCACTTTGGCGTCTCCATATACATTGCTGCGACCACCGCTGTCAATGTCGCCACGATGGTCGTAGACATCAACATAGAGGGGGATGGAAACATCCGCCTTGTCCCCTCTTCCGATGCCATCGTCCTCATTCTCCGGAGCTCCATCCCCTCTTCCACCTTCCCTAGAGTCTCGATGCGCTTCACTCAAAGCATCATCATCATCATCATCATCGCTAGCACTGCCACCACCACCACCACCACCCAAATCATCACCATGACCACCACTAGCGGCTAGTTCATGATCATTAGTGTTTTCTGTGACTTGTGTTACTGCTGATCCAGTAGTCGACCAGCTATTGTTATTCATCACGCTGGCTGTTAGGGTATTTGCAATTGTCACTCTCTGTCCATGTGGTCCTGTTACTGATGTCACATCAGCTTTATTGTGAGCTCCTATCTGTGGCATGCCTTCTTTTGGCAATATTAACTCTGTCAATGCTGAACTTGCTGGCAAAGTGGACCAAGACATCGTTGATGTTGCTGATAGAGAAGAAGATGATGGTGATGATACTTCCGCTACTTCTGCTGATGATGTTAATGATGATGTTGTCGCTGCTGCTGGTGCTGTTATTGTTACTTCTGATAATGATGCAGCTACTGTTGCTGCTTCAATTTCTGCTGCTGATGATAGGGATGACGCTGGCCGTGTCGATATCCACACGGTAGACTTTTCCACTGGCCACGTTCCACCCGTGGTCAAACCTCCTGGAGTTTCACCGCTCGTGAACTCATCATCACTCCACGCCAAGGTGGGCACCTCCTGGAGATGTCCACCTTCAACTCGACCACCTCCTGCAGCTCCCTGCTCCGCGATGTCTGCAGTCTGAGTTGCCTCGCCCAGCTTGTGGGTGACGAGTTCAATGACTGTGCGGGGCGAGTCTTCACGGACTTCCGCAGAGGTTGACGGAGAAGTCATCATCAGTGTCGTCACCATCATCGTAGTCATTGTCACTGTAGCTGTGGTCTTCGCCTCGTCTCCCCATCGTTGGGTGGGAGGCGAAGAGGCTTGGAGGTCTTGGTGGACGGGTAGTGACGAAGCGTTGGTGGTTCCTCTTAACAGAGTATAATCATCACCATCATCGGCTTCACCATCACCTTTCCCGTCACCTCCGCCACCACCAGCAGCGAGGTCGATCTCGTTTCGGACGCTGTCGTCGCCGCTGGGGTCGTGGTGAGCGCGCAGGATGGGCGACTCCACGTCGGACCAAAACACGAAGTAGGACTGCACAATAGAGGCCCTGCCAGACAGACGTGCGGGGAACCAGACTGAGCCGAGAGTACAAGACACGGTGATGATGTTGCTAATGATGAAGGTGAATCACTATGTCAAGAAACTCTGAATAAGTCCTATGTCAGTGTAAACTCGGTTTTAAATTTAAAAACATGTGGCAAATGCGGCATGATTCTGGTGCCCATGTGCAATCTTTGCTTCCAGAGTTTAACAACATTATCGACAAATGACAGCCCAATGCACCCCGCCCTTAACCGTGCACCTGATCGGCAATAGCATGGATTTGGATTCAGCAGGTTAAACCATGGGAACATGGGATTCAGCCGATTCCAAGCTCCGACAACTCTTCTCCTTAAATTTTCGTATCCCTGTTCCGGTCATCTGCTGATAGTGGGGCAGTTTTAACAGTAACCCCTTTTCTTGCTGTGATTTTCATACCTGATGATGATTGCTTGTGTTGCAATCGAAACGTCGTTAGAATTGTATTGTTTTATATTTGTATTATTTTATTATTTCCCTTCTACGTGACTTTACCGAAAGAATCAAGAATATGAATCCCAGCAGTCACGAAAGCTTTAAATCGGAAAGTAACCCCTTTGCAACTGGCACATCCGAGGCCGAGGCAGCACGGTGTCTTCGCAGCACGAGTGGTTTTCCACCGGCTATTTATCGTGCCGAGTCAGAACCAAACCATGATACACTGGCCTCACAATACATCTGAAACCGTCTCCGGGCCAAGCAGGGCCATGCACAGGGTTAATGACGCATTCATTGAATGTAACATCGGTCAGTACATTGTGATGACACAACGCCACCGTGTCGGATATTTCATTCCGTGTGGCGTCGGTGGCAATGTTCGGCTCCTGCGGTGGAAAAAAAAAACATCTGGCGCCTCGAGAATCGGGCAAGGGTCGGTTCAGCACGACCTCGGCACGGCTTGATTGCACAGTGCATAGAGACGCCAAAGTTGAGTTTTTTTTTCTTCCAACAGTACCACAATGGATGGCGATGTTCCTCCAAAGAATATCGACACAGCAGACGATAGGGGGTCATTCATTACGTATTTAAACAACGCCGAATATCATCGCGTTTGTCCACGTGGATTTGACGCCACCGATTACTGCGGTCCACGGTCCATCCCCGTCTCATCCCTGGCTCACATGAACCTCACGTCTCCGTGTGCGCCGTCCACGGGCGCTCGCCACACAAACGACAGATTCCGCTTGAGCGACTTGTCCGTGTGCGTGACGCTCGCCCCGCCCTGCGGCAGCTGCGGCTGCCCCGCGTCTCCCGGGGGCTGCCCCCACGCGGGGCAGCGCAGGAGGTGCGTCCCCCCTGGGCGGTGCGTGAACGTCCCCACCAGGCGCACGTCTCCCGGGACGCTGGGAAAAAGCGAACAGCGCGAGAGACGGGGGGGAAAGAGCACCAGAGGTGGGTGGGGTCAGCAACAGGGCTGGTGTTAGTGTCTGGCTGGCTAGTGTGCTATAAGGGGTTAGGGTTAACGATAGGGCTGGTGTTAGTGTCTGGCTGGCTAGTGTGCTATAAGGGGTTAGGGTTAACGATAGGGCTGGTGTTAGTGTCTGGCTGGCTAGTGTGCTATAAGGGTTAACGATAGGGCTGGTGTTAGTGTCTGGCTGGCTAGTGTGCTATAAGGGTTAACGATAGGGCTGGTGTTAGTGTCTGGCTGGCTAGTGTGCTATAAGGGTTAACGATAGGGCTGGTGTTAGTGTCTGGCTGGCTAGTGTGCTATAAGGGTTAACGATAGGGCTGGTGTTAGTGTCTGGCTGGCTAGTGTGCTATAAGGGTTAACGATAGGGCTGGTGTTAGTGTCTGGCTGGCTAGTGTGCTAAGGGGATAGGGTTAAGGATAGGGCTGGTGTTAGTGTCTGTTTGGCTAGTGTGCTATAAGGGTTAAGGATAGGGTTGGTGTTAGAGTACATTTCCATGCCAAGCAGCTAAAGGTCACCGGGCAACTGACCTGTCTCCAGACACACGGGGCGTGGGGACGCTCCTCGCCTGCAGCAAGAACCCCATGAAGTCCCGCGAGCTCCTGATGATCACTGAGTGGGGCAGCGGCGACAAGGACACTTCAGCCACGATGTAGCAGGCGGTCTTTAGGGTCGTCGTCTTGAGGCACTGTCTTTCTCCAGGTGTGTCTCAGCCGGTGTGCTTAGCTATGTCTCACCAGGTGCCTATGTCACCAACGGTCTCGCCGCGTGTGTCTCCCTACGTGTGTGTGTGTGTTTGTTTCCATGCGTACCTCTCCGGATGTGTCATTGAACACGTGTGCCCCGGAGTTCCACCATTTGTGTCTTAAGGTTATTCTCCCAAGGTGTGTGTGTGTGCACGTCGCGTCTGTCACCATGTGTGTTTCTGTGCACACAATCCAGGAATTTGGTACAGTGAGGAGTGCAGATGGTACATCTGCCAGTCCTTTCAATCGGTTAACCCATTACACCTAACCGTGTCCCGTGGCATCATGGCAGTGAGTTTTCATACTTCATGTGGGCTCAAAGTGCACCTAGCCTGACAAATGCGCCGTGTTAACGTCACCAGCACTTAGTGGTGCAAGCAAGGAGGTTGTTTCCATCTCTCCGTGGTGTGTAGCCCTACGTGTCTCTCGAGGTGTCTTTCTCTGAGTGTGTGTCGCCAGTTTGTGAATGACAACTTGAGTCGAGGTGTGTATGCTCACGTGACTTCGGACGTGTATGACCACGTGGCTCCAGGTGTGTGTCTGCACACGTAGCCCCACGTGGTGTTACCGTCCCGTGTGTGTTCCCAGTGACGCGTCTCGTCTGCCCACCCGGCACGTGTTCCCCGGGCCGGAACCGCGCCTTGCCCAGGACGATTCGAGCGGCCGCGGTGCCGGGAGGCTGGGTCCGTGCCCCGACGTGGCGCGGTCTCCCGTCCAGGCAGGCAGCGGGGTCAGCTCCACGTGAGAAGGCGAGCGCGGAGGGCAACAGCTGCAGCAGGAGCAGCAGCAGCTGCAGCAGCAGTAAGAGCTGTGCCCACAGCCAGCGTGCCCCCACCACTCGCTGCCTCCCTCCTCCTACCTGCTGCAGGTAGAACTCCCACACAAACACAAGGATCTCTTGTGCAGACCGATAGCCTGTATTGTAGTTACAAGTGCAATACTGCCTTTGTCTCCCCAATTACACATGTTTATGCAACGCACCAGCTTATCATTTAAGACTGGCCCAACCTAGGGGAGGCCATCGACAACGTCAGATTATTTGTTACAAATCGCATCCAATTGTATCGCAATGCACGAACCACTGCATGCCCGACTGCTCTCCGCCACGAATCATGAGGTTGGTGAGGTTTGTCAATTTCCAATGTTGGGGGGTGGGCAAGACAAAAAATATTTTACCAACCCGGAATGACCAGTGTGAAGTATGGTCAAATAGACCCCACGATCTGCACGGTATTGATACACAAGAACGGACGCGTTTGGCAATTATCGTTGTGTTTGGACGTGTGGCAGGTGCCCTATACGTATAGCTAGAGACGATCATTACTGAGTGATGTAACTTATCATAATGTTCTAGAAGGGCTTAAAAGGCGGACATTTTACACGAGGCAATGCTGATACCTATACAAATCATACATCCAAAATGTTTGAAATTTGGGCTCGAAAAATATATGCGATAAAAAACTTTAGCTTTTCAGGGTTTTTGTTTGTTTGTTTACCTAAGCCTATGCGAACGATTGTGTGTGGAGCTGATGCAAAATATTAACATCGAGAGGGCGGGAGAAGTCCGTAACTGGTCACCGTGCAAGGATATAAACACCGCGGCCCCATGACAACTCACTCACAGACAGAGGTGCACTACACGTCAATCATGTGGAATCGCGTGACCATACTTCACCACGATGGTCGGTGCGGGTTTGTCAATTGGGAGTCTCAAGACTGGTTCAGAAGTCAATGTTAGCCGTGCCCGGGGAATCGAACTGAAGGCACTGGGTAAATAGCGCAATGCGCTGATCACAGCGCCACCACTCCACCCCGACGTGTACTTCATAGGGATTAAAAGACTATGCTCACTGTTCAAGTGCTTATAAAATAACTTTTCAAAAACTCGACGCATTCGTCAAAAACACTGTGGCCTTAAAAGGAAACATCTATAATATGCGACATTGAGGGCAATGTCCCCTCTTCATAGCACGCAATTCGAGGGGCCAGAGAGATGCTGTGTAGACAAGAGTTGAAGACTGCACTTTGCACGACGGGGTCAGATGAAAACCAGTACATTTCACAAACGTCACCCGACGAACAGCGTTTTAACTCGGCATATGAAATCTCCGAGTCTGCTTGCCATTACGTGTTGACACCGATTGGAGGAAATACCAAACAAACGCAGGGTGACACAAGCCGGGTCGGCAACATTCACAAATCTCACGCGAGCCGACGGTCAGGCACGAGCACATTACGTTCCGAACCGGCGCACGGATCGTCAACATCACACGCGCGGTTATCATATTCCACTCCCTCCCCCAGCCCCAAGTTTATGAGTTGGGGAAAACCAAAGTGCGGAATGTTGGATGAAGTTGCAGCAAGACTTACGAAAAATGCCATTCCATCGACGAGACGCAGTCGTGTGGTGCTCGCGTGAGAGAGTGTGTGTGTAGGCATGCGTGAGTGACGATGTGTGTGTGTGTGTCGGGGAGGGAGCGGTGTGTGTGTGTGGCTGTGTGTGAGAGTGTGGGGAGCGGTGGCTCTGTGGTTCGCGCTGCGCTACGAACTCGGCGATCGGAGTTCGATTCCCGCTCACGGCCAACACCACCAGTGAAGATTATCTGAACCAGTCCTGGGCCTCCCCAAGTTCGACTCAGCCTCAAATGTGTAAAAATACCGCTAGTGGGGAGACAAAGGCGGTCGGGCGTGGTGCTGGCCACCCACCCCCTCGCGTACCGTGTCCGCCTTCATAGGTGCTCGCTAACTGCACTTGCCCCAACAGTATGTTGAGGCTAAACGGGGAATTTTTGTCTTTGTTTACGCGTGTATGAAGAGTAGCGATGTCGCAGTGGTGAACGCGCGGCGCTACGAACCAGGTTACCTGATTTTAATTCAAGGCAACAACTGACAGCGAGCCGTGTCTTATCCTGAACTCGTCCTCCCCTAGGTTGACTCATCCTTAAGTTGGTACCTTACTAGTCTATGGGTCAGAGAAAACATTAGTACCACTAAAAGTCGCGAAGGTTTCGTAGCACCGACGCATTTATATGGCTAATAAGAGTACAATATTAGATAACACACTCATTTGCAATGGTTATCACGTGATTCACTGTCATTGGCCACATAAAGAAAGTGGAACCACTAACGTTATGCCACCCTGGGTGTACCAAAAGTGCAATATGGTCTGGGCTCATTGACTGCTGGGATGCGTGAGGACCTGGTGTAGTATTCGTGTATGAGCACAACACCCGTCATGTCTATTGAGAACTCTTAATCAAATGCAATATTTGTATTTGGAGAACACCGTCGTGATTCATATCTATGGAAATTATTCAAGGCGGATCGGGATCTAATGAGATGGCCGAGGTTCGAGCGAATTTTTTTTTTTTACAATTGGATATTGAAAAGCACCACACGACCAACTTGTTGAAAGAAGAAAGTTTTCAATCAGTGCATATATTTCTGCTACTGCATTTGTTGTATGAAAAGAACAGTAGCCTGAAACGTCGCCTGTTATATATTCCGTTTAAGGCCACAGTGTTGTTGACGAATGTGTCCAGTTGTTTGTGATTGCTAACGGATCGCAAACAGTTTCACTGACAAAGACAAAAAAAATAACAAAGGCTGAAAAGTGTGCGAAGACGATTGGAGCGATTTATGCTGGGAATGACACTGAGAAACGCAAAGAGGAACGCGTGGATTAGAGATCTCGTGATGCGTGTTAAGGAAAGTGATCGTTCGCTTGGGCAGGACACGTCGCTAGCATGTGGTCGAGACTAATGAAGGAGTGAAGGAGCAATGGAATGTTCTCGTGTGCGGGAGTGGGAAGGATTGTGGCAGGCGACAGCTTTGGGAGGGCTTCGTTTAACAGTTGATAGATCATGGCTGATAATTCACTGTGTAACACTAAATATTCTTGTTCCCGGGTAGTAAGTGTTATTTTCTAATTGCTTATGCCTCAAAAGCACAGAAAATGGCTATTATTCCACACAAACTTTGCTTTTGTGACCAGGACAGTGATATTTTGAAATTTGCCTATGTTCAATGAGAAAACGTGGTGTGTATTTGTGTCTTTCCTTCACGTAAAGACTTGATCACAAAAGCAAAGTTTGTGGGGAATAATAGCCATTTTCTATACTTTTGAGGCATAAGCAATTAGAAAATAACAATTACTACCCAGGAACAAAACTCGTATTACACAGTGATCTGGCCGGTCGTGTGTGGGAGCGTTTGTGATGTGTTTGTATGTGCGGGCGTGCGGCGCATGTGGGAGATGGACTCAGCCGAATGGGTACCTGGTGTAGTGTGCGCCTGGTGTAGTGTGCGCCTGGTGTAGTGTTGTAGTGTGTACCTGGTGAAGTGTGTACTTGGTGTTGTGTGCAAAACTTCAGCACTGGGGAGGAGACAGTGCCGTGCCTGGCCTTCATAGGTGCTCGCTAACAGCGAGGAGCGAACGAAAGTGCTGACATAACTTTTTCCAACAGTCTGTTAAAAGGCTATACGGAGCATCTTTGTATGTGTGGGTGGGTTGTTGTGGGTGGGTGGGTATGTGTGGGTGCGTGTTTGTGTGTGAGAGGGAGAGAACGGATGTTTATCTTTCGGATTCTGGATTTCTCTTTTCACCAGCGGGTGTGAGGTTTTCTGTGAGTGAAAATAGCGAATGTCGTGTACGCTCCCACACACACACACCCACACATACCCACCCACCCAGCCACAACAACCCACCCACACATACAAAGATCCCCCGTATAGCCTTAACATTATTTTGGGGCAAGTACTGTTAGGAGCATCTGTAAAGTCCGGAACGGCACACGAGGGGGTGGGTGATCAACACCACGCCCGGCCGCCTTTGTCTCCCCACTGGCGATTATTACACACCGCACTCGGTACTAATTTGAGGCTGAGTCGACCTAGGGGAGGCCCATGACCGGCTCAGATAATCGTCACTGGTGTTGGCCCCACACATATGTACCTACCCACCCACCCACACACTCCCACACATACCCACCCACCCACACACTCCCACACATACCCACCCACCCACACACTCCCACACATACCCACACACTCCCATACATACCCACTCACCCACACACTCCCACACATACCAACCCACCCACACACTCCCACACATACCCACCCACACGCTCCCACACATACACACCCACCCACACACTCCCACACATACACACCCACCCACACACTCCCACACATACACACCCACCCACACACTCGCACACATACACACCAACACGCATCTCGTCTCTAATCGCGACGCTCATAGCTACCGTGGTCTCGCTCTAATCGCGTTAGACTGTTAAGATCCCACTGTCTCTCTCTCTTCTTTATCCCTCTCATTCCCCTTCTTTACCTCTCGTCTCTCTCCTCCTTCTCTCCCATCTCCTCTGTCTCTTCCCACCTCTCCATCACCCTCTCCTCTAACTTTCCCCTCCATCTCTCGCACCTCTTCTCAGTTGAGTCACCCCGGAATTTCCGTCCAGCTCCTCTGTTTATTCTTCTTATCGACGATATCAAAATGCCACCAAATATTAGCTCTTGATTTTTCTCTATCTTTCCAACTCTCTTCCACTCTCTCCCTCCATCTCTCGTTATTTTCCTCCCTCTTAGCTCCTCTATCTCTGGCAATGGTTCACCCTCTTCCTGTCATATGTCTGTACTATGTTGAACTTCTCTCGCACAGTACGTAGCCAGCCGTGTTGATCGGTGCTGCGGTGGAAGGACAATGCACTAAAACACAAGAAGCAGTTTTCATTCTAGATTTCAAGGTGCATAGCTTCAGTGGCTTCCTAATATCGGAAGCAAGAGCGTTCCAGACGGCCACAACGGCGCTTCTAAAAGCGCAATGCAGTGACCGTTTTTGTTTGAATGGTGAGCCAAAAGCCGCTAACGAGGATGACCGGAGTTCGCGCGATGGTTCTAGACGAGAGAATAGAGAGATCGACGATTCTCTACCAAGGTCACTCGTCCAAATTATACCTCGTCCTGGTCTCTTTGGTACTTCCCATCTGGTTAAACAAAATCAACTTGAAACCTTTGTTTAAAACCACGCAAGAGCACAACTAGAGGCGATAATTATCCATTTCCCGCGAGTCCGCTCTCTCCCGTTCCCTCGCCATTCTATCAAAATCATCCCCTCTTCTCACTCGCCCTACCCCCCTCCGCTGCTCTCTCCTCTCATCCCGGATCCGGGCCCATCGGGGGGGAGGGTGGGGTGGGGTGGGCAAAGTGAAACAACACAAGAGGGGAGAGCCCCGCTGAGTCGGTTACCACGGAGCGAGGGTTCGCATCCCGTCACAGCCACGCGCGCGCCTCACAGTGGCATCGGCAGCAGCGTCACCAATCATCCCAGCCACGCGGCGAAATGTGTGTTGCGTGTGTATATATATAGCGTGCACTTAGTGTGCATGACGTGCCACACGTCACTGCCCTAATCCACTGCTGGATGATGAGCACCATCCACCCCACCACCACGCCGTCAGGGGTCGGTCGTTATTTGACCACACTTCACCACGTTGGCCAATGCGGGTTTGGTGAACGCGGGGAGCACCTGACGTCGTGCGCGCACAGAAGTTTAGTGCAGCGATTGAGTTTGCCGCACCGCTGACCTGCTGTTCCCACCAACGTAGCCCAACAGCAGCTGATAGCAACCCGCCGTGCATGGCCGTGACACCCATCAGAATCAACATCAGCGTTCAGCCTCTCTCGAGACACAGTCACCCATCGATCTACCCACTGCCGGATGATGGACTCTCCAAGCCGCTGCCACGTCTCACAACCGATTAGCATGCGTGTGTAGTGTACTAGCGCCGGCTGGTGGACAGCGGCGGCGACTGTGCGGGACAGACAGCGCACACGCGGGTGAGGCTGTGCACGGTGTGTGGGCAGAGGGGGGATCTAGGGTTAAGGGTCACGGAGGACCCTGACTGGAGGCACTTGGAACCTGCTCGCGGGTTCGAGAAGGGAGGCTGGGGAGCATAAAAGGAGCCGAGAGCGGGGAGCTCGAGGCTGCCGGTTCTGGGAGTGGACTCGTCTCGTCGCCATCGTCGCTAAACGTCTACGCTAGATGTTGCGCCACTTAGGATAGTAGATGGCTATCGCAGTCAGCGCCGTCAGTGTTAGACAGCTCGTGTTGTGTACAGGCGAGAGTAAGCTACTGTGGAGAGTGTGTGGACGAGACCGTGAAAGTTGCCTCCTAGACACTGTCTCTGAATCGTGGACACTACACTAGTATCAATATGTACAAAGATTACCGTATAGTCTTAAACAGACTGTTGGAAGATCTGTTAACGAGCACCTATGAAGGCCTGCACGGCACGCAATGGGGTGGGTGGCCAACACCACGCCCGGCCGCCTTTGTTTCCCCAATACTGATGTTATCCCATTGCACCAGATACTCATTTGAGGCTGAGTTGACCTAAGGGAGGCCCGAGACCGGTTACAATATTCGCCACAGTTATCGGTCGTGAGCAGGAATCTAAATCAGGTTCGTAACACAGTGCGCTAACCACAGCGACACCGCTCCCCACAATATCTACAAAAACAATGACCCCCCGCCCCCCGTCTAACCTCAGCAGACGCTTCGTGAAAGTGCTGCTAACGAGCAACAATGAAGACAGGCACGGCACACGAGGGAGTGGGGGGGGGCAGCATCACGCACGGCCAAGATGCAGAAATAAAACACATACACGCGCACACACACAGATAAATAACTAAACTTCCACAGAATGAGACAGCTAAGGCAATATTTGCGCGAGATTGTGCAGGACACACAAAACACGCGCAACCAGGCCACGTGCCCGCGTGCGCAGACGCGTGGCGCTCGCGTTTGAGAACGCAGTGGGAAATCCCACATCACGTGCAGTTTTCCCGTAAACGCCTCTCAATGTCCACCCCACCCCTCCCCCTACCAAGGCCATCTCTGGCTGCTGTGCTGTTGACTTTGGAAGGAGTTGACGCCAGCCGAGTGCATTAAATAGCGGCGGTGACGCCCTGCGCAAGAGAGGAGAGAGAGGGAGAGGCAGCCAGAGGCACGCGTTCTCTGGTGAGAGAGAGAGAGCCCTTTGCTGATACGAGAACCTAGTGAATCGCCGATTAAAGTAAACTAAAACTAAACTATTTTAATGTTACCAGGTGAGACCCACTGAGCTATGTAGCTGTTTTTTTCAGAAGCAACCTGGCCATCACCAATTATACAGCTCGACCAAGTGGCTTGTCATGTGGAAACGTAAAGCGGCAAAATACTCTAAACGCGTGTTTCTAAATGTGGAGGTGGGGGGGGAGAGACTTGGAGTCAAAAATTTACGCGACCACGGGGAGAACATGCAAACTCTAATTGTACGGGCGTCAGGGCTCGGGATCGAACCTACGACCTCTTGCACACCAGGCGAGGCAGTTAACATCTCGCTTCTGTCCCGTGGATATCTATCTGGCAGTTGAGCAGCTTTGGTGCGACAGGGCGGGCCTCCTTTGCTGATGAGACGCTGTCGGTCATAATAGGTCTGGAGTTTTGATATTTGTGTTGAACCAATGGTGCTGATAGGATGTGTAAAAACAATGTGCGTTGTTGTTTTATGTGAGAGAGAGAGAGTGCATTGTCTGAGTGTTTCTTATTTCGTGATTGTTTTGTACAATTATATTATTACGCTCACGACACAATGATGAGCTTGATGTTAAAAGTATTTAATAACGCGTGTAGCGTGAATCAGTTACGATGTACGCACATTGCAACTTTAAGCCGATGTGTCAATGCACACACACAGATAACATTTGCATTGCAATCGCCTGAAGTACGCCTTAAAGGAAACCACGTGATTGTCGGGGTTTTTAAGATGTGCGAGATTGCAGCTCACCGTGATCTGTGCGCGATCCACCAACCCTGCCTCTAAAATCTTGGGATTACAAAAGGCGTGCGTATCATTGCTGTTGCGTTATTTGCGTTGCTCACAGCTTGCACTCGTCCTGACCTTGGAAATGTTGGATCTCCGTCACAGATTCTGAGCCGCCTGTTGTCCTTGGGGCACCACTCGTGTGCGATGTTTTGACCCTGGTCGTCGTCTCCCCTCCTCCTGACAGGGTCTGCTCGGCCGCGGTGACAGGCTCGCAATGGCCACCTCTTTCCACCTGCTGCTGATGAGCGCATGCGTAGTACTGGGGGCGCACGGCTTTGCAAGGTAATCTAACGGATAAATAACACTGTGTAACAAAAAAAAATTGTTCCTGGATAGTAAGTGTTATTTCCTAATTGCTTATGCCTCAAAAGTACTGAAAATGGATATTATTCCCCAGAAACTTTGCTTTTGTGGCCAGGACAATGATATTTAGAAATGTACCTATTTTCAATGAGAAACGTGGTGTGCATTTGTGTCATTCCTTCACATAAAGTCCTGGTCACAAAAGCAAAGTTTGTGGGGAATAACAGCCATTTTCTATACTTTTTAGGTATAAGCAATTAAAAAGTAACACTTATTAGCCAGGAACAAAAATTGTGTTACAGAGTGTCATCATAATAATAATGTCACCGTCACTCTTACCATCATCGCTGTTGCGATACGTGGCTGGCGGCTGGCCATGAGCTTGCCGGAAGGGCTGTGGACGCCGACACCAACAAACTGCCGCTGCTGTCCCCGTGAGAGACGCGATCGACGCGGTTGTCCCTCGGGATGACCCAGCCGTCCGGGGTCGTTCCTGCACGTGCGTGCTGGGGACTTGGGGAGCAGCAGCCTCGGGGCAGTGATCGTTGTGATAGAACGACATGGAAAACGTGTCAACTGTTAAACTCATAGACTGCAAATTTATGGAACGTTTCACCCGAACTAATGTACAACTGCTGTACTTCGCAGAGGCGAATGCCCGTAGCTGCCGTAGCCGAATCCACCGGTTAACGAGAGAACAAGAAGCGATGGTGCGAGATCGCCGCCCATGCAGGGAGCCGGCTCCGTGCTCCTGCCGTGGTCGCGAGATGTTAACTGCCTCGCCCGGTATACAGGAGGTCGTGGGTTCGTGGCTTCGATCCCGACCCTGACGCCTGCTGTATATTTTGAGTTTGCGTGTCTCTCTCTGCGTGGGTTGTGTGGACTTTTCTCCGGCTCCTCTGGATGTTTCACTCCACATTTAGAAACATGCGTTTGGAGTATTTGGCCACTGCAACATTTCCACGTGACGAGCCGCTTCGCTGAGCCATCAAAAAAGGAGTCGGCAACCACTTTTTTTTTACAATTCGTTAAAATCTCGATATTTCAAGAGCCGCACTCACTGCACGTGAATACGAGACGGTGGTCCTTGATAAACAGCGTCACGAAGCGATCCTCAACGGGCCGCAAGCGACTCCGGAGCCGCGAGTTTGCCGACCCCCCTGAGCTGTCATTGGTGGGCAGGTCGCTTCTGAAAAAGAGCTTTTTAGCTCAGTGGTCCTTACCTGGTAAAAATAAAAAAAATATTGTTTCATAGTTGTTTTTAGTTTTTACCCAACGCTGTGAAGCCATAATAGAGGTTTTTTTGGAGTTAGATCGCGTAAATATATAAATGTGTCGTTAAAACCCACCACCACCCGACACAGCCAACTAGTAAGGGTTGTCACGTAAACAGAGCGTGGCCAATTCGTCACTAGTACAGCACACCGGTGTGTTGGAGAGCCAAGCCACGACATTTACAATCTGAGTACGATGTTTGGCCAGTAATTACAACTAGCTTCATCAGGCGACAGCCAGATTTGTGGAGAAGTCTAACTGCACTGTGCTCTGCATTGACACAGCCACCAGGGGGCGCCCAAGCTCGCCCTTGGCGAGACAATGCGGGAGGGCCCCCCTCTGCGCCCTGATGTACAACTCGCGCCTGGCAGTCGCTGCACTGCAATGCCCTCCTCGCCAACTCGTCCTGGACCACCCCCCCCATATCCTAGCTTGCCCACACCCGTGGCGATTCTGCGTCTCACAAATGCATGTCCCCACTGACCCCCCCCCCCCCTATTCTTGTTATTGTTGCAATCTATTCGTTTGTGTTGTGAAGAAGGGCCATTGCCCGAAACGTCGCCGATTTTTTTTCTTTCAAGGCCACAGTGTTGTTGGCCAGTGTGTTGGGATTTCATTAATTAATTCGGAAGTGCGGCGCAGTGCCCAGAGCGCTTTGCTTTGCAGTTTGCAGGACCGTGCAGGGTTCAAATCTCGGTCAGGGCCGAACTCTGCCCATCCCTCGGAAACTAAAAAAAAAGTTGCACGGAGATAACGAACATTGCTTTTAACAGTCATTGTTATTTTATATCATTACAGCAGGAGATTGATGACAGAAGTTGGTTCAGGTAAGAAGCCACATTTGTGAGATTTTGTGTAGATACAGTATGCCAGCTTTATGACCAACTTTGAGTTCATTAACACCGAATGTCTCTTTATAAAGGCAGACCAGGGAGATGAACGTGTATATCTGTAGACTGTACGGCAGCCAATAATACAACAATGTTGCCTACCAAAAAGGGCCTCACAGTGCGGAGAGTTTGAGTAGTCTCCCGAAATTGCGATGTTTGGCCAATTCCACTTGTGATGAGTGGCTCCATGTGGAGAGAAAACCACAGTACCCAGAGAAACCCCGGTCCCACGCAGGTGTGGACCATTTATTCCTCCTGTCAGTGGAGCCATGTCGACAGCGCAGTCACGCCACGTGGGGTTGTCCCTGTGCAGGGTTCACGGTGCGCATGTACGTGGATGGAGACCGGAGTGAGCGCGTGCACGGCGAGGGAGTGAAAGTCATGTGCTCCGTGACGGGCCCGACGAGCACCGTCCTCGTGTGGCACCACCCAGACAGCGTGGTGCGGCGAGCTGTCACGCCGTGACACACACGCTGACACACACGATGATGAAATATATAATGACGGGCATCCTCACACGCACAAACAACTACCCCCCTAAATCCCACTCACCCACCCACCCATCAACACCAACACCCACCCACCCATGCACTCACCTACCCACTCATTCACCTGCTAAACTACTCTATCACACACACACACACCCAAAACCCTCTTATCCAACTACTCGCCTGAGCTATACCCTCTTCACACATCCACCTTGAGGCATTCACGTTCACCAATACACATCCCCAGAATCACACACCCACCCGCCTCACCGTGACTCGCCCATTCGTCTGCCTCACCTACGTCACCCGCCGTTCTGCGCTCTGTTGGCAGGCAGGGCGAGTGACCACAGGTGCCAGGAAGGAACAGGAGGTGGAGGAGGAAGGCGTCATCAAGAGCAAGGTGGAGGAGATCCTGCAGGTGGAGAAGCTGAGCCTCGGGGATGGAGGAGCCTACGGGTGCCACGTCCTGGACCACAATGACCTCAAGGGCAACGTCGATATCGTCGTGCGAGGTTTATTAAAATAATTTTACATTCCCCCTCCCCCCCCCTAATGTTTCGCCTATCGTGCTGTCAGTATCGTGCCACGAGATTAAAGATACATTCAGAGATCTCACCGAGGAGCGCATGACCACATGCACCCGAGAATAGCCCGCAGAAGTTGATATCTCTGAATTGCTTATGAAATAATTTAAATTGCAAAGCTGGAATGTTTGTCACATTAAGCACGAACAATATGTTTTTGTTTTTGTGCAGCCATTGGTGATCAGGCTGAGCCCATCAACTCACTAGACTTGAGATGCCGGTTTAATCACAGGGGTCATGACCCCGAGCCAGCACTGCTGAGGTTCTGGGATTTAACGCTGAGGGTCATGACACAAAATTGTGTCGGTGTTGATGATAGTGGTGATGATGGTGGTCGTGGTGATGGTGATAATGGTGATGATGGTAGTGGTGATGGTGTTGATGATGGTGGTTATGATGATGATGGTGGCGGTGATGTGTGTAATAGTGATTGTGGTGATGGTGGTGTTGGTGGTGATGATGATGGTGGCAGTGATGTGTGTAATAGTGATTGTGGTGATGGTGGTGTTGCTGGTGATGATGATGGTGGCGGTGATGTGTGTAATAGTGATTGTGGTGATGGTGGTGTTGGTGGTGATGATGATGGTGGCGGTGATGTGTGTAATAGTGATTGTGGTGATGGTGGTGTTGGTGGTGATGATGATGGTGGCGGTGATGTGTGTAATAGTGATTGTGGTGATGGTGGTGTTGCTGGTGATGATGATGGTGGCGGTGATGTGTGTAATAGTGATTGTGGTGATGGTGGTGTTGGTGGTGATGATGATGGTGGCGGTGATGTGTGTAATAGTGATTGTGGTGATGGTGGTGTTGGTGGTGATGATGATGATGGTGGCGGTGATGTGTGTAATAGTGATTGTGGTCATGGTGGTGTTGGTGGTGATGATGATGGTAGCGGTGATGTGTGTAATAGTGATCGTGGTGATGGTGGTGTTGGTGGTGATGATGATGATGATGGTGGCGTTGATGTTCCAGAACACATCGACATCCCAGACCGATGTGAGGAGGGAAATCTGGATGCTGTTGCCAGCTCCTTAGATGGGATCACGTACATCTTCAAAGGTGAGGCAATGCAAACAAATATACTTGCTCGCCCCCTGCCATAGCACTGTGGAGTTTTCACTATGGGGGGCGGGGGACACAGGAGCAACAACAAAGACGATGGCACCACCCAGTGTCTAAGATGAACACTTTGAGGACAAATTTAATTTATCGTGTTCTTTGGTTCTTTCGGTAAAGTCACGTAGAATGATAATAAAATAATAAATTGATAAAATAAAATAACACAATAATATTCTCACGACGTTTCGGCCACAACACAAGCGGCCTTCATCAGGTGAAGGGGGCGAGACTGTCTGGTAGGACAGCGCTGGAGTGAAAGAGCCACGTTCAGATATGGCCTTTAAGCTGTGTGAGAGGAACAAAGCGCCTTGACAAAGGAATTAGCATATAATTTAGCATTGAAATGGCTGCATGATTAGCTTGTGACTGGTCACAGAAATAGCTATGTTAAAAGTTAAAGCATACACACCCGCAGAGGCACCATTGTTAAAGGAATTAGCATAGAATTTAGCATTGAAATAGCTAAGTTAAGGCATACACATCTTGACAATGGAATTAGCATAGAATTTAGCATTGAGATAGCTGAGTGATTAACTTGTACCTGCTGCAGAAATAGAGCTTGTACCTGCTGCAGAAATAGCTACGTTAAAGTCAGAGCATACACATTCACCGAGGCCCTTAGTACAAATCAAACAGAATAATTTAGCATTGAAATAACTAGGCGAATCCAGCATTGAAACAACTGAGTGATTAGCTAGTACTAAGGGCCTCGGTGAATGTGTATGCTCTGACTTTAACGTAGCTATTTCTGCAGCAGGTACAAGCTCTGTTTCTGCAGCAGGTACAAGTTAATCACTCAGCTATCTCAATGCTAAATTCTATGCTAATTCCATTGTCAAGATGTGTATGCCTTAACTTAGCTATTTCAATGCTAAATTCTATGCTAATTCCTTTAACAATGGTGCCTCTGCGGGTGTGTATGCTTTAACTTTTAACATAGCTATTTCTGTGACCAGTCACAAGCTAATCATGCAGCCATTTCAATGCTAAATTATATGCTAATTCCTTTGTCAAGGCGCTTTGTTCCTCTCACACAGCTTAAAGGCCGTATCTGAACGTGGCTCTTTCACTCCAGCGCTGTCCTACCAGACAGTCTCGCCCCCTTCACCTGATGAAGGCCGCTTGTGTTGTGGCCGAAACGTCGTGAGAATATTATTGTGTTATTTTATTTTATCAATTTATTATTTTATTATCATTCTACGTGACTTTACCGAAAGAACCAAAGAAGATGAATCATTGCAGTCACGAAAGCTTTAAATCGAAATTTAATTTATCGTGGTTACTACCGTCCGGTGCGTGTAGGTGGCAAGGTACTATGGGTAATGATGTAGACTGATGGAAATGCGCAAGTGGGTAAGAGCACAGTGAGATTCATCACCATCAGGTTTTGAGGGGGAAAAAAACGACAGTATTATGGATATCATTTTTTGCTAGTATTCTACGAGGCGGTCCCAACCTGTTCTATAAGCTTTACCCTCCCTCTCCCGGTCACCTTTGATCTCACCGGGTTTTCTCAATGAATGAACGCTATACTGCATTGTTGACCTTCAACCTCCAGAAGTTGTGTTTTTCCGCCACCACTGCTGTTGAAATGTACCCAGAGAAACCCCCACGTGCAGTGGGGTGCAAGAGCCCGTTGCTGTACTGCTATCTGGCAGGTCAGTTTGCAGCCCAAACCTACAACACCTGCAATCTCCCATCCGAGTATTAAACCGGGCTCAAATATCGCATAGCTGCTAAGATCTGGCAAGGCATGGTGCGTTCAGGGTGAGTAGGTGGTAGGCATGATGATGTGCAAAAATAATAACGATGAGAAAGGCAACGTTGACGACGATGATGGTCATGTTGACGATGTTGATAATAACATGGTCGTCACACTGACTTAGATTTCATGATGACCACGCCGATGCTGCTGATGCTGACGGCGATTGCAGCGATCATCGAGAAGAGGGAGACGATGTTAACGACGACATCTTCTCATCCTCCAGGCCCCGTCTACTGGAAGAACTTCGGGCCCAATGCTTCCATGGGGTTCATCGATACGGACTGGAAGATCCCGAACGGCTCGATTAGCGCGGCCTTCAGGCGGCACTCGAAGAGCGATGAACATCACCACAAGACCTACATCTTCAAGGTGCTGCTCGTTTGCCACGTGTGCACACGCGTGTCCATGAGACTCACCGGTGGGCTCTGCACGTTTGAGAGAATTTCAGGATACCAATTGACCTGACAAAATATCTCAATGTGGGACCCTCCTGAAACCAACGTTTTTGAGACTCCGTGTCATGTGTGTGATGGTTTTTTTACTTGGGTTCTAATATTTCCTCCCACATGAATCCAAACACTCGTTCATTGGAATGGCCAACATCCCAGTGATGGATCCTCTAGGTAAATAATCTTGAGACTCAGTGGGGCTTGCTCGAATTAAAAGGACTATGTTATTATTATTATACCACATCGAGTAACGCATCACGAAACAGCGGAACTTCAGCTTCCGTCATCGCCCGCCCTGGTCTCATCACTGTGCAGCGCTCTTCCTCTCGGCCGTGTCCACCCCCATGTCTCAATTTGGATGTTCAATGCACGTACCTTGGCCTCGGCATACTTGTGCCTTAATGTACCTGTCTCTATGTACCTGTGTCTCGGCGTACCCGTGTATGAATGCGCATGTCCCCCCTCGACCCTCGTGTGTGCGCGTGTGTGTCAGGGCGGTGAAGTATGGCGCTACGTGGGGATGACGCTGGAGCCTGGCTTCCCAATGGCCATCTCGGCCGCGTTCCCAGGGGCTCCGGCCTCGCCCGACGCCGTGGTCGAGTGTCCCGCCGAGGACTGCCGCTCCGACTCTGTGCTCTTCTTTAAAGGCACGGCCCAACAACAACAGCAAACAACAACCCGAACCCTGAACACGGGCAGCACAAAGCGGGAGCAGGGGGTCTCTTGCCCCCCATTTGGCAGACTGTTCATGCGGACAATTTACTGTAGGCCCCCACATGATCACCGTGCACAGCTGAGCAAAGTAAGACAATCGTCCTTTAGTGGCAGAATTTCCGTGAGTTGTGTTAACGTGCACGGTTTCGTGTTCAGCAGCATCCCCGATGCGGCGAACTTGTCATACGCTACCAATCACTTCCGTTAAAAACAGGGGTCCCTCAAACTGCCAACGACTCTTCCGCTGCCGTCGATGAACCTCGGGAGGAGGCTCGGCAGAGAGGTCATCACAGGTCAATGCAGTGGACTCCAAAGTGGTTCAAGCAAATTGATGAATGCTGGTTGGTTGCATAAACAGGTGCATGGATTTACGCAAACACGTGGATCCATTGCCGTAAACACACCGCTATCAGTGAACATCAGCGGTAGAAACCGAGCGTGCCGTTTGATGCAACGCAAACGGAATGATGCATTGGGCCCTAAATTATTACAGTAGACGGGTGCCTGGAGGATGAAAAGATGTCATCAATAACATCTCCCTCTGCATGATCATCGCTGTAATCAGCGTCCGCATCTTAGTGATTGTCATGATCATGTTTTCATCAACATTGTCGTCGGAATTAATGTATCCTTTTTTCATCATCATCATCATCATTATTGCTCATCAACGTCATGCCGTTTTGTGTAATGCAAGCGAGACTCGCCCCGGTGTCTCGAGACTGCGCGCGGGGGCCAAATGGAGAAAGTCAAATTCCTCGTGTCGCCCGCTCAGGTGGCGAGGTGCTCGCATGCGACCTCTTCGCGGGCGCGTGCAAGCAGCGTTCCTTCCCAGCCCTCCCCACCTGCTCCGCAGCCACTCGCTGGCTCGGCCGCTACTACTGCTTCCACGGACACGAGTTCTACCGCTTTGAGCCCACCACGGGCCTCGTGCCGCCCGGCTACCCCCGCGACGCCAGAGTCTACTTCCACCACTGCCCGGGTACGAATGAGGTGGATGGCGCGCGTGCTGCGCGCGCCGCGGTCGCCCGTCCGTCGATCCGCCGCTGCTGGGCAAGGGGCCTCCCCACGCCGTGCGGGTCGTGCCCTCTGCTAATCGGAGCTGGTCCGCACCTGTAGCTGCCGTGTCAAATGAGCATCGTGATACCACCACGATTTATATTGGCCACCTTTTTTCCTCACTGTTTCCCCAACAACTAAAATAACTATGAAGCTCATAGGGTTTTTACCCACCCTAATAATTCCAAATTTGCATCTCCCACACGTTACCCGGGAATCTGGGAGCCACAACTCTCTCATAACCTCCCACTGATTGGCATGTCGCACTCCGTGCCCTTGCCGTACACCACCTGCCATGAAACTCATGACATCTCCACCACGCGATGAGGCTATTGTGTGTGTCGTGTGGGTTTGTGCCACCACTCCTGCTCCCCGGGTGGTGGTGCTCGGTGTCACGGGCACCCAGCGCGGGGGATGGGGGTTGGGGGGTGATGATGGAGCTGGCCGTGTCCCCGCAGACCACGTGCACAAGAAGGGGAGTAGCCGCGACCCGTGCCACGACACCAACGGATGCAGCGGTCGCGCCCTGGACGCCCTCTCCGTGGGCCCCGACGGGAGGAGCTTCGCCTTCCGAGGTCCACACCACTCCTCACACCTCCTCCTCCTCACACCTCCTCTTTCTCACACCTCTTCTTTCTCACGCCTCCTCATCAGGTTCGGAGCCTAGTCCCTGTCATGAGGCCAGATGGAGCTGCAACACGACCTGCTTACGGACACAAGCACATACTATATTCAGTTGAACACGGAGGCTTTCGCGACCAATATCATCCATAATAGAGGTTGTTTTGGGGTTAGATCGCGTAAATATATAAATGTGTCGTTAAAACCCGCCGCCACCCGACACAGCCAACTAGTAAGGGTTGTCACGTAAACAGAACATGCCAATTCGTCACTAGTACAGCACCCCGGTGTGTTGGAGAACCAAGCCAGATTGTAAATGTTGTGGCTTGGCTCTCCAACACACCGGTGTTGCTGTACTAGTGACGAATTGGCCACGTTCTGTTTACGTGACAACCCTTACTAGTTGGCTGTGTCGGGTGGTGGCGGGTTTTAACGACACATTTATATATTTACGCGGTCTAACCCCCAAAAAACTCTATATTATGGACATAGTATATTGCTATCACAATTTTCTGTGTGTGTGTATATGTGTCCCTATATGTCAATGTGGGGTGTGGTAGTGTAGCGGTTCGCGCGCTGCGCTACGAACCGGGCGGCCCGAGTTCGATTCCCGCCAATGGCCAACATCGCTCACGAATACCTGAACCGGTCCTAGGCCTCCCCTAGGTCGACTCAACCTCAAATGAGTATCCGGTGGACTGTGTAACCATCGCCACTACGGAGACAAAGGTGGCCGGGCATGGTGCTGGCCACCTTCCCACTCGTGTGCCGTGGTGGCCTTCATAGGTGCTCGCTAACAGCACTTGCCCCAACAGCCTGATAAGGCTATACGGGGGGATCTTTGTCTTCATGCCTGTGCAGGAGCGTGGTTCTGGAGGCTGGACACCAGGCGGGACGGAATGCATCCATTCCGGATCATAGACTCGTGGCCCGGAACTCCTCCCAACCCAGACTCGGCCTTCGAGTGGAACTCAAACATGGTGTTCACCAAGGTGTGACGTCAACAACAACAACAACTCACACCAACGTATTTGTGCGTACATGTGTCTGCGGGGAGTGGCCGCGTATTAGCACAGTGTGCTACGAACCCAACAACAATATTGGTGACGAATTCCTAAGCTGGTCCTGGGCCTGCACCTAGGTCGACTTAGCCTTTCAAAAGTCGGTGTGGTGTGTAAACATCATCAGCACTGTGGAGACAAAGGCGGCTGGGCTTGGCGCTGGCCACCCTCTTTTGTGCTGTGCTGATCTTCAACGATGCTCTCGCCAACTGCACTTGCCCCCGACAGTCTGTTAAATCTATGAGGGGGTGTTTGTCATTGTGTTTGTGTGTATGTTTGTCTGTGTGCCTGTGTCCCCAGGGCGAGCTGGTGTGGATATTTAAGGGCGAGGGATCCTTCGTGCTGCTCTCCGGGTTCCCAAAGCCGATCTCCACCGAGTTCCCTGGGCTCCCTGCACCCTGGGACGCGGCATTCATCTGCAGCGCTCACCCCAACACCCTGACCGTCACCAAGGGTGAGTTTCCACACCCCTCTCTCCAACTCACCAGGTGAATCATCACCCCTCAGATAATTACATCTTGTACTTTGTCATTCCACTGAAGCGCATCCCGCTGTGCGCTGCCTGTAGGTGGAGACGCGTGGATGTACGAGCTGACCTCCCGCTGTGCGCTGCCTGTAGGTGGAGACGCGTGGATGTACGAGCTGACCTCCCGCTGTGCGCTGCCTGTAGGTGGAGACGTGTGGATGTACGAGCTGACCTCCCGCTGTGCGCTGCCTGTAGATGGAGACGCGTGGATGTACGAGCTGACCTCCCGCTGTGCGCTGCCTGTAGGTGGAGACGTGTGGATGTACGAGCTGACCTCCCGCTGTGCGCTGCCTGTAGGTGGAGACGCGTGGATGTACGAGCTGACATCCCGCTGTGCGCTGCCTGTAGGTGGAGACGTGTGGATGTACGAGCTGACCTCCCGCTGTGCGCTGCCTGTAGGTGGAGACGTGTGGATGTACGAGCTGACCTCCCGCTGTGCGCTGCCTGTAGGTGGAGACGTGTGGATGTACGAGCTGACCTCCCGCTGTGCGCTGCCTGTAGGTGGAGACGTGTGGATGTACGAGCTGTTCTCCCGCTGTGCGCTGCCTGTAGGTGGAGACGTGTGGATGTACGAGCTGACCTCGCGGGCCGTCACCTGTCGGGGCACGGTGCCAGGCCTGCTGGGCGGGAACTCGGTGAGCGCGGCATCGTGCTCGCACGACTCTGTGTCGCTCGCGCTGGGGGACGAGCTGATCTCGCTGACGCACAGTGGGACGCGTCCAGCCGAGCCTCACTGCGGCCTTGCTTTGGCCCCTGGTGCAGGCACGGGCTCCGTGGCCAAGGAGCTATTCCACTGCCCTGCGGACGCGGCGAGGTGCCCGACCCCCGTGGGCACGGCATGATTTAGCGAAATGAACCTTATGGCGGGACCCCGGGGTCCCGAATAAACGGAAGTCAAAATCGTAATTCATTCATTTATTTTTGGCGACTCCGTCCCACAGCGCACATAAACGCCACCACCCACCAGAAATCAATCCTCTCCTCGTTCTTCACTAAGCACCTGTCGTTGCCAACATTGCCGTAGTCATAAACAAAACTTTGAAACTTTGATTAGCACATCGTGTAGAGCTCGTCGAGAGGAACAGATTGCCGTATCGTTCACCTTCAACAGAAATAAAATGACGTCGCAATGCAGTTTATGTGAGAGCCGGGGCTTATGGGACCCCGGGGTTCCGCCATGAGGTTCATATGGCGACATTGGGTGCCGCCTTCAGAGTGATTTCGTCAGAGACAATCATGTCAGCCACCAGAGAGTCATCATCAATTACCAGCGGCACTCCCAGGAACACAGTAATTACCACCAGTATTACATCATCCTCAACGACACCAGCAGTAGTATCTGCATCACAATCCCTCAGCAGCAACAGAACGGGCATCATCACTGTGATCTCCGTTGACATCACCACTACCATCACATCCACCACCATAACTTGAATTATATGGCCACTGAATGGCGTTTTTTGCAGACAATACAAGGATTCAATGGCAGGATAGGGTAAACGACTCGGGAATTTTGAATACGTGGTCAGGATTTATAATAACGCTCTCCCTCCCACCGGATCACCACTCGTCAATCTCACGCTCCCCATGAGCCACTCTCACACACTGCTTCTAACTTGCGATGTCTGTACGCACATGCATGTATATCCATTGTGTGGGATAGTTTATTATCATTAAACGCTTTTCATTGTCATAATAGATAGATAGATATTTGTTTGTTCTTTGCATTCGTGTGACTAAAGCACACAAAATAAAATGCACACTTGCTTTACAAATTACCCTTCATCATTTGTTTGATCACCCCAAGTTGTGCCATCAAAGTGGAGTCAAGATATGATAAAACCTCCTGGAGCTCCCTTCTTCAAGGGGTACGGGCCAATAAAGTCAAATCTACCGATTATTCTCCAGTGGTCGAAATTTAAATCAATAAGTTGTAGAACAACCTATTCGTCCAGTAAGCAGCTCATGTTCACTGCGGAATCGCCGTAAGATAGAAATTGAGATGATGAAAAGTGCCGATACGACGTGCAGTAGAACACCAGCCCATTTTACCACTTTAGATCCCACAATTTGTGGTTTCTCTACAGGTTATTGGCGCGTGCTAAAATACAGATTCTCGTTGTGGTAGTCTTGGGTGTTTGAGACCAGTCCTCGGCCTCTATGCAATCTTGAAGATATTTTTTCAGTTCTCCTTGACCTTGGCCAAGACCTCGGGAATCCTCGGTCCCGAAACCATTGATGATTTGGGTTGTTTCAAAACTGGACACGTGTCATTTCCCATGATGATAACGCTCATAACATTTCTAAATATCGTCTGACAGCTCATTTTTCTGGAAAAGTTTTACCAAAAGTCAATCGTGAGGAAGTGAAAGAGATGTACCTGATTGGCTTTGTTTCAAAGTGTTTGGCAGTTTCCTCAGGGCAACACAAGCTTGGCTCACTGTTGATCATCAGTTAGCTTCGAGGATTCGGCCTTAACTGGCCTTGTCAATGGCCTGAACCTAAAACACTCCTGGCCCTGACTTTGTAACTTCCAGCCTCATGGGTCCCAACCGTGAATCCAAGACTCAGTCGCGGGCCTTCTGCGGGTGACCAGCAGCTCGTGCCAAGCAGGCAGTCCCTCAACACAGCTCAGGATTGAGTCGCACAGTTGCTTGCAAAGATGAATGAATGAGCGGCTCAGCCATGGCATAGCTCAGCTCATGTAAATCCTGAGCGTCGCTGGGACGATGGTCAGAGCCGGCTCGAGATAAGCATGGCGCTTATATCTGGCTCACCTGCACCAGAGCCAGACCTGCACAGAGCCGTGACTAAGTCAATGGAGCCTCTGAGATTGGCGGCGACATTCCGCTCCCTCCCCCCCCCCCCCCCCCCGCTTCACACCATGGAAGGTGCAGCTCCCTGAGAATCGGCAACACCACAAAACACAGTGGGGCAGGGAGGGGTATAGAGATCAGGGCGAGTGGGAGTCAGAAGAGGAGCAGGTCGGATCGCGGCAGTGTCCGTGGGTAACACAAGTACTGTGCACGGTGGCGTCCTGCGTCTTGCCGTCACTCCCTGGAACCAAAAACCAGCAGCCCTGACCTACCGCTAGCTTCCACACGCATGGAGGGGATGCAGCCAGAACACGTGGCGATCTGGCACACTGGCAGATCACCTGGCCCTACTCATTTTACCATAGAGCCACTAAACTACACATGTTCTTTACATTGGTTCATGGGTGCCCAAAGGAAGAATTTGGACTTGTTAAACCTCTTTTGTACTCTTCTTTTTTATTGTTTAATTTTAAGATCACAAGAAATTGAACAAAAGCTGAAATATATGCATATAAGTAGGGAGAGGTGCATGCTGGGAATTACAGTGATTGACGTAAAGATAAATGCATGGATCAGAGAACAAACACAGCTTTCGAGACATCATGTTGACTATTGAGAAAAGTATGGTGGACTTGGACAAAAGACTCATCGCTAGAATGAATTATGGCGATGGTCAAGGCTTGGTGATAAAATGGCAGCCGAAGGAAGGATAACGCCCAACATGAGGACCACCCAGCACATTGAGGCATGAGATTAGCTCGTGTGCAGAAGCCACATGGATTGTCGCATCGCAGGATCATGAGATATGGCGACGACTTAAGAAGACTTTCATCCAGCAGTGGATCATGGATGATGATGTCTCCTTCATAACTTCATTGATTCATTCTTGCACGCATGACTCTGGAATAGAAATACAATTGCAATCAACAAGGAAAGATACTTAAATAATAATTGCCATTTGTGATTATGGTAAAACAAATTCATTTTGATTGGTGCATGACCCTGGTACTTGAGACATGGGGGTCAGGAGGTTGTGTTCAGGAGTCCGTATATCCCAGAACAGGTTACCTCCATTGAGGTTGCTCATGGGCTCAGCGTGGTGAAGTGTCGTCTTGAGGAATATTCTGAATGAGAAGTCAACATCATGAACACCAAACACCACATCCTCATTCACATTATCACCACCATCATCATTACCATATCCCACATCACCAAGAATCACATTTCCCAATTCTCAACGTTCTGTTAGTGTATTGGGTCTCCATGCTATTTGTCCCAGATGCACGTCCCAGGTCTGTGCTCCTGTTCGAGATTTCTGATATTGTCTTGAGGGCTATGCGACTCCTCTGGCCATTTCAGTCTCAGGTCAATTCTTTAAATCAGGTCTCCCCTAAATGTGCAAGTCTCCAAAATATCAACGTCTGTGGCGAAAGTATCTACTACGTGCCCATTCTACAATGTGATCAAAGTGTCCACTACATGCCCATTCTACAATGTGATCAAAGTGTCCACCGATGTATCTATGAAATCTCAGAATGGTCCAAGGTATGTGGTATAATTCCAGATCATTCACTGTGGAACAGGTCTTCACTAGAAACCCCTGTATTTTATAATTCCCAGGTCTCTGTAAGAAACCCACTCAATATCTGAGGACTGCACTGTGGTCTCGGTCGCCAATATAGCTGCTTGTCTCTGCTACTGTGGGTTCTCTGTGAGAGACCTATGTCTTAAGTACAGACCCTGTATCCAGTAAATATCCATGTCCCCGCTGGAAAACTCAACTCTCCAGTAGAAACCTCTGTCTCCGATCGAGATCTAGGGCCCCACTGTAGACCCACATCTCCGGCAGTGCGCTTACTCAGGGGGGTGTGGCCGGTTGCGTGGGACTGGGCCGTCCTTGATGCCCTCAGGAACCCGGAGAAGCTCGTCCACTCCGATTGGCTGATCCCACAATGAGCCGTTCTTGATTGGTTGAGCAGGCATACGCATGCGGAGGTTTAATCAAAGAGATTCAATAGTATATTCTTGGTTCATTCGCCAAAGTCATGTAGTATTTGCCTTCTACGTGACTTTACCGAAAGAACCAAGAATATGAATCCCTGCAGTCACGAAAGCTTTAAATCGAAATTTATACTTCCAATATTCTCTATTTTACGTGGCAGTGCCCGTAGGGATATTGAACCGCTACCTCAGACTGCAACAGTAAGGTGTACTGATGTAATACCATTATCAGGATTGCTGCATGTCATACCAGTAGTGCTTGGCCGCCTGTGCTGCAGGATCAGATCAATTCCTTTTGACAACTGAATTGGAATATTTCTCATAAAGGTACCAAATAGCTGAGAGGCTCGACCGGGACACGTGGTGCACTTGCAGCCCCTCTCTCCGTCAGCCCCACCCACTTCTGTATGGCCATACCCACCCACTTCTGTATGGCCATACCCACCCACTTCTGTATGGCCATACCCACCCACTTATATATGGCCATACCCACCCACTCACGAGCCACACCCGAGACTGCGAGTGGCCTCCCTCTTCCTGAGCTTGGCTTTGCCCCCTGCTCATATGCTACACCTTCTAGGCCGGCAACTCCACCCACTATTCAGGCAGTGGGCGATATCGTGAGACCCCCCCCCCCCCCAAACCTGGTCGCCATTAAATAGCAGCAAATAGCAGCGCAGCAAGTAGGTCGCCGACCTACACAGATGTGTTCTTCCCGAATATTCCTGGGTTTCATCTAACAGACAACCCTCCATGTGGAACACTCTAAAATAGTACTGGCAAACATCCCAAACACCATTGTAAAAAGTCTCAAAGATGCAATGAGGTTTTCCTAGGTAAACCAATATTACTCGTCACATGGCATTCAGAACGAGGAACGGTAAGCACGTGGAGTGAACAAAGGGACCGACCAGTTGTGGGACGGGCTGCAGCCAATCGCGAGCCCCGTGGGCAGCGTCATGTGAGGTGGCGCTCTCGCGGGAATGGGAAATTTCACGGGACCAGAGGTCACGTGCCGCCCGACGCGTGATGTCCATCTGTGCATGGAGCGACAGCTGTGGGAAATAGAGCATTGAGACAACAATTATATTCCTTATTCCTTTTATAACATAATCCATGCTTCGAGTTTCCTGGCTGGCTGCTGGCTGGGTTCCTCTCCACTCCAACAACAAATAAAAAAAATATTTATTGTTTGTGGCTGCGGGCCGTTGTCACCAAAAGTAGTAAATGGCTAAACGTGTTACAAATAAATATTGCATTGAAAAGGTGGAAGAAGTTCGGAAGACATATCATTGACAGCGACAATGAACAGGTGGGAGTAGCGATAACAGAAGACTGGCACGGTTCATTTAAAATTGCTATACATTTTCAATTGATCCTCGTAAGTCGTAATAATGTAATGCTTTCGCCATGTTTTATAAACCCTAAAGCATATTCAAATAAACCTCACAATACATATTATCTTGGCAAGCAGTATACTTTTAGTCCTCCGAGTGCAAGAATGTGAAAGTGTATTAAATTGGCGGCTGTATCTTATTTTGCGTTGCAGAGCAACAGGTAATCTCCTCGTCATAGTAATAAGTAAACTTAGTCCTCTGCGCCGGGGTTATAAGAATACAGCATTGCAGATGTATCGAACGAATTACAGTCCTCCACGCTCATGATAAATGCAAGCATTATCATGAATTGTTTCCGAGTGTATTTTGCATCTTTATGATTGGTTCACAGAACCCTGCAAGGCACTTTGAATTCTACACGCAACGCGTCCATACCAACAAACACACACGTGAATCAAATCGTGACAACTCATCGAATCGGCGAGGAATCCGTGGATATCTGCATACGATATACACGTATATCGTCCACTTTATATAACGTAGTTTATATTTACATTGCAAATTAAGTAAACGTGCAGAAGCATCTTTGAATTACTGACACATTTAGCTCAATATTAAGCAGTGCGTTGCTCCAGTCACACGTTTATTGCTCACACGAGGTTACCATTGGGCACCTCGGCCAGCCCAGCGTGAGCTACACGGCTGAGCGAAGGAGGATCTGTGATCACACCATATTATTGTCTTGCACCGAACCGCTTAACTCACTCCGATATTCACCATTGGAACCTCCTTTGCCAGTAGCAAAATATGATAATAGATTTTTTTTACCCTTTTATCTGGCAACAAAAATGACACTTTTTTTGTACAAGGAGTCAAGTTTGCATTGACCACAATACCTGCGGTCGGAATGCAAACAAAAAAACATAACTCTGATAATGTATTGGCACTGTCCTTGAAATTGATTGGTCCACACCCGAGATAGCTTTCCTTAGAGCCTCGTCTTACAATTGTCATATTTTGCTACTGGTAAGGGAGGTTCCAATGGTGTAAATGCTTGCCCCGAGCTCTCATACTCTTATGGTGCATTGTCTTTGAGTCGTGCGCCTTTTGGCGTCATCTGGTCCAACACCATGTGAGACGAGGCTCTAAGGAAAGCTGCCTCGGGTGTGGACCAATCAATTTCAAGGACAGTGCCACATACATTATCAGAGTTATGTTTTTTGTTTGCATTCCGACCGCAGGTATTGTGGTCAATGCAAACATGACTCCTTGTAAAAAAAAGGTGTCAGTTTTGTTGCCAGATAAAAGGGTAACAAAAATCAATTATCACTCGGATAATAGTTTATTTACAACAACACCCCCCACCCGTGAGATCGAACAGCGCGGTAGCACCAACAAGCGGACACACATTCAAGATGTTGCCGAAGCAGTGGCCGGGCTCGCGTTGTGGACGAGCTCGTTCCGCTCACTCCGCTGCTGGATGAGGCGGCCCCGATGCGCGCGCTGCAGGTAAGAGCCCCGCTTGTCTGACCCAGGATGGGAGGACAGGCAGGTGAGCGGGGCTGGCACCGCAGCGTGGACATTCGCCCACAGGGACCTCCTCTCCACAATTGCCCGGCCCGCATGGTGAACACGCGAACCGGCACACGATGATTGACCAGGATGAGCACGTCGAGGCACGAATCGCGCACGCGGTGGCAGGGTCGAACCAAATTCATGATGAAGGCGTGGGAGAGAGAGAGGCACGGCGACGGCTGATAAGGCATCACATTCTAGCACCTGGCGACACCAGAAGCCTGCGAGCGGCCCAAGAACAGACAACAGAGACGGAGCGCGTTGATGAGACGGAGCGCGTTGATGATACGGAGCGGTGAAATCGGCGCGCGTGTGGGTGCTCGAGGTGAAAGATTACATCGCAGGATCGTGAAAGGTGGGGACGGCTGGGTGAGGCCTTCATCCAGCAGTGGATCGACCGCGCCTGACGATGATGATATTTAGACGCGCACATGCAGAATCGCAGAGCCACACACTCATAGCTTATGCGCTATGCATATCTAAGCTATATATTGTTTTATTTTACCACGCAAGGCCCCACGGAGCTATATAAATATTTTTCAAAAGCGACCTGGCCACAAATGATAGGCCCAGGAAGTGGCTCATCGTGCGGAAATATATTGCGAACAAATCCTCCAAACGCGTGTTTGTATAGCGTAGCGCGCCCCCATCCCCCGTAAGCGATTCCCATCAGCACGAGCGGCGTGATTACAGAGAACGTCGCGGTGTCATCAGTCGTTATCGGTACGAGTCCCACCGCGAATCAGTGTTTGGCGAGGCGCTCTCTCACCTCTCACCGGGCACGCTCTCAGGTGGCCCCCGGGGTGCCCTGCTCACCTGTTGGGCAATCTCACGCGTCGCCGTGGTAACTGCGACAAACACAAACATCTCGCCCCCCCCCCCCCCCCCCCCGTGTAGCCTCACAAGACTGTGCTGTTAGCGAACACCTATGAAGGCCAACACGACAGACGAGAAGGGGTTAAGTGGGTTATACCGAGCCCGGACGCCTTTGTCTCCCCAGTTCCGATGTTTACACAGAGCACCAGCGTACACGCGTATAAGGCTGAGTCTACCTAGGGGAGACCCAGCACTGGTGAACGAGTTAGTCTCATGGGGGGGGGGGGGGGGTTCAACAAAGACCGCACAGCACGTTATTTATTTGTATGTTCAAGTCCAACTGCTTTAGGAGCCGAAACCCTTGGTGGAGCATTCAACAAGCACCCTTTGAAGGGAACAAGCTGTTGCCTCCAAATGTGTGAAAATGAAATGCGTTTCGAAGCGACTTCAGCAGCAGGAGTTGTGACATCTCGGAGGGCCGTTTTCCCGGACGCAGCGTGCTCCTCTGCTTGCTGAACGTTTCAATCGGAAGTTCCTTTCACGTCATAACATACGGCCAATCGCACAGTTGAACCGTAGAGAAAATATAACAAATTGAATCTCAAATTTTGATTTAAAGCTTTCGTGTACTGCAGTAATTCATATTCTTAGTTTTTTCGGTAAAGTCACGTTGAAGAGGTAACAACAAAATAATAAAATATATATAAAACAATAAAAAAATTCTCACGACGTTTCGACCATAACTCAAACGTGGCTTTCAGACAGCATACATTATAAAAAAAATTCGTCTCCCCCCTCCTCTTTTCAGAATATAGATGGACTAGTCCTGGGTAAACTGCCAAATCGCTGCGCGTGGCGCTAACGTTTTTATTATAAATAAATAAATGCGCCGTTTAAAAATAAATTTATGCAAACCAACACACCTGAAGATGACCGTTTGAGTTATGGTCGAAACGTCGTGATAATTTTTTATTGTTTTATATATATTTTATTATTTTGTTGTTTCTCTTCAACGTGACTTTACCGAAAAAACTAAGAATATAAATTGAATCTCATTACAATATGCTGCTACCGTAGCTGTCATAGTAGCTTTAGGAGCTCCAGCGGGTCAACTCAAGAGGCAGAGAACGGTAGAGCCCAGAATAAAATCGAGCACTCGTTTGCTGACTATACTGCATGTGCCAAGTTATCGATGGAAAGATTTACTCAACGCCGTGGACATTTGGCTGTACACACAACCTGTTAAAATGCTACACACACACACAAACCCTCGCACAACTTGAAATGTTGATGCTCGTGTGTAAAATAAAACAACTTTAAACAGCACCCATTTCTCTCTGTGCGGGCTCTGGGGAAAAACAACTCGCAAGCATTTAAGGTCCAATAAGTTAAATGTGGAAAATTTAAAAACTTGTACCTCCATATTGTGACTCTTAAAATCATATTTTCTGGGCAACAATGTGGGTTGTCGCACAATGGATTACACACTTCTTTACCATATCGATGTTCCAGATAGTTGTGGTATTCTCTCGAACAGCTCGGTGGCATCACGCACTTTCAGAGCTGCTACTCAAGCGACCACACAGACAGAACGAGCGCTGGCGGTGGTGGTGTTGTTGTACTGTATCGGGTTGTATCACGGGGTCCCACACAGCAGCGACTGTGTAGTTTGCTTAAGCAATGCAAACTGCAGAGTCTATTTGCACTCCGTGACGACCACGGCAACATGCAAATGATGGCGTATGCCCGGCAGACTGCTGCACAGTGGACGGCCTCGCAAGCGGTACAGGTGCGCCGCTGCATTTGCTGGCTGACGCCACTGATGGCAGAAGGGCCTTCACTTGAGCGGACTCGATAAGGGACCGTCCATAAATGACGTCACGCGATTTTGGACGATTTATGACCCCCCCTCGTCGCACGGCGTCACAGTCAGACCCCTCGCCTCAAATATGACGTCACAAAGCTCTGCCCCCCCCCCCAAAAAAAATTCCATTTTGAAAATAAAACATGCTTCAAATCGTTTTCAACTATTGTCATTGTAGTGTGTACTTAATGTGGCGCTGCACCCTGATGTTGTAGGAATGTTGTTATAACAATTCTATATTTATTTAAAGTTGCGCATTTTGATGTGACGTCACATTTCTCAACCCCCCCCCCCCTCGTTACACATCGTCACAAATGCCTGACCCCCGTCCCCCCTAGGTGCGTGACGTGATTTATGGACGAACCCTAAGTTATCTCGCCTCCCCTCGCACGTTCACCACACGTTGGCAGAGGTGAGCATTCCCACGCTTTACCCCATCACACGTGACCTGCTGTGGATCACCCATTTAAACTCCTGGGTGGATAGAGACACGGAGGGATAGGTGGGGGGAGGAGTATCTTAGCTATCTGCACAATAATTGTTTGAACTGGTGCCCCAGCAGATGTAATTGAACGGGCGGCCTCCAGATTGCTAGCCGAGTGCGCTGTTACACCAGGGCAGCTCCCACACCGTATCATGCGCATCGTTAAGGCTGCTGCCAAAACATGGCTTCGCATCCTCACGTGAGCCACCAAACTTTAAATTGCTCCACTAACAGGTACAAACCACAAACACACACACACGGGTACCAAGACTATGGTGACGTTTATTTAAATGTTAACATTAGTTTTGTCATTTATAGCACACCTGTCCCCATTGATAGACTTTTTTTGCATTGGGAAACACAATGCCCGCGGTTTTCAAGTGACAAAGACTCGACACCTGTCAAAAGCATTGCCCACACTCCCGTAACGTTCACCAAGACTGCTTTCCTTAATAATGTACAAATGATCGCCATTTAAACCCAAGCACCATAACAAAAAACGGCAGACGCTGCAATTGTAAAAGCTTGTGCGTACCGTCGTGCAGTGTACACGTTTCGGTGTGTGCGTGCTGTGCGATCACCCTCTTTGTGCTCTTGAGAGACGTAAGACGAGGGGCGACAAGAGGTAGGGGACAACGCGAAGTGGAGGCGTGACAGCGAGGTGCAAGTGAACGGAGCAAGTGGCGACACAAGGAAAGGGGCGCACCGCAAGTGGAGGAGTAAGGGGGGAAGTGTCCGGGGGTTGTGCTGTGTTGAGACGTCAAAGGTTTGCGAGATTGAGAACGAGACTCCCGAATGGGAGAGGGGGTGAGGCCGATTTTTCAGGGCTTGAAGCTCAGTCTACAGGTTAGTTCATGTCAGTGCAGCTTCAGAAAGTCGGGAGCACCGTCAAAACTCTGTGCCGATTCAAGAATCAGCAGCTCAACACAGGCAGAGCTTTTAACATGGCAATGTTCACTGGATAATCTGATATTGTGTCATTCTGTTTGGTGCCCTGCCCCCGGGCGGTGACATGTCCTGGCGGTAGCGTGTTGGCTGTTTATTGCCGATTCACGGTTCGAATCCAGTTGCCGCCCTGGTTATTACTGTGGGTGTTTTATGAAAACATTAACCATTTGATTCAAAACGGACGTTAAAGATCCCGTGACGTCATTTGCAAGAGCGGGGAATTTTGTGCTGAACGTCAAGATTCAATCTTGCCAATATTGATAAAATAATAACAAATTACTCAATTGAGAATATTGATAGTAATTATTGCCCCCCTACTATGAAAACCTGGTAGGACCCTCCTAAAAAAAGAGTCAAGTGAATCAGCGAGGCTCTCCCGGGTAAAGAAATTGTTATTACAAATCATGCGCTAAATCTATTGGGCAGTTATGATACTTCTCTACCGTTGTGGAAATGCAAAGGGAAACGGTTATAGAAAATTACTGGATTAAACGGGCAACACTACGGATGGGAACCATGGTGCGTCAAATTGTAAAACATTCCCAAGGCTGGGCTTCAAACGTGTCCAGTGCTGCTCGTAATGATACAACAGATTCATAGCAACATCAAAAAACAAAGATACGTGTGCGGCAGAAAAATGAGTGTTGGGTTTTAAAAGTGAAAACCGGAAGACAATAACGAATTTCATTTGAAATAGCTCGACAAGGATGCACTCGACCGCTCATGCTCTCTCTACTGCTGGAAGACTACCTCGTACCCATGCCATTAAACATGTTTAGTCATGTTAAGAAACGCGTGCTTGAGTAAAAATCACTTGGCAACCCACATTAATGATTTAATTAATAATAATTGCACTTAATGATTTACTCACTTTAAGAATTACTGCGATTTGTTTCATTTAAATGTGAATATGGTTTAAAATGCAAGACTATGAATGTAACCAAACAACGAATTAGCATGCAGACCACACAATTTTAGAAAAGTTAGCCCGTCATTTGTCAGGCCAACTATTTAAACTGCCTCTCTGATATCAGCCGCTCTTAAGTTTGACTCCTCTTCATAGGATAAGCTGACCACTCCAAATGGGATCAGCTGTTCCAGCTGAGATCAGGTTCTCCGCGTCAGGATGTGAGTTGGGTTGTTCGTAGCAACACTTTCCATTTGGATCATCTTTATGAGATTGCTGAAACCATTTCTCGTGATATGAAGCATGCGTTTACAGTTGAATCAATAGCCTGATCTGGATAAAACCAGTTCCCAGTAGTATCAGCCTTTTCCTGTGAAATCAGCTATACTTTGTGGATTCAGCTGTGCTTGGTGGGATCACAGTTGTTCCTGATGCCATCAGCTGTTCCTTCGAGGGCTGCGTGTCCTTGGTCAGATTTCGGTGACGTAGTTTTTTGGGAAAATCCCGACTTTGCCATTTAGTTCCCCTTTGAGCCACTCCAAGCCCTCAGCTCCGAGGATGGTCAGCACATCACCAGTCTGTGAGAAGAACACAACCAACATCACCTGCATTGCCATAGTCATCGCCATAAACGGAATCACCACCATGGCCAATTTCAGAAAAATCAGTTACCACATCTCCAAGAAATGTCAATAGCATCACTGCCTCCAGTGATTTTACTACCACCACATGTAACATCACCTTCAGCAAAAACACCACTCATATTACTGCCAGCAACACCACCACTGACAGTGTCACCACCACCTCCTTTTTAAGACCATTAGTTAAAGATAATTCACAATAATGACTTAATGCTTTCGTGACTGCAATAATTCATCGTCTTTGGGTCTTTCGGTAAAGTCACGTAGATAGGTTCAAATAAAATAACCTGCAGTTTTTTGTTATTTTTTTGGTCATTTTCTTTGAACCTATCTATCTACGTGACTTTACCGAAAGACCCAAATAATATAATTCACAATAAGTCCAATGTCAACCCACGACTGACTGATCCCTCCACCTTCAAGAGGTAAGCTAGCTCATGTTATACAGGTCAGAGGTTCTCAAGCTTTAGTGTCACATAAATAGTGTCGGAGGAAATAACAGTTGTACGGAATACTGCAGGCTTCAGACAAAACTTTAGAAACTGTGCTGGCAGCGTCATTCAAGCAGTCTAGAGCAGGGGTCGGCAACCAAATTGATGAGTCACTGCGGCTCTTGAAATAGTGGATCTGAAGACGAGACAGTCCTTAATAAATAACATCACGAAGCAATCCTTAAAGAGCCACATGCGGCTCCCGGAGCCGCAGGTTGCCGACCCCTGCTCTACAGTAACAAGGCAGTGATTTGCGAATGATGTGTTTCTGGACCATCCTCACTCCACCGTTTCATTCCAGATGCCGAGTGCAGAGGTAGGCAGTTGAGCAACGGTCAGTCACAGCCAAACACACTGCACATTGCGGACCCCCTATGGGCCCCCCAAATCCCATTGAAGATCCCCTGATGACGAGTGCCGCTCCTAGGCGTCCACAGACGCCAGTTGAGAGGCCCTGCGGTGGACGTGCAAGGCAGGCTCGGTCGTTACCTTGAAGCTGAGCTCCTCGACATCTTCGCCAAAGAAGTCGTAAAGTGCCTTAACCTGAGGCTTCTCCTCACCTGGACAACCATACGCACAAACACAAGTGTACACACGCGCACACATGCACACAGCCAGTCACGTGCACGTACACATGCATGCATGCATGAGGTAATAATTTCAAGCCAAGTTGACCTAAGGGAAGCCTAGGAAATGTTTAGATAGCATTTGCCACTTATAAGCTACACGGGCAGGAATTGAACTCAGGATTCTGAGATCATAGTACAGTTTGCAGAGCACAGCAACACCACTACCCCCACACAGATAAATGGCTACAACAAAGAACCCCCTTGTACACCCAATATGGACTGTTGGGGCAAGAGCTGCTAAAGAACATCTATGAAGGCTGGCATGGTGGTCGTGGTGTGGCCCGCCAATGCTCAGTCATCTTTGTTTCCCCGGTGGTGGTGATTACACACCACACGAGTTACTTGCTTAAAGTCATTGACCGAAAGGAACTGGTTCAGAACCGAGGTTGCCAGATTCATGTACGAGAACTGCTTTCCACAGAGACAAAGATCCCCTGTATAGCATTAACAGAATTTTGGGACAAGTACAATTAACAAGTACTTATGAAGGCCAGCACGACACACCAAGGGGTGGGTGACCAACACCACGCTCGGCCGCCTTTGTCTCCCAAGTGGCGATGTTGACACACCATACCAAGTACTCATTTTAGCCCGAGGGAAGGCCCAGGACCGATTCAGATAATCGTCACTGGTGTTGGCCGTGAGCGGGAATCCAACTTGGAGTGCTGGATTCGTAGCGCAGGGCACTCACTTCTGCATGACTGCTCCCCACACACACTGTCACTCACACCCACGCGTGAGTGTAAGTATCCCTGTTCCCACGGAGAGGAGTTGCCCAGCCGGGTACCTGCGATGAGCGGAAGGTCCTCTAGGATCTCCACGAAGTCGAGCGGGAAGAGGCCCTCGCGGCCGTCACGGAGCCGCCCGCGTGCCCACTCCCCGCCAGGGTCACGCGCACACAGCGCCACCACGGTGCCTTCCTCCAGTGCCAGCTCGTCCTCTTGGCCCGGCTCAAAAGTGAAGCGCACCAAGCAGCGTGGCCCACTAGCACACACGCACATGGGCGCGCACATACACACACACGTGGATGACCCGTGTGAGTAAATAGGGGAGCACACAGGTACACGCACTGTAAAAACAAACGCAAACGGATGGTAGTGCCCTCCTCCAGCACTAGCTCATCCACATGACCTGGCTCACATGGGAAACACACCGTGCATTGTGGACTGCGAGTCTACATGTACACGCATGCATGCGACAAACGCACACACGAGCAGACGCAGAGGCTAGGCAACTTCCACACGGTGTTACGCAGCCGATGAAAGACAATGTTGCTCGAATGATTTAGATTAAGACCTCCTCTGCCACATTCGAACTTTGCTCTTTTCCTGCGATTGATAATTTCCTCTGTGTTACCCATGGCTTGGCCACTGCCGCTGCTACACACCCACACTGGCCACTGCGGGAGTCATGCAAACCCCACGCTTCATCCCCGCTGCTGACGTGTGGTCTTGGGGCTGGCGGGAGAATCGAAAGATTGCTGGGAACGCGAGGAGCGCCTCTCCTCCATGCCCCAGTCACAAAGAAACCCTCCTCCGGATTCATACAAAAAAACTGAGCTCTGGTGCGGAGCTCACACAGCCGCCCGGGCGCCAGGCTCCAGGTGTCAGAGAAAACCGAGGGATTCCTGTGCGAAGCGACACGTGATCCGTGACGCGGAGCCCCAAAAGTGACGGGCGTTTGCCCCCGACAGATTGTGGTTTTTGTTAGGAATTGTGATGTGAGCTGGGCATGGGGTCATGCAAAAAATGTATGGAACTTGCCAATGGCTGCTGCTGGTTAAAGCATTATTTGTGTTCTCACCTGGAAATTTCGTCTTTGTCTTCTACATCCACCTGCAAAAAAGACACGGCCAAGCATGCAGACTGGCATCAGTTTCTATTATCTCATCACCAATCGGATCCCCACCGTGCTACCGGAGTCAAACATGAGGCGTTGAAGCTCTAGTTAGAATGACTTCTAATGAGGTCGGACCCACAAGTTGAAGTCACCGTTGCTCAGTGGGGTATGGTGGATGCTGTTCGCATTGTTGCTGTGGTGTTGTTGCTGTGGTGTTGTTGCTGTGGTGTTGTTGCTGTGGTTGTGTGCGTACCGGCACTCTGACGTAGCATGCGGGGAAGATTCCGGTCTTCCCGCGCAGTTCCCCACGGAGCCACTCCCCGCCTGGCTCACGGCCAAGCATGCGCACGGTGTCTCCCACCGCCAGGGACAACTCTCCAGGTTCCTCTGATACCACGCCACAGCACACCAGTGAGATGAACACAACGCCACGCAAGCAGGATTACCACCACGTCATGTCACACAGTCAAGATTAACACCATATTACGCCTTCAACATTAACACGCCACAATGCACCGTACGGCCAAGATGAAAGCCATGCAACATTAAGATGAACACCACATATCCCGTCATGCCATATGCGGTGAATATTAACATCGCGTCAAATATAGCCATCAAAATGATCACCAAGCCATCAAAATTAACAAAATGGCACGTCTCTTTGGACTCAGTGTGGAGTTCTCAGTTTCTCTCTGGTTTGGATATGGGTTTCTCTACTTCATTCTCCAACCCACAGTTTTTCCCCACCCCATCCTGTTGTCTACAAGTCTTCACAGCTCTCTCTAGGGCAAGGTTTGGTTTGTTTCTGAATGGTTCCAAGAAGAGGCACCATCTCTCTCACTCTCTCTTGTCCTCTGGGTCTCGGTCCACGCCCTGCCGCGAGTCTAAGAGGGTCTAGGGGACAGCACTTTGCAAGGCAGCGCCTGCCTCTCACCGGCAGTGAAGTCGTAGAGCACCTCCGCACACGGGGAATTCTGAAACCGATACAGGAACTTTAAGACAAGAGTTCGATATTAAAAGAGACAAAGGTTCGATATCAGATGAGATGAGAGTTCCTGTATTATGTGTTTGGGTATGAAAGTGTGCACGAGTACACGTGTACACACACATCTGCTTGCGGATACGTGTTCATATGTATGAGTGTTGTGGGTGCAAGTTTTTGTGGGGAGCGGTGACTCAGTGGTTAACGCACTGTACTCTGAACCCAGCGATCCGAGTTCAATTCCCACTCATGACCAATAACAGTGGTGGATATACGAACCGGTCCTAGGCTTCTCCAAGGTAGACTCAGCTGTAAATGAGTATCTGGTGCGGTGCGTAGACATCAGTGCTGGGGAGACTAAATTGGCCAGGCGCAGCGTTTGGTCACCCACCCCCTCGTGTGCCATGCCGGCCTTCATAGGCGCTGCTCGCTAACAGAACCTGCCCCAACAGCCTCTTAAAGGCTATACCGGGGGACCTTTGTCTGCGTGCCCTAATAAGAAGGGAGGAGGCCGCGCGTGGCTAGAGATGGCAGCGTGGTGCACTGCTCACGCCAGGCGCCGAGCCTCTCCCGTCGTCACCGCCGTCGTCGTCGAGCGGCGTGACAATGTTCACGAGAGAGCGGCGCACGCGGCCCACACGGTTACCACGGCGGCACTCCAGCCACACGCCATCCTGCTCCGCCACCAGGGGCAGCACCTCGTACGGCTGGGAAGCGCACCACACACACACACAGACTCAGAAAAAGATCCCCCCCCCTATGATGGCAATAGCAGTGACGGTGACGGCAGTGGCGGTGAAGTGATAGTGTGGGTGACGGTACCTTAAAAGACAGCTCATTTGGTGCCTTTGCTTGGTTTTCCACGCGTGTGAGCACATGGGGCATGGGAAGCTGTAACGCACAAAGGCAAACACACCATATAGCCTCAACATACTTGTAGGGAAAATGCTGCTCGTGAGCACTTATGAAGGTCGGCACGGCACACGAGGGGGTGGGTGGCCAGCACCACGCCCAACCGCCTTTGTATCCCTAGTGGCGATGATTACACACTGCAACAGGTACTCATTTGAGGCCAAGTCGACCGAGAGAGGGCCCAGGGGACCAGCACAGATAATTGTCAATGGTGCTCGCCATGAGCGGGAATCGAACTCGGGTCTGTAGTGCAGCGCGCTAACCGCTACACTACCGCTCTACACACGTAAACCAACACTACACACACACACGGATCCACGTGCGCGCACTCACGCACGCGGGCACACGCTCGCATGCTGACGCACACGTGCTTGCTCTCACCATGTAGGAGTTGTACAGGGGGTGCCCCGGACCCGGTCTTGGGGGCAGGTCCCCTTGTTGATCCTCGGCGTTCTCGTTATTCACGTCGTTCCCCCTCCGTTCGCGGCTGCGCCCCCTTGGCGTTGCGTCGGTTCGGGCTGGGCCCCTCGTGTTGCCAGGCAAGTAGCTAGGCCGTGGAGGAGGAGGCTTCTTAGGAGGGACCTTCTGAGTGCTCGGCCTAAAGTACACACACACACACAGACGAAGATCTCTCGTGTAGCCTTAACAGACTACTGAAAAGAGATGTTAGTGAGCACCTATGAAGGCCAGTATATTGCCACAAGAGAATGAGTTGGCCAACACCACAACCAGCCCCCTAGTGCTAATGTTTACACACAATACAAGATACTAATTCAAGGTCGAGTTGACCTAGGGGAGGCATGGGAGCAGAGTTTCTGATATAAATCCCCACTGATCTTAGCTGTGACTGGGAATCAAACGTATTTCACAATTGAAAGCACAGTCATCTAATTTATTTGATTTTATTTCACACACAACAACACATCCGAATGTAACACACTTGAGGGAAACTTTTAGAATTCGTGAAATGTGAGGTGAGATAAGTGAACAGCTGATAACGATGTTGATTCTGATAAAATGTGAGCAGCTCATTATCTTAATCATCATCATCATCATACCTTTTGAGGCACTGGGAAAGGTCGTCTGTAAAACTTGCCCGGCTTTCACTTGCTCGATTGTTATCTCCAAGCTGCACACACAAAGATCCCCCATGCAGTTTTACAGACTGCTAGGGCAAGTGCCATTTTTGAGTACCTACAAAGGCCAGCACGGTGCACGAGGGAGTGTTCTTGCCAACAACCAGGACCCTCCTCAAAAGAGTCTTGAGACTCAGGGAGGCATTCCTGGATGAATACATTTCCATTATTACATTAATTATAATAAACTTACAGAATACATGTGAAAATCAATTTGCAATTGTACAACGACCTACCTCATCCAGTGAGCGCGACGACCCGTACCTCGTTGATGCCTGGAACTGAGATGGTTTTCTGGGAATCTTTGCGACATCTGGGGTCGATCAACATCATCAACCACCACCACATCAGCATCAACACTTCAGCACCAATGCTATGATTGTCTACATGAATCATCAAGGAGACACCCTGGCATTAAGGCCGCTATATCAAAAAACAATAATCGGCACCATAGTGGAGAATATAAATAACACGATAAATAAGCAGACAATGTCTCCACATATCCATCTCCACATTAAACACATTTCTTGCACAACCCATCAGTCGCAGGGCTTTCTGGGTTGTGTAAAAAATTGTTTGATTTACTTGGAGAAAGGTAATGTGGAGATATATTATCTACTTAATAATTATGTTCCATCAAACAAGCAATTATCATTAATATCAGCACTAAACATCAGCATCGACACTGTAGCATAAGATCAACATGGGCATTAGTGATGCTATTTACTTGTTAAACAATCACTATTCATATTGCAATCAACAACACCTCATCATCACCATGATCATCAAAGCAGCAAGTTGGCACAGTGGGGGGCAGTCACCTCAGTAAGTCAACACATGGGTCTGTCCCGTGACCTCCTGCCAATAGCGAGTCTTCCACATTTCACGTGGCCTCAAAGTGCACTTAGCCTGGCACTAGCGCCGTGATGACATCACCGCCACTTAGTGATAAATGCCGTTGTTGCTGTTGTTTTTTGTTCACTTGTGTGTTTGCGTATATAGGTGTGCGTGTTACCTGATGCCGTTGGCCGAATTATGGTCGGTTTCCTCAAAGGCAGGGTTGGAGTCTCACTTATGGGATACCCTGAACGGAACACACAGCTCATTTTCCTCATGGCATTATCAGCGCAGCAATTGACACACGTCGTTCGCTGTGCAGTGGATGCTAAAGACCATGTGACGTAATAATTCGCAAGAGTCGGCCATTATGAGCCACCGATGTCAAAGCTAACAGCTAAACTGGGTAAATGCTTTAGTCTGAAGTCAATGGGATAGTTGTTAGAGGTAGAAGAGAAGTGACCTCCCAGCTTACCAAAGACGTCTTGGGTTTTAGGTTTGCAGAGCTGAGGAAAGGGAGGACTAATCCACATGGCAGCAAGGCAAGAGAAGGTGGATATAAAAAGGTGAAATGTTGCAGTAAATTAGACCACTATGATTACAGCAATTATAATCATTACACCACAGAATCATTACAATAAATACCCTATCTATAATATAACAGTCATACAGTATTTATCTTTATCATCTGCACCACGACATATCATTCAAATGATAAATAATTGATGGTCGTAAAGCATTACCAACACAATTTCCTTCACAAAGACAATCATAGTTCTATCTACGGGACTTTACCGAAAGACCCAAAGAATATGAATTCCTCCAGTCACGAAAGCTTTAAGTCAAGATACAATCATCGTCATCATGTCAGTAAAATCAGTGTCTTCATAGTTATTAAGATAGTAAATGATCATGTTTACAATACTGCTAGAAAACTAAGTGTTGTATATGTACAGTCATGTATTTATTTATTCAAGAAATGCTCATTGAGTTATGCTTCTGATATTTTGTTAGGTCCTTTAGTATGTACAGTACAGGAAGAAATCGGAATGCTTGGAGAAACCCCACACTTCTTGGAAATGTGTATTACAAGTCACGTGCTTAAACCGAAAAAATATGTTCTACGGTTTATTCGAAATCCACGTGATCCCCTCTGTAGTACAGCAGTTGCATATCTTTACAACAGTGGGCAGTTTGATTTTTATTTCCATGGCTCTGCTATCCACTTAGTGGGCGGAGTCTTCTACGAGGAAGCAGTAAAGTTACCACTAAGCACGCACATCGATCGGTCCATCGTTAGTATTCATAATTTATACCTTGTTGTTTTTGGCATAGACATCCGCGGAAAATGGATATTTTTGGATTATCCGAGAATTTTAATTATCCGCGGCCGTCATGAATAAAATATTTCATTAATATAATAATAAAATACATCAGTAAATATTATGTACTGTACTCATGAGTGCATTCCACTTTACTCCTCCTACAGGGCAGCCATGGGGGAGCTACTGCACCCCCAATCCGGGTCATTTTCAGAGAAGAACTCCAGGACCCACTTGATCTTAGTGATGCCCTCAGTCTAAACTTCTATGGTGAGGTTTATTTTAGGTGGACCCTGAGACTCTATCCTAGTGCCATGAGTTCCCACCTGGCTAAACAAATAAAATAATTTTATATTATCGTGACTACAAATCTTGAAAATCGAATCACCCGGGGTGGGGTCTGGTTGGCTCAGCGTACATCGCTCTCATCGGCTAAGTGAATGATGGGAACGGGTACATTTTCTCAGCCAGCACTACTGCGTGTTCTTACTCAGCATTCGATGGGGACGCGCCAAGCGAGGTCTGCCTGCAGCTTACATATGCTACAACACCACTATGCAGTCTACATATGCTACAGCCCTTTTCAATTCCATGTAAATAACAAGGGCAAGGAATAAAATGAATTTATAAAACGAATACGTCACTGAATTTTGACAAGTCAAGTAACGTGGAGAGTGAACTTTCACTTTGGTAGCATGCAACACAATACCAGGGCCAACACTGTTGGCATCAAGCACGTCGCGTAGTTGAAGGGCGTAGGCAGCGGAATAACGACAAAGACATCCGACATTCACCTTCCAGTGTCCTGCGAGTTGATGTGTGCAGAGACGCAAAGTTGTTGCCGTGTTTCCTTCCTCCACTGGCACCGTCATCTCGCTCCTCATCTGACCATGATGCGGGATCCACCTGAGGCCGCTCCATTGAAGCGGCCGCAGCCACTGCCGCTCCCGCTGACCGCTTATTCACGACCGCGTACAAGTCCGCAGCACCGCCACCTTGCGTTATCGCCGCAGCTGCCGCCGCCGTTCCAGCTGGCCGCTTATTCACGACCGCGTACAAGTCCTGAATACTGCCGCCTTGCATCGCCGGCACCGCTGAGCCAGCCTGCTTCGCCCCGGGCTTCGGAGGCAGCAAAGGCTTCGACGGCAGCACGGCCATGGGCTTTGGCCCTTGAGGCATCAGCGGGCGACCGCACGAGTTCGTCGATGCCATTGCGGAGAAGGAGGAGACGGCGTCCGCGACCGATGACGACGGAGCGGACGGACGCCGCGCGTCATCCTCACGGCATCCCTTGGCACCGCCTCCATTGATGCTGGTGCCGTCCCCCGGGGGTAGCACCAGCACACAGCTCTTGGGACGGACATTGGGTTTTGGTTTGAGCGGCGCGGCATCGCCGACACGAGATTCACCATTGCCGAACCTGGTTTGAGATCGGGGTCGTGGCACGGGCTTTGGTGACGGTGATGATGCTTGCTGTGCGAAAAAAGCAGCCCTATCCGCCACACTGCGGACACCGTCCGAGCTCATTGTTTGAGATGGCGATACTGGCGACGACGTCGGTGAAGTTGCCGATGATGGGGGGGAGCGAGGAGGAGGTCGTGAGACCTCCCTGTGACGAGGGGAGGGGACTGGGCAGGCACGAGCCGGGGATTGTGTGCTTCGAGGAGACAAAGACGACGTTAACGGTGGAGACGACTGCAGGAAGGAGACACCGGTCACGAGGATTGGCGGTTCGGGTGAAGTTGATGACTCTGAGGTTGAAGTTGAGTAACTTAAAGTAGATGCTGAAGATTCCAAGGTCGACCTTGATCTTGAAGATGATGCCAAGGAACCAAGTCCTGATGTTGGAGAATCGAGTGTTGATGCTGAGGACTCCGAGTTTGATGTTGAGGAACTTAGTTTTGATGCTGTGAATCCTAAAGTCGCCCTTGATACTGGGGGTGATGTTGAAGACTCTGAGATTAAAGTCAAGGATACTGGTATCGATATTGATGTTGAGGGATATAAGGTGAACTTTGATTCTGAAGACCTGAGTGTTGACGTCTGGGTCCCAACAGGTTCTAAATCAAATGACACAGGAAAGAGCGATGGGGATGCCGTGATGTTGGAGGGCGACTCCGGCAAGGTCCTGGTGGCCACTGACGGTCGTGGTCGCGGTCGTGGTCTAGGAACAGAGGTCACTACAGGAGGAAGAGCAGGTGATGCCAACACTGTCGAGGTGGTGGGCACGAGGGGTGGAGTGGCCTCTGAGTCCTCCGAAAAGTTGATGAGCCAGACGCTGCCACGGTCACCAACCGGACGGGCGCTTAGCAACTCGAGCGAGGAGGCGACTGGTGCCTGAGAAGCGATGGTGGTGGCAGGGAGAACGCTAAGGTGGTCCTCCGCCTCTAACGGCAGGTCCAGGAGGCAGTGATCAGGGCTCCGAGGTGAGGTGGCGGCGGGTGGAGGTGGCAGCAGTGGCGTCACGATGACAGGGTTAATGGTCAGGCGGGGAGGAGGTGGACGCGGGGGTGCTGAGGCGGTAGCAGTTGAGGATCGTCGTAAATCTGGTAAAATATTGAGATAAACATTGTTTTAAAGTAATTGCCTATAATATATTAAAATTGCTTGGGAAGTGTACAGTAAAACGTTTCATAACCTCGCAAACCATAAACTCAAGGTAACATTCATCCGCTACCACAAAAACTATTGTCATCATAACCCCCCAAAGGCCATGTACAACAATTTAGCAAAAAAATTAGAGATACTCGGTATAAAACTTCAACAAGCAGCAGGGTTCAATGGCTGAGGACAGCCATTGAATGTGGACCAAAATAAAGCAAAACGGTGTATTAAAAGGGGCAGATGTTCATAGTGTGGAGGGCCTTTTAAATTCGGAACCCGATTTGAATGGAACAGCAATGTGATGAAAGAAGATATTTAAGCAGTGCATTCTATGACATACGGTTCAGAAATACTATGGTCATAAATGAAGATAATGGAACAAAAAAACAAAAAATGTAATAAAAAGCATGTCGAGATGCATGCTTGAAATAAGAGAAAGAAAGACGAATGTATGGATTAGACAACATAGCAGGTTAATGACATCATTTGTCCTGTTAAGAAAAGTGGGCTTGAGCAGGACACATCGCTACAAGCAATGCTGAATGGTGGAGTGGCAGCCGAGGAGGGGGAAGGAGGCGCCTTGCCCCCTCCCATGTGGAGTGATGTCACCCGCTAATTATTATTAATGGAGGGGGGGTCTCCATTTGGAGGACGTCACTTGTTCATGATTATTAATGAGGGGGGCTGGTCGACATGGAGTGACGTCATGCGCGGGACACAGACATTCTTGGCTCATTATCGTAGTAAATAAAACTGCAGTGCATCACATTATGGTTAGTCAAGAAGAAGGCACCACATACCCACTTGAACAGACCTCTCATCTAACACCAAAAATGAGAACTGTTCACCATGTACCAATCATTAGATATATTTATAGAGCTTAGCTCTGAGAATAGGCTAGGCTGAATTAAGTGAAACCCACTATAAGATTAGCGATGGTGGTTAAACTCAACTCACTTCACTGCTTCAAAGCATGGCTCAGTGCTACGGGAAAACCCTTCATCCCCTGGGCAAAGAGAGAGATACCCAACTGCAGGTGTTGCATTCGGAATTTTTTTCTCTTGGCACTCTGACAAGAAATCCATTATGATTCTCCTTGTGGATGGAGTAAAAGCAATTTATATTTTCTCACCTCGTTCCTCTTCGCTGATATCTTCTGAAGCAGTCTGCGTTGCTATGGAAACCAAGCCGGACCTAGGAACGGCACTATCATGTGTTCGTCCAGAGGTCTGCTGCTCCTCCACATGAGCCTCGGAGGGTCTGGGAGCTCGTTCAGGCCTGCGAGCCTGCTCTCGCCTGGGAGAATGCCGCTCCGGCAAGTCAGCCTGGATCTGCCTGGAGGCCTGGTTGGGCTGGAGAGCCTGCCTCTGCCTGGGCCGGCTCTCAGAGATCGCCTCGTATTGCAGGGCCTGCGCTCCCTGCTGGAGGTCTGGCGTGGTGAGGACGCCAAACACGGCCTCCTCGTACGACGGGGGCAGCTGAGTGTGCGTGCGTGCATCAGAGATCGTGTGTGTGTGTACACAGTTAAGTTAGGGGACATGTGTGTGTGTTTGTGTCCAAGTGTGCGAGGGTGCACACGTACAAAAGTGAAAGTGCGTAATACAGTTTTTTTGGGTTAGATTGCGTAAATATATAAATGTGTCATTAAACCCCCCACCACCCAACACAGCCAATATGTAAGGGTTGTCACGTAAATGGAATGTGGCCAATTCGTCACGAGTACAGCACACCGGTGTATTTAACACGTCGCAAAAGCCTGCATGTTAAACTGCATGTGTGTGTTAGAGGATGTACGTGTTTAAGCGTGCAAGTTATGGGACACGTGTATCCATGTGTACATCGAGAGTACTGGATGTGCACAGGTTACGTGATTTTCAACACAGTGCAAAACATTTGAAGAAATGTTTTTTTATGGAAAGTACTTTTCTGCCAAATCATTACAGATTACAAAATGATCATGAATTGGCTATTTTTCACCAAATATTGCCAAAAAATGCCTTTCCACAAATACATGAATTGGGCCAATAAGGCCCCACATGTTCTTAAAGGCAAAATTTTACGATTTTTTTCAAATGCACTTTGCATTAAAATGTTTAATTAGCATTTCATAAAAAGCTACGTATGTTTTCAGTTTGTGCATTAAGATGCAATGAACATACAGTATTGTACTTGGTGCTCATTTTCAATCCGCATCATTTTCAGGGAAGCCCAGGCTGAGTTTATATTACAATAGACACTGATGTTGTGCATGACTTGGAATTCAACCTAAATTTCCACAGTTGCAGTGCTGCATGCGAGTCATTATTCCATCACTGCACACAAACACACATCCCACTCACTTCAAAAGGTGCGTAAAATCCTTCGTAATCTTCTCTCGCGTAGTATGTTTGAAAGTCTGATAAGTCAGGTGTGTCCGAGTTCCTACACAGACACGTGCACGCACACCCATCAACGTGCAAACACATTCATAAATACGAATGCACATACATACTCATTCATGCATCCATATGTACACAATACTAAGTACGTGCACACAGACACATAATTATTAGACACGTGTCCCAGCAAGGCTCTCTCATGAAAACACGTAATACTCTGAATTTAAAGGTGACAAATTTAAATTTTGGTATGGGGTCAATTCAACGAATCATCATTTTTGGGTCAAGAAAGTCAGAACCAGTTTTTTTTTTTTACAAATAAACCAGGGTGAAGCTATGAAAGACCCAGGCACCAGCAACAGTGACCATCCAAGTTACTATTTTGACCAAGGGTAAATGTTGCTTTGACACATGCTGGCACTCACCTGTGAGGTGGGTGTGGGTGCCTTTCTGCAGGCGAGGGAGCTCTATTTGACGTGCCTAGAGGGAGAAACGACCATATACAAACCTTTTCATGGCACATCTCCTGAGAATGTGGCTAATTCCTTCATAAAGGTATCAGCACCACATTACACTGCATGCGAGTGTCTTGCACAGATTTCATCCCAACGCAATCCGCCAACCCTGTCTTCAAGCCACCGCGTTACAGGTGAGGCACCGCGTGGCCGCCGCAGCAGGCATGAAAAACGTGGGCGAGTGAGCGCGCGTGTAGGTGGGACACCATGCAACACTTATGGAGGTCACGAGAGATTGGCGATCTTACTTCTCTTCAGAGCCGCTCGGAGGGATGACAGTGGTCCACTGCTTAAACAAAACAAACGACACAACATTGGAATCTAACAAAATTATCATTTTCATAAACATTTTGGAAAAACATTACATTTTCGTGTGTGCTTATCGGTCTATGTGTGTACACGCACATCTATACTGCGAAGGACCTGAATAAATATTGCACTGACCAATGCAAGCGTACCCACATTAAAACATCTACCCTGGGAAACACTGCCACTCTAAGGCACACACTCACTCCCACTACCATTCTAAGATGCTCTCAATCACACTCCCACTAAGATACAGAGGACGTGCTTGGCATTGAACAATACATGTGAGGCAGCTCAGGGGTGAACTCGGATAAGGCGGCAGTTATCATTGAGGAACTTTCTGTTTTGATAATTAAAAAAAAGCACAAGGGACTCCCTGTAGTCAACTCCAAAGTGCCAGTGCATTTGACTTTGCCTTTATAATTCCTGTGAATGGGAGAAAGAAAACTAGCCCTTGGGCTCAACCCAGCGTCTCTGTGATGGAAGGATCGGTGACGGTTATGGTCATTCAGAATATTGCTCAGATGTACATTTTCAGCAATCATTGAACAAAATAAATTACCCAGGAAAACCTCAGTAAATCTTGGTGCCTAATTTCCAATGGTGCTGTGTGCATCTTGTCAAAAATAAATTATCATTGCGAATTCTCGCAGCAGGCAGTACACACACTACCTTGTGTTTGAGAATGGCCTTAGAGGATATCATCGCAACTGTTTACAATGTCCCTTCAATAGCTTTTTAATCCAGATTAGGGTACAGATCTTATATATTCCCTGCAAAGGGAATTATTGGCATGCTAATAAAACCAAGTTTTAACATTCTCAAAACTTGAATGAATATATAATGTAATTTTTTTAGCAACTGGTGACCAGAATGAGATTATCAACTTACTGCTCTTGAGAATCCATTGGTGGCTACCTGAATTTTAGCATAGAATATTAGGAGCATTCTGCTTTTTACTATTAAAGTGGAATGCCCAGAGAAATGTTAAACCAAAGTGCACATATATACATGTGTGCCTATCCGTGCGTGTGTCGGCGAGTGATAATTTTATATGTGGGTACATACATGTGTCTGTGTGTGTCAGCCATTGTGGGTGAGTGGGTAGTGTAGCAGCTCGCGTGCTACAATACAAACCCAGCCACCCGAGTACGATTATTGCTCAGGGCCAACAGCAGTGAACATAAGTTTAACCGATTCTGGGCCTCCTCTAGGTCGACTCAGCCTCAAAATGGGTACCTGGCACAATGTGGAAATGTCGCCACTAGGGAGACAAAGGCGGCCGGGGGTGATGGTAGCCACCGACCCCCTCATGTGCCATGCCGGCCTCTTCATAGTTGCTCGCTATCAGCACTTGCCCCAACAGTTTGTTAAGGCTATACAGGGGATCTATGTCTTAGTTGTGTCAGTCATCTCAGTAAGTTAATTCCCAACTCCTGTGCCTGCGCCTGTGACTTCCTCCCAACGAGCCTTAGCCAGTTCACGTGGTCTCAAAGCACTCAAAGCCTGGCACAAGCGCCGTGGCAACATCACTGCTACTCTTTGGCAAATCACCATTGTTGCGTGTACACATGCAAAGGTGCCCCCGTGCGTCTGCACATAGTGTCTTCAATGCCACACACAAAGCCCCCAGTGTCTGCTCGTTGTGCTTGTGTCCACTGCCACAAAAAGCTCAATGATAACATTGACACTGGCCAAAGCATCCGGCCACTGCGGGGCTGAAGGTCGCCCTCTGTTTAACTACCGGCTCCCTCCGCCGGTTCAGTCGCCACCGCTCACTGCCCTCTCCTCATGGCTAGCAGACCTCGACATTAGCTCCTGAACATAATGCCATCCGCAAAAGAGAAATTGAAAAAGAGCTTCTTAGCTCAATGGGCGTTACCCAGAATAAACTGATGGACTGAATTTGGGATGAAGATAAATGATCAAAACTAAAGTCTCTCCCTCCTTGTCATCCATCCCCTCCCTCTGTGCAAGTCGGGCCTGTGCGTGGAGGTTTTACCTGGATGGCCGCGCGTTTTGATTCACATCTCGCCCTGCATCTGTGAAAGGAAACACAGTGAAGGGTCAGCATGAGGAGACGCCTTTCGCACCTTTAAATACGCGAGAGTTGCAGTAGTATTACTCTCCAGACATGCTCACACTAAGGCTCAAAGTTTGTAGGTATTCAGTAGCAAAACAAACCTTCCCATTATTCTGTAAAGAACAAAAAACATGCCACGATTCCTAATGATATAAACAAATCATTTTATATATATATAAAAAAAAAATATTCTGCATTTTAATATTTCCCGCAACAAATTTATAAAGAGCTGAAAATTATCATGATATAATACGCCATGGTTTGGAACATTTCGGAACTGTTAAACAACTTGGAAATGTAAATTATGTGGCAAGAAAGAGGTGTGGACTTTACCATGAAGAGAAGGGTGAGTTTATGTCTATGACAGGATATTTGGCACCATTTTAAGTAACCATGTAAAATTATCACTCGTGATTTTGTCCGATGGACTTTCTGAAACGGCAGCAGCTGAATTCGGTTAGGGGCTATATTAATCCCTGTTTGCAACGTCAATATTTATGCTGTTAACGTTCATATTTTGGTAGTTCGTTGTTTAAATCCCACTAGTCACATGGCCATTACCAAAAATGGTAAGTCCCAAAAATAATTACAAGTATTTTCTTTAAAAAAAGTCAGTTTTATCGTGTTCTAGTTGGCATTGTTCAGAATTTTTTATTTATTTTTTCTCACTGTGGGAGGAAACCAGAGGGCCTGAAAACAATATTGGCCAAGAGCATAAAACTCACGGCACATGTTGGCAGCTTTGATAAGTCCTGGCTCAATGTGTTGGCTTTATTTTTATGAACCCAATGGATTATATTTATTATTTTTACTAAAAAATCCGAGAATCCCAGAAGGAGAAACGTTATAGGTCTAGACCAGTCGTACTCAAGTTTTCTGGAATTGGGAACCATCTCGCATTTTTTTGGCAGACCACCGTGCCCAAATAATAAGTTTGTCGAAATAAAACTACTCTAAAAGTACTGTAGAATGTATTGTTAAGATGGTTAATGTTGCATTTAAATGTGGTGCTTTGTGAAAAACTATTGTGGCATCTGCAACAATTCCGCAAACCACTTCGCATGGTCTTGTGGACCAGATGCGATTCAAGCCTTTACAGCATGTGGTCCGGAGCACAGAATTATGGTTAGACAGCACTCACAATCAGCGTGACAGCACACATCAAGTTCTGCAGCTTCAATTCCAACCACATGCAAACCACCCATTGGCAAAACATTCCAAGGGAGTACCCACCAGAGGAATAGTCTCTGGACTCAATTAAGCATTCCACAATTAACATAACTCAAGATGGGACAGATTCGCAACCTAAACATGAGACATCTCCATTACCAATTAGGCAAATATTAAAAACACTATCACTTTTTTCATTACGATGGGAGTCTGGCCCCTTACACTTTGTTATTAAATGGCTACTGTCTCTATATAATGCTTGTTAAGCAAGTAACTCGTTCATTCCCCCTCCATCCCCCCAAGCATCTATAAATAGCACAAATCAGTCATGATTCAAGTAAAGGATTGATTAATATTTGTTTTGTGTTTTGGACAATGTATTTTTTTAAGTATCCTTTATATTGCTCTGTTGTTGTTCTGTACACTCACCTGCACAACTGAATGGATGATACCATAAGCGGAAAATGTTATTGTAATTTATGAATACTTGTTTGCATGCCTGATATATCTGAATACAGATGATCTCTTCTTGGTAAACTAAGTTTATTTATGTTTGTGATATAAAAAAAGCATGCTGCTTCTTCTTTTGCATGACCAAATGAAGAGCAACTACCAGATATTCAGTTCTAAGGTGATTTAGCCATTCAATTACTTTGTTTAAGAGTTCGTGTATTGCTGATACACTGCATTCGAATTTATATTGCTGGCAGGGCAAGGTTTAGTGTACTCAAAACAGGGTGGCACCATTTGCACGAGGATTATTTAAAATCACACGTAAATATTCTGGCTCAAGCACCCCAGACCAAAAGAATCTTGCAAAACTGGGTCGACCTGGTGTACGGGAAATGTCAGGAATGTCTTCGTTACCAAATATAACTCTGGAAAACAATGACATTCTATCGTAGATGTAGCTTTTAAAAACAAAAATCCCGTGCACGGAACTATACTAATCAAACTTTAATTATTAATAGATCCCGGCTGTAAATGTTAAAATTTCAGCCCCTAAACCTGCCCTTCACCCCATCAGCCTCTGCCAAACAACACGCTCCATCCCAATACAGAACCCCTCATCTCATCCCAGACAGAACCACTCATCTCATCCCATACAGAACTCCTCATCTCATCCCATACAGAACTCCTCATCTCATCCCATACAGAACTCCTCATCTCATCCCATACAGAACCCCTCATCTCATCCCATATAGAACCTCTCATCTCTTCCCATACAGAACCCCTCATCTCATCCCATACAGAACCCCTCGTCTCATCCCATACAGAACCCCTCATCTTATCCCATACAGAACCCCTCATCTCATCCCATACAGAACCTCTCATCTCTTCCCATACAGAACCCCTCATCTCATCCCATACAGAACCCCTCATCTCATCCCATACATAACCTCTCGTCTCATCCCATACAGAACCTCTCGTCTCATCCCATACAGAACCTCTCATCTCATGCCATACAGAACCTCTCATCTCATCCCATACAGAACCTATCATCTCATCCCATACAGAACCCCTCGTCTCATCCCATACAGAACCTCTCATCTCATCCCATACAGAACCTCTCATCTCATCCCATACAGAACCTTTCATCTCATGCCATACAGAACCCCTCATCTCACCCCATACAAAACCTCTCATCTCATGCCATACAGAACCTCTCATCTCATCCCATACAGAACCCCTCATCTCATCCCATACAGAACCCCTCGTCTCATCCCATACAGAACCTCTCATCTCATCCCATACAGAACCTCTCATCCCATACAGAACCCCTCATCTCATCCCATACAGAACCTCTCATCTCATGCCATACAGAACCCCTCATCTCATCCCATACAGAACCTCTCATCTCATGCCATACAGAACCCCTCGTCTCATCCCATACAGAACCTCTCATCTCATCCCATACAGAACCTCTCATCTCATGCCATACAGAACCCCTCATCTCATCCCATACAGAACCCCTCGTCTCATCCCATACAGAACCCATCTCATCCCATACAGAACCCCTCATCTCATCCCATACAGAACCTCTCATCTCATCCAGAACCCCTCGTCTCATCCCATACAGAACCCCTCATCCCATACAGAACCCCTCATCTCATCCCATACAGAACCCCTCGTCTCATCCCATACACAACCCCTCGTCTCATCCCATACAGAACCCCTCATCTCATCCCATACAGAACCCCTCATCCCATACAAAACCCCTCATCTCATCCCATACAGAACCTCTCATCTCATCCCATACAGAACCACTCATCTCATCCCATACAGAACCACTCATCTCATCCCATACAGAACCCCTCATCTCATACAGAACCCCTCATCTCATCCCATACAGAACCCCTCATCTCATCCCATACAGAACCCCTCATCTCATCCCATACAGAACCCCTCGTCTCATCCCATACAGAACCCCTCGTCTCATCCCATACAGAACCTCTCATCTCATCCCATACAGAACCTCTCATCTCATGCCATACAGAACCCCTCACCTCATCCCATACAGAACCTCTCATCTCATGCCATACAGAACCTCTCATCTTATCCCATACAGAACCCCTCATCTCATCCCATACAGAACCCCTCATCTCATCCCATACAGAACCCCTCATCTCATCCCATACAGAACCCCTCATCTCATCCCATACAGAACCCCTCATCTCATCCCATACAGAACCTCTCATCTCATGCCATACAGAACCTCTCATCTTATCCCATACAGAACCCCTCATCTCATCCCATACAGAACCCCTCATCTCATCCCATACAGAACCCCTCATCTCATCGCATACAGAGCCCCTCATCTCATCCCATACAGAACCCCTCATCTCATCCCATACAGAACCTCTCATCTCATCCCATACAGAACCACTCATCTCATCCCATACAGAACCCCTCATACCATACAGAACCTCTCATCTCATCCCATACAGAACCTCTCATCTCATGCCATATAGAACCTCTCATCTCATCCCATACAGAACCCCTCATCTCATGCCATACAGAACCCCTCATCTCATCCCATACAGAACCTCTCATCTCATCCCATACAGAACCTCTCATCTCATCCCATACATGACCCCTCATCTCATCCCATACAGAACCCCTCATCCCATACAGAACCCCTCATCTCATCCCATACAGAACCTCTCATCTCATCCCATACAGAACCACTCATCTCATTTCATACATAACCCTTGCCCCCGTCTCTTCTGATACAGAACCCGTGTTTAATTTACCATCCAATACAGTTGTGTAAGCTTATAGAATAGCAGCAGCTTTAAAATACTCTCTAATGTACTTACAAAACACTCACACTTGTACGTTCACACTGAACCATACAAAAAGTATAATTATTTACCTGAACACATCTGTAAACACTCAACTGCAGCATGAACACACTGTACAACCAAATCTACAAAACACAACACCTTGTCGAGACACACCTGCCTATAAACGCCTGTAAAAACGAATCTTACACCAAAGACGATTGTACAAAACTGCAACACAAATATACCTTACAAACGTATCAAAATACACCTGCAAACACATACTGTACATTCCACTAAACGCACATTGAAACACACCAATACACAACGTACAGTCTGTACACATCTCTGTACACAAACCCTGTACACACCCATCAGACCACTCTCATCAACACCCATGCTCTATTCACTGATGGATGAATGCCCCCGCAAGCTGTCACGGTTACGCAGTGTAACAATCCATTCAGCTCCTGCACGCAAGGTAATCAATCCCATGGCTCAATGTTAACGATGTACGACTTCTCGGGCATGTTCTCATCTTTGGCTGCTCCTCCTTCGGTATTCTCAACCATTGGCATTCGCCTGTCTCTTCTAGCAGTGTCTTGCCTAAAAACACATTTGTATTCATATTGTAGTCAATAGTGTGCGTCTCTAACTTGCCCTGCTTGTCCTCTGACCCAAGTTCCTCGTTATCTCCGTGTTCTCCAAGCACGCACTCACACCGATTAAACTTTATTTACACTATCGAATTAAACGTCGCAAACTGAATTCAGTTAGTGAACATCTTAAACACACACAAATTTCTAAATGTAAACATAATACAGATGCAGACATAGAATAGATTTAGAAATGTAAAAGACGTATTTAGCTGCCATGTCGAATGGACTTCATGATGGGCTTGGATGACCTCAGATTAAGATATCATCAATGCAGACAAGTATGCATCAGTATCATTACAGCATGCTGGGGGAGTAATGCTGCGTCGATCAGTCAAATAACATCGATTCAAAGACACAAAATAAGAGGAAAGAGTCGAAATCGATGTTTTTTTCTCAATTTACTCCATGCTAATATCATACCACACACCCTGCTGGTAGCTAGGTGGCAGTGAGAGGCTCGCAGTCGGAAGGTTGCAAGTTAAAATCTTGTTTGGGGGCTCAACCTATTATCCCTCTGGGGTCGATAAAATTGAGTACCCCGTTTGTGGGGAAGTCAAAAGTGATTGTCTTATGAATAGACTTGCCCTCGCCATAGGAACGAGGGATTTCCGCCGCTGCCTCAGCGCTGTAAACTGGAGATGAACACCACCTCACAATGCCCATTTTATTGAATACGAACGCTCAAGTAACGTTACATTCATGCTGGAGAAAGAAGACAAAATAAACATGCTCACGAGTGGCACCGCGGCCATGGATAACACCACGAATCATCGAATCGCTAAGGTGACTTCATCACACCATTACGATGGGACCATTTAAATGTTTACAAACCCCTATACAAGCACAAGTACTACATACAGTATGTAAACGTTCACATCATTGTGCAGAACCGATACAACCCTACAACGTGCTCGCAGAACTGCGTTGGCTTCTGATTGCTGAACGAATACATGATGAGGTCGCACTGATGATCATACCTGTCAACCCATACGGTTTACCTGTATTCTTGAGCAGGGAAATTTAGTTTTCAGGTCCATACGGCATACAGCCGTTTCAATACGGGCAACATTTTTTGTCTTTGTGTTTCTCCCTTGCGATGGGACTTTGTAGGATGAACGTTGAGATCTCTAAGGGAACGGGGTGACCAATAAGGTCTGAATTGGTCTGTAAAAAGGTAGGCACTGATAAGGGGTTGACAGGTATGCATTATATACAAAATTCTTGCCACAAATTAACCAAAATACCTTGCTGATCTGGTCAATGAGCATATACCACCAAGAAAACTCCTGTCATCCTCGCAGCGGATTTTGGCTGGCCATCAAACCAAGGCGGTCACTGCATCGCTTGCTTTCAGATGCGCTTCTGCGGCCGTCTGGAGCGCTGTTCCTTCCGCTATTAGGAAGCAACTGGATCTATATGCACTTATAAATCTAGCTTTAAAACGATTTCATTTGTAACTGCTTTTTATGTTTAAGTTTGTTGTCCTTCCCCCGCACCTCTGATTAGCACGGTTGGCTTCGTACCGGTGCGAAATAATTTCAACATACAGTACATACATGTGCACACACCTAAACATACCTGTAATAACCAAGGTGACTCATCAAACCAATAAATACCGGTATATACCTTCAACACAAACACACACGTACAAAACGTAATTCACCAGTACACAGCACTATATACACCTGCACTTTATATATCAATACATCTGCACACGCCTGTATCTACACCATTGTACATCTACTTGTACACACGTGTAGATATCAATATACTGTATACCTGTTCACAGATCCCTTTGTACATGTACAGAGCACATATTGGCGCCACCTACAAGTGTGAAAACCTTTGTAATACCCATTGATATGGGAACAGCGTCTTGATATCACACTCATTTACAATGGTTATCACGTAACTCACTGAAATTGGCCATTTAGAAATTGAAACCACTAAAGTAACGCTACCTCTGATGGAACCAAAAGTGAAGGATCTGGACCGGGCTCATGGACTACTCCTAGCTTCTAAGATCTGACAATCCGGCACATTTCTGGTGACAGGGCGCACACACAAACAGAAATATAGCTCTACACCCCTCGGTACATGAATGTGTACAAACTTAATTTAATATTAATAACTTATTAAATACACCTGTACACACACCAGTCGACACACCTGTACATACGCTGATACAGACGTGCAAACACCTGTACTCATACAGGTATAGACACAAATACAGGCACCACACCTGTTCACACACCGATGTAGACAAACCTGTACACACAGGTATGGACACACTTGCTCAGACACACCTGCATAATCACACCTGTACATGCACACCTGTACACAAAGATCCCCCGTATAGCCTTAACAGATTGTAGGGGCAAGTGCTGTTATCAAGCATCTATGAAGGCCGAAACGGTACACGAGGGGGTAAATTGCCAGCACCACACCCGACCGCCTTTGTATCCCCAGTGGCGTGAGCGAGAATCGAACCCGGGTCGCCGGGTTCATAGCGCAGCGTGCTAACCGCTACACTACCGCTTCCCACACACCTGTAGAGGCAACCTACCTGTAGAGGCACACGTACACACACCTGTACAGGTACACCTGTGTGAGCACGAAAACCCTGTAGAGACATACCTACACACACCTGTACAGGTACACCTGTAGAGGCACACCTACACACACCTGTACAGGTACACCTGTGTGAGCACGGAAACCCTGTAGAGACATACCTACACACACCTGCACAGGTACACCTGTCGAGGCACACCTACACACACCTATACAGGTACACCTGTGTGAGCACGGAAAACCCTGTAGAAACATACCTACACACACCTGTACAGGCACACCTGTGTGAGCACGGAAAACCTGTAGAGACATACCTACACACACCTGTACAGGTACACCTGTAGAGGCACACCTACACAGACCTGTACAGGTACACCTGTGTGAGCACGAAAAACCTTTAGAGACATACCTACACACACCTGTACAGGTACACCTGTAGAGGCACACCTACACACACCTGTACAGGTACACCTGTAGAGGCACACCTACACACACCTATACAGGTACACCTGTGTGAGCACGGGAAACCCTGTAGAGACGTACCTACACACACCTGTACAGGCACACCTGTGAGCAGGTATACCTGTACTGACACACCTGTGTAACCAGGTACACACTCCTGCACGCATACGCGCACCTGTATAGACGCACACCTGCAGACTCCTATGCAGCCCCCCACTCTCGGCCCTTTAACCGCACTACTTCCCACCCCACCCCACCAGAACCTTAAAACAATGGGGTAACAACAACAACAAAAAAGTCCTCAAGTTAAAGCGCTCTCTCGTGCGCGGCTTTTCCTATCCGCGTCGCGTCCGCCGCCGACCACCGGCTTCCTTCCCGCGGAAGCGGACTCGCCCCGAGCTCACCGCGGGAGTGCTGCTGCTGCTGCCCGCGCTGCCCGCGGGTGTCGGGCCGCGGAGGGCGGGCGCGGCGCCTTCGCTCGGACGGACCGAGCGCTGCGTCCCGCCTCTCCGCCATCTCTATTGGAATTCGACGCGCGGCGCCTTGCGCGTTGACGTCACGCGGCCCTCGTCCAACCGAAGAAGCCGCGTCCGGGTACGTCGTGACGTCACGCGCCGGCTTGTTGCAACCATTACCCCTACCCCGCTCCCGGTCCATCAACCGCGGGCGTTGTGGCTACACGGTCGTGACGTCATCGCGTCTGCGCGTGTTGGTGGGGTTCGAGCGGCGTGACGTCATGGTGTGGGATTAGGAGGTCACGCGTCGTGCCGTGGGTGTTTTGTTGTTAAACCGTTACCTGGGGGAATCCGATGAGCTGCAAAGCTCTTTGCACAGATGTCCAGCCGGGACCGGTCAGAACATTACGACAACAAATAATGCAAAACAAAAGAGTGCACAGAATAAGAAAAGTAAACAAATCACTTAACAATACTTCACGCACAAATTAAACGAAATATATCATGGGACCTCCTTTGCCAGTACCAAAATATGAGAATAGGTTTTCCCCTTTTTTTCTGGCAACAAAACAGCTCTGTTAAGATGTTAAAACACCAAACTGAAACCTTTTACAAGGAATCATGTTTGCATTAACCACAATAAGTGTGGTCAAAATGTAAACAAAAAACATACTCCACACAGCTTGATTAAGTGTTTTCTCTCTCTCTCTCTGTGTACTTGTATTGTCGCTCTAGTATATCCTGCAGTCGGAAAGCTCCAAAATGTCTCATTGACATGCTAATTTCTCTGCCCCCATCTCTCTCTATTTAAGGCCTCGACACAGAGGAGTTGTTTCTCTGTGTGCCTATGTGTGTGTCTCTCTCTGTGTGTCTGTGTTATCTCTCTCTGCTTATGCGTCTCCGTGTCTGTGTTTTGTCTCTCTCTCTCTCAAATTTAGCAATCTTTGGAAGAACGTTAATCAACCAGGTAGGGTGTTGACTGTTATGTTAGCCGACTCTCTGTGCTGTATTGCATTATATTTCTAAGTTTACTCGGTTTAGGAATAGGTTTTACCCTTTAAACTGGCACAAAAACTGACACCTTTATTCAAGGCATCATGTTTGCAATAACCACAACACAAGCAGTCAAAATGCAAACAAAAGAGACAACTCTGATAATAATATGGGCACTGTCCTTGAATTTGATTGGTCCACACCCGAAACAGCTTTTCTTAGAGCCTAGTCTCCATTGGCGTTGGACCAGAAGACGCCAAAAGGCGTACAACTCATTCGTACCTGATGATGATTGCTTGTGTTGCAATCGAAACGTCGTATGCTATTATTACATTTATTTTTCTTTCTACGTGACTTTACCGAAAGAACCAAAGAATACTCTGATAATATATGCATTGTATTTGAAACTGATTGGTCCACACCAGAGACAGCTTTTTTTGGAGCCTAGTCTCAAGAGGCGTTAGATCAGAGGACGCCAAAAGGCGAACAGCACAAAGACAATGCCACTATCAGAGTAATGAGAGCTCATTCGGTGGTTAATGCTGTCGTGTGGAGGTAAAAAACCTATGCTTATTTTTGTTCATGGTAAATGCTGTCGTGTAGAGGTGAAAAAAAAACCCTATTCTTATTTTTTGTTCATGGTAAATGCTGTCGTGTAGAGGTAAAAAACTATTATTTTTGTTCATGGTAAATGCTGTCGTGTGGAGGTTAAAAAACCCTATTATTTTTGTTCATGGTAAATGCTGTCGTGTGGAGGTAAAAAAACTAATATTTTTGTTCATGGTAAATGCTGTCGTGTAGAGGTAAAAAACTATTATTTTTGTTCATGGTAAATGCTGTCGTGTGGAGGTAAAAAACTATTATTTTTGTTCATGGTAAATGCTGTCGTGTGGAGGTAAAAAACTATTATTTTTGTTCATGGTAAATGCTGTCGTGTGGAGGTAAAAAACTATTATTTTTGTTCATGGTAAATGCTGTCGTGTGGAGGTAAAAAACTATTATTTTTGTTCATGGTAAATGCTGTCGTGTGGAGGTAAAAAACTATTATTTTTGTTCATGGTAAATGCTGTCGTGTGGAGGTAAATAAAAAACTATTATTTTTGTTCATGGTAAATGCTGTCGTGTGGAGGTAAAAAACTATTATTTTTGTTCATGGTAAATGCTGGTCGTGTGGAGGTAAAAAACTATTATTTTTGTTCATGGTAAATGCTGTCGTGTGGAGGTAAAAAACTATTATTTTTGTTCAATGGTAATAATGCTGTCGTGTGGAGGTAAAAAAACTATTATTTTTGTTCATGGTAAATGCCTGTCGTGTGGAGGTAAAAAACTATTATTTTTGTTCATGGTAAATGCTGTCGTGTGGAGGTAAAAAACTATTATTTTTGTTCATGGTAAAATGCTGTCGTGTGGAGGTAAAAAACTATTATTTTTGTTCATGGTAAATGCTGTCGTGTGGAGGTAAAAAACTATTATTTTTGTTCATGGTAAATGCCGTCGTGTGGAGGTAAAAAACTATTATTTTTGTTCATGGTAAATGCTGTCGTGTGGAGGTAAAAAACTATTATTTTGTTCATGGTAAATGCTGTCGTGTGGAGGTAAAAAACTATTATTTTTGTTCATGGTAAATGCTGTCGTGTGGAGGTAAAAAAAAAAAACTATTATTTTTGTTCATGGTAAATGCTGTCGTGTGGAGGTAAAAAACTATTATTTTTGTTCATGGTAAATGCTGTCGTGTGGAGGTAAAAAACTATTATTTTTGTTCATGGTAAATGCCGTCGTGTGGAGGTAAAAAACTATTATTTTTGTTCATGGTAAATGCTGTCGTGTGGAGGTAAAAAACTATTATTTTTGTTCATGGTAAATGCTGTCGTGTGGAGGTAAAAAACTATTATTTTTGTTCATGGTAAATGCTGTCGTGTGGAGGTAAAAAAAACTATTATTTTTGTTCATGGTAAATGCTGTCGTGTGGAGGTAAAAAACTATTATTTTTGTTCATGGTAAATGCTGTCGTGTGGAGGTAAAAAACTATTATTTTTGTTCATGGTAAATGCTGTCGTGTGGAGGTAAAAAACTATTATTTTTGTTCATGGTAAATGCCTGTCGTGTGGAGGTAAAAAACTATTATTTTTGTTCATGGTAAATGCTGTCGTGTGGAGGTAAAAAACTATTATTTTTGTTCATGGTAAATGCTGTCGTGTGGAGGTAAAAAAACTATTATTTTTGTTCATGGTAAATGCTGTCGTGTGGAGGTGAAAAAACTATTATTTTTGTTCATGGTAAATGCTGTCGTGTGGAGGTAAAAAACTATTATTTTTGTTCATGGTAAATGCTGTCGTGTGGAGGTAAAAAACTATTATTTTTGTTCATGGTAAATGCTGTCGTGTGGAGGTAAAAAAAAACTATTATTTTGTTCATGGTAAATGCTGTCGTGTGGAGGTAAATTCTGTCATGGTAAATTCCTGTCGTGTGGAGGTTAAAAAACTATTATTTTTGTTCATGGTAAATGCTGTCGTGTGGAGGTAAAAAACTATTATTTTTGTTCATGGTAAATGCTGTCGTGTGGAGGTAAAAAACTATTATTTTTGTTCATGGTAAATGCTGTCGTGTGGAGGTAAAAAACTATTATTTTTGTTCATGGTAAATGCTGTCGTGTGGAGGTAAAAAAACTATTATTTTTGTTCATGGTAAATGCTGTCGTGTGGAGGTAAAAAACTATTATTTTTGTTCATGGTAAATGCTGTCGTGTGGAGGTAAAAAACTATTATTTTTGTTCATGGTAAATGCTGTCGTGTGGAGGTAAAAAACTATTATTTTTGTTCATGGTAAATGCTGTCGTGTGGAGGTAAAAAACTATTATTTTTGTTCATGGTAAATGCTGTCGTGTGGAGGTAAAAAAACTTATTATTTTTGTTCATGGTAAATGCTGTCGTGTGGAGGTAAAAAACTATTATTTTTGTTCATGGTAAATGCTGTCGTGTGGAGGTGAAAAAACTATTATTTTTGTTCATGGTAAATGCTGTCGTGTGGAGGTAAAAAACTATTATTTTTGTTCATGGTAAATGCTGTCGTGTGGAGGTAAAAAACTATTATTTTTGTTCATGGTAAATGCTGTCGTGTGGAGGTAAAAAACTATTATTTTTGTTCATGGTAAATGCCTGTCGTGTGGAGGTAAAAAACTATTATTTTTGTTCATGGTAAATGCTGTCGTGTGGAGGTAAAAAACTATTATTTTTGTTCATGGTAAATGCTGTCGTGTGGAGGTAAAAAACTATTATTTTGTTCATGGTAAATGCTGTCGTGTGGAGGTAAAAAAAAACTATTATTTTTGTTCATGGTAAATGCTGTCGTGTGGAGGTAAAAAACTATTATTTTTGTTCATGGTAAATGCTGTCGTGTGGAGGTAAAAAACTATTATTTTTGTTCATGGTAAATGCTGTCGTGTGGAGGTAAAAAACTATTATTTTTGTTCATGGTAAATGCCGTCGTGTGGAGGTAAAAAACTATTATTTTTGTTCATGGTAAATGCTGTCGTGTGGAGGTAAAAAACTATTATTTTTGTTCATGGTAAATGCTGTCGTGTGGAGGTAAAAAAAAAACTATTATTTTTGTTCATGGTAAATGCTGTCGTGTGGAGGTAAAAAACTATTATTTTTGTTCATGGTAAATGCTGTCGATGTGGAGGTAAAAAACTATTATTTTTGTTCATGGTAAAATGCTGTCGTGTGGAGGTAAAAAACTATTATTTTTGTTCATGGTAAATGCTGTCGTGTGGAGGTAAAAAAAAAAACTATTATTTTTGTTCATGGTAAATGCTGTCGTGTGGAGGTAAAAAACTATTATTTTTGTTCATGGTAAATGCTGTCGTGTGGAGGTAAAAAAACTATTATTTTTGTTCATGGTAAATGCTGTCGTGTGGAGGTAAAAAAACTATTATTTTTGTTCATGGTAAATGCTGTCGTGTGGAGGTAAAAAACTATTATTTTTGTTCATGGTAAATGCTGTCGTGTGGAGGTAAAAAACTATTATTTTTGTTCATGGTAAATGCCTGTCGTGTGGAGGTAAAAAACTATTATTTTTGTTCATGGTAAATGCTGTCGTGTGGAGGTAAAAAACTATTATTTTTGTTCATGGTAAATGCTGTCGTGTGGAGGTAAAAAAACTAATATTTTTGTTCATGGTAAATGCTGTCGTGTGGAGGTAAAAAACTATTATTTTTGTTCATGGTAAATGCTGTCGTGTGGAGGTAAAAAAAAACTATTATTTTGTTCATGGTAAATGCTGTCGTGTGGAGGTAAAAAACTATTATTTTTGTTCATGGTAAATGCTGTCGTGTGGAGGTAAAAAAACTATTATTTTTGTTCATGGTAAATGCCTGTCGTGTGGAGGTAAAAAACTATTATTTTTGTTCATGGTAAATGCTGTCGTGTGGAGGTAAAAAACTATTATTTTTGTTCATGGTAAATGCTGTCGTGTGGAGGTAAAAAACTATTATTTTTGTTCATGGTAAATGCTGTCGTGTGGAGGTAAAAAAAACTATTATTTTTGTTCATGGTAAATGCTGTCGTGTGGAGGTAAAAAACTATTATTTTTGTTCATGGTAAATGCTGTCGTGTGGAGGTAAAAAACTATTATTTTTGTTCATGGTAAATGCTGTCGTGTGGAGGTAAAAAACTATTATTTTTGTTCATGGTAACTGCTGTCGTGTGGAGGTAAAAAACTATTATTTTTGTTCATGGTAAATGCTGTCGTGTGGAGGTAAAAAACTATTATTTTTGTTCATGGTAAATGCTGTCGTGTGGAGGTAAAAAACTATTATTTTTGTTCATGGTAAATGCTGTCGTGTGGAGGTAAAAAACTATTATTTTGTTCATGGTAAATGCTGTCGTGTGGAGGTAAAAAAACTATTATTTTTGTTCATGGTAAATGCTGTCGTGTGGAGGTAAAAAACTATTATTTTTGTTCATGGTAAATGCTGTCGTGTGGAGGTAAAAAAAACTATTATTTTTGTTCATGGTAAATGCTGTCGTGTGGAGGTAAAAAACTATTATTTTTGTTCATGGTAAATGCTGTCGTGTGGAGGTAAAAAACTATTATTTTTGTTCATGGTAAATGCTGTCGTGTGGAGGTAAAAAAACAATTATTTTTGTTCATGGTAAATGCTGTCGTGTGGAGGTAAAAAAAAACTATTATTTTTGTTCATGGTAAATGCTGTCGTGTGGAGGTAAAAAACTATTATTTTTGTTCATGGTAAATGCTGTCGTGTGGAGGTAAAAAACTATTATTTTTGTTCATGGTAAATGCTGTCGTGTGGAGGTAAAAAACTATTATTTTTGTTCATTGTAATGCTGTCGTGTGGAGGTAAAAAACTATTATTTTTGTTCATGGGTAAATGCTGTCGTGTGGAGGTAAAAAAAAAAAAACTATTATTTTTGTTCATGGTAAATGCTGTCGTGTGGAGGTAAAAAACTATTATTTTTGTTCATGGTAAATGCCGTCGTGTGGAGGTAAAAAACTATTATTTTTGTTCATGGTAAATGCTGTCGTGTGGAGGTAAAAAACTATTATTTTTGTTCATGGTAAATGCTGTCGTGTGGAGGTAAAAAACTATTATTTTTGTTCATGGTAAATGCTGTCGTGTGGAGGTAAAAAACTATTATTTTTGTTCATGGTAAATGCCGTCGTGTGGAGGTAAAAAACTATTATTTTTGTTCATGGTAAATGCTGTCGTGTGGAGGTGAAAAAACTATTATTTTTGTTCATGGTAAATGCTGTCGTGTGGAGGTAAAAAACTATTATTTTTGTTCATGGTAAATGCTGTCGTGTGGAGGTAAAAAAAAACTATTATTTTGTTCATGGTAAATGCTGTCGTGTGGAGGTAAAAAAACTATTATTTTTGTTCATGGTAAATGCTGTCGTGTGGAGGTAAAAAACTATTATTTTGTTCATGGTAAATGCTGTCGTGTGGAGGTAAAAAACTATTATTTTGTTCATGGTAAATGCCGTCGTGTGGAGGTAAAAAACTATTATTTTTGTTCATGGTAAATGCTGTCGTGTGGAGGTAAAAAACTATTATTTTTGTTCATGGTAAATGCTGTCGTGTGGAGGTAAAAAAAAACTATTATTTTTGTTCATGGTAAATGCTGTCGTGTGGAGGTAAAAAACTATTATTTTTGTTCATGGTAAATGCTATCGTGTGGAGGTAAAAAACTATTATTTTTGTTCATGGTAAATGCTGTCGTGTGGAGGTAAAAAACTATTATTTTTGTTCATGGTAAATGCCGTCGTGTGGAGGTAAAAAACTATTATTTTTGTTCATGGTAAATGCTGTCGTGTGGAGGTAAAAAACTATTATTTTTGTTCATGGTAAATGCTGTCGTGTGGAGGTAAAAAAAAAACTATTATTTTTGTTCATGGTAAATGCTGTCGTGTGGAGGTAAAAAACTATTATTTTTGTTCATGGTAAATGCTGTCGTGTGGAGGTAAAAAACTATTATTTTTGTTCATGGTAAATGCTGTCGTGTGGAGGTAAAAAACTATTATTTTTGTTCATGGTAAATGCTGTCGTGTGGAGGTAAAAAAAAAAAACTATTATTTTTGTTCATGGTAAATGCTGTCGTGTGGAGGTAAAAAACTATTATTTTTGTTCATGGTAAATGCCGTCGTGTGGAGGTAAAAAATTATTATTTTTGTTCATGGTAAATGCTGTCGTGTGGAGGTAAAAAACTATTATTTTTGTTCATGGTAAATGCTGTCGTGTGGAGGTAAAAAACTATTATTTTTGTTCATGGTAAATGCTGTCGTGTGGAGGTAAAAAACTATTATTTTTGTTCATGGTAAATGCCGTCGTGTGGAGGTAAAAAACTATTATTTTTGTTCATGGTAAATGCTGTCGTGTGGAGGTAAAAAACTATTATTTTTGTTCATGGTAAATGCTGTCGTGTGGAGGTAAAAAACTATTATTTTTGTTCATGGTAAATGCTGTCGTGTGGAGGTAAAAAAAAACTATTATTTTTGTTCATGGTAAATGCTGTCGTGTGGAGGTAAAAAACTATTATTTTTGTTCATGGTAAATGCTGTCGTGTGGAGGTAAAAAACTATTATTTTTGTTCATGGTAAATGCTGTCGTGTGGAGGTAAAAAACTATTATTTTTGTTCATGGTAAATGCCGTCGTGTGGAGGTAAAAAACTATTATTTTTGTTCATGGTAAATGCTGTCGTGTGGAGGTAAAAAACTATTATTTTTGTTCATGGTAAATGCTGTCGTGTGGAGATAAAAAACTATTATTTTTGTTCATGGTAAATGCTGTCGTGTGGAGGTAAAAAACTATTATTTTTGTTCATGGTAAATGCCGTCGTGTGGAGGTAAAAAACTATTATTTTTGTTCATGGTAAATGCTGTCGTGTGGAGGTAAAAAACTATTATTTTTGTTCATGGTAAATGCTGTCGTGTGGAGGTAAAAAAAACTATTATTTTTGTTCATGGTAAATGCTGTCGTGTGGAGGTAAAAAACTATTATTTTGTTCATGGTAAATGCTGTCGTGTGGAGGTAAAAAACTATTATTTTTGTTCATGGTAAATGCTGTCGTGTGGAGGTAAAAAACTATTATTTTTGTTCATGGTAAATGCTGTCGTGTGGAGGTAAAAAAAAACTATTATTTTTGTTCATGGTAAATGCTGTCGTGTGGAGGTAAAAAAAAACTTACTTTTGTTCATGGTAAATGCTGTCGTGTGGAGGTAAAAAAAACTATTATTTTTGTTCATGGTAAATGCTGTCGTGTGGAGGTAAAAAACTATTATTTTTGTTCATGGTAAATGCTGTCGTGTGGAGGTGAAAAAAAACTATTATTTTTGTTCATGGTAAATGCTGTCGTGTGGAGGTAAAAAACTATTATTTTTGTTCATGGTAAATGCTGTCGTGTGGAGGTAAAAAAAAACTTACTTTTGTTCATGGTAAATGCTGTCGTGTGGAGGTAAAAAAAACTATTATTTTTGTTCATGGTAAATGCTGTCGTGTGGAGGTAAAAAACTATTATTTTTGTTCATGGTAAATGCTGTCGTGTGGAGGTGAAAAAAAACCCTATTCTTATTTTTGTTCATGGTAAATGCTGTCGTGTGGAGGTAAAAAGAAAACCTATTCTTATTTTTGTTCATGGTAAATGCTGTCGTGTGGAGGTAAAAAAAAAACTAATCTTATTTTTGTTCGTGGTGAATGCTGTCATGGATATGTAAAAAAAACTTTCTTATATTTTTCTTCATGGTAAATGTTGTCGTGTGGGTGGGTAAAAAACAAAACCTCTGTTCTGACAAGGGGGGCCGCGCGCACTGCACGCCGGGCCACCCGCAATCCAACATGGCGCTCCCCATACGGCGAGGTAGGCGCAGGTCGTGAACACAAACATTCACAGTGAGCGATTGATCAAATGAGCGACGAATCCACCAACTCGCGGGAATTCCTCCCCCCCCACTCCCGCAGTGCTCATTACCCCTCCCACCCCCGTGTGTGTGTGGCTTCTCTCTTGCAGGTCTGGACGCCTTGGCGAGGCTGGCGACGGCGAGCGGGTGAGTGAGGGGGTCACCGCAGGCCGCGCGGCACGTGGACTGGAATTGTGATGATCCGAATCGGCCGCTGTGAGCCCGGTGTGCTCGTAAGCTCGGAAAGTCGGCAGGATTGAGCCTGGGTAGTGGCGGTAAATGTGGAGCGTCGGACCGACACGCCAAGTAGTAATGCGTCATGCAGTCCCCATGGCACCCGCAACGATGTGGGAAGGCCTGTATAACATGCAAATTACTCAGTTTAGCACCTAACATACATAATTGCAACGTTGCTATCGAACGTTTAATGTGACGCGGTGACGTAGCTCAAGTGCTCCTGGAAGATTTGACGGAGGAGATGATATATCCAAACGTGTTCTTAATGGCAAGTGTAATGCCAGACCCCTCCCAACAGGCTTTGAACTTGCAATCCTCAGTGTGCTTTGTAAAGATGCTGTTTCATGGAACTTATGTAGTGCTTAATAAACATGTCAGATTTTTACGTCACTGACAGGAAGAAATGTACATTTTTGCCAATTTGACTTAAGGTACTACAGTATTTTAAGTTTACAGTGAGTCGCATCTATTGGGGACACGTTACCGTATTATTTAGGCATCGGAAACGTGCAAACGTGCACTTTATTTCGAAATGTTTTTTTAGAAAGTGCAACCATATACTGTTTATGGTCTCAGCCTGGTTACCAATAATTGCGCAAAAACGTTATTTCATTCGTTTTTCACGTAATGTCGCTTGCTTCACTCAGATTGTAGATACAATACAGTGCTCGACTGTTTTCGCTTTTCCTGCAGAAATTATTGCGTGGGATAGTGCGCCCCCTGCTGTGCGTTTAGACCCGAAGTTGCACTGGTCCGCGATATTTCTCATTTCAGAATTAAATTAGTTGGGTCGATGCTGTGAGCAGGCGGTGGATGTTGTCTTGCAATCTTGAGTCACATGGTTGTATCACTGCACCACCCAGTCGGATTGAAATCCGCGGGATACAAGCTCATTCGTGACATGATTAGGTCACGAGGTCAAGTGGATCTACGCATATCAGTACAGGGTTGGGTGGTGGTGACGTGATTAGTGCCTTGCGCTACGACCCCAGCGACGTAAGTTGATTCCCGACCACGGCCAGCGATAGTGTCGAATATATTAAGTCGTTTTGGGCTTCCTATAAGTCAATTCAGATTTTCTGGTGTGGATTGTAGAAGTCGGCACCTGGGAGACATGTGGGCAGGTGTGATGCTGCAAATACCACCGTTTCGTGCACCAAACCAGCTTTAATAGGTGCTTGCTAACAGTACTTTCCCCAGCAGGCTGGTAATGTCTACAGGGGGATCTTTGTGTGTATCAGTGTGCTGACATCGCCGTGGAGATGCCTACACGTGGGTGCTGTGCTGTCAAGGCGAAGGAACTGGGAACCGCTGAATCGCGTGGTCTACCCACCCCAGCAGCCCGGGGAGGAGAGGAGGCCGGCAGTAATGCACACACAGCAACGTACACTAATACCCACAAACAGTACACGAACATACTCGTACACATACCACGCATACACCAGTGCATATACACTGCAATTACATATATATCTACTTGCTTGTAGGAAACCATCAACATACAAGAAAACCCACATGCATATTCTTAGCTCTTTCGGTAAAGTCACGTTGAAGGGAAACAATAAAATAAAATATATATAAAATAAAATGATTACGACGTTTCGACCATAACACAAACGGTCGTCATCAGGTGTGTCGGTACCTGGGAGATATTTATGCAAACCGACACACCTGATGACGACCGTTTGTGTTATGGTCGAAATGTCGTGAGAATTTTTTGTTTTATATATTTTATTATTTTATTGTTTCCCTTCAACGTGACTTTACCAAAAGAGCTAAGAATATGAATTACTGCAGTCACGAAAGCTTTAAATCAAAACCCACATGCAGTTATATACACAATACCATACTTGGACATAAAATAATAAACCGACACTAACGCACGGTCACTTACATATATATTAGTGTATGTGTATAGTACACATATACACGACATTTTACATGCAATACACCAACATAATTTTAGGCACTTTACATACTGATTTGATACCTCCAGATTCCCTCACCTATAATAAAACACAGTACACCTTTACATGCATATAAAGCATATACACAATAAAACACAGTACACTAATATAACGTGGAATTATACACATTTACTTATACACCAGAAAACAATGTACATAATTCTTACAGTATACTCTATAGCAATTACATTACATGGATACACAAATTTGTGCGTGCACTGGCCTAATATACTATTACTCAATTACATAAACTACTATACACACTAATACAGGCGGCCCCGCTTTTACAACACAATGCGTTCCTGGAAACCCCATCGTATATCGGATCATTGTAAATCAGACCCTATTTTCCCATAAACAATATAAACATCACTTGCCGATGTGTTTTTGCTTTTATCAGCCATATTTAACAGGATTTAATATGTAAACATCTACAAAAACACTTGAGAATAAAAAAGCTCCGTGTTAAATCACATTGGAAACAAGACTGACTCTTCAAATGTGTTTGTAGTCATGTGGGAAGAAGCATCGTAAATCAAGTTTCTGCGTCGTAAATCGATCCATGGTGGCGTTATATTAACGTCGTAAATGTGGATAGTTGTAAATCGGATCGTCGTAAACCAGAGACCACCTGTACATCAAAAAATACAAACACCATTATACATATCCTCTGTTTAACATACACCCCTACACACAAATGCACACACTACAACAATATACATACACATTAACAAGTGTATACCACAATCACGTACATATCAACCTGTGCAGATAGACTCACATGATTCGTTGTGTGTGTCCAGGAGATTTTTCATTGCCACAGGCAGATCAAATACAGCAAAGACAAGATGTGGTACCTGGCAACACTGGTACGTAGCACTCGCATGGATACACCCACACATACACAGTTATACACATGCACTCTGTTTTCACGGCCAATGCAAAACAGACCCAAGCTGTTCAGGACCTTACCAAGAGCCACCAGCACAGGTCATGCATTTTCTGAGTGCTTAAAGAGCCACACAGCTCTTCCACAGGCTCGGCCCCTCCTGCTAGATGGCAGTGAATTTGAATATATGTGTCTGTGACCATGTGTGTATGTAACCCATATCTCTAACCCTGAATCTGTTTTTTGTGACTGTGTGTCAGATTAAAGGTCTGTCTGTGGATGAAGCCTTAGCTCAACTGGAATTCAGTGACAAGAAAGGAGCTAAGGTCATGAAGGAGGTGCGTTTTCACAACGTGTCAATATAAATAACACATGCATTAAGTCATAATTTCATATAGAAGTGTTCATTGTTTTCGGTTTAACACGTAGGCTTTCACGACCAGTATTATTCATAATAAAGGTTTTTGGGTTGGATCGCGTTATTTATAAATGTGGTGCAACCCTCCACCACCTGACACGGCCAATCAGTAAAAAATGTATCACGTTGACAAAAGACAAATAGCTGTGTTGAAGAGTGGATCTACAACATTTACAATTTGAGTACGACGTTTCGCTGGAAATTACATCCAGCGATGGCGACAGACTCAATGCAGCCTGGAAGCGTATTATTAAGTAATACACAACATATTGCAATTCCTTACAGGTGAGTCCCATGCAAAGTGGCTGATTACTGATCTATTACGTAATTGCATACACATCCGCCTCTGATCTCGAATCCTGAAGGAATTTCAACAATGATGACGCCATCCTGCACTATTTAAGACCGAAGCAGGTGGATGGCTTCACTATTCTGGCAAATCGCCCGAAGATGCTGGATGTAATTTCCAGCGAAACGTCGTACTACTCAAATTGTAAATGTTGTGGATCCACTCTTCAACACACCGGTGGGCTAAAGTAGTGAACTATTTGTCTTGTCAACGTGACACATTTTTTACAAGCATGCAAGCCAGCAGAAATATAAACGGGCGCTACGGCAGATGTCATTGCGCTGCCAAACTACTCACCCGTGAACGAGACCACATCACCCAATGATCTAATCTCTCCACTGGCTCCCTATCACATTCACCGTCTTCAAGATCCTTCATGGGCTTCCCCCTGCCTACCTATCCTTTCCCATTGTGTGCTACTCCCCTTAATGTACTTTCTGCTTCAGCAACCAAGGCCTGTTCAAGTTTTTTTTGTTTAACCAGGTGAGACTTCAATCGACTAGGATAGTCTTAATTTGTAACCTTCACTGGTTCAGTCGCCCATTCAGCCTCCATTCATTCAGAGGTTACTTCCTCTTCTCCGTAGCCCCCATCATCTGGGATTCACTTCTGTCATGCTTCAATATAATTTACTACCCATGTTTGTTCCAAGTCAAGGATCAAGACCTTTCTCTTTGTTCTACCGCTTTCTATTTAAAATAAATATGCGTCCTTTGCTCCGGATACTCATTTACCAGTTATGAACAGCATCTTGAGGTGCAGCTGCATTTAGATGCTATGAATAAATCGTAATTAAATTCATTTTCTAGTGAAGCTTTGCCATTTTTTACGGAGGGTTCTGCACTGTAATTGAGTAATTTGTGAAGTGAGTTATTTGCAGCAGAATGAGCATCCATGAACACAGGGGGAGAGAGGCTCCTCATGGTGAGGGAGGTTGTTTCGCAAATTCTTGTTGGTGATTCGTTTTTATGATGGTGCCATGGTGGTGGTAATATCTACAGTGATGGTTGTGTTCGTGATAGCAATGATGATTGTTATGTGTGATATATTTATTATGATCGTGGTGGTGAGGCAAACGAGGTGATGTATGTGTTCTGCTAGGTTCTGCTGGAAGCCCAGGAGATGGCAGTGAACCATCACAACGTGGAGTTCAGATCCAACCTCTATGTGGGTAAGGGAGCCCCATATTAAGTTTCTCAGACTCAAGTCTTAGTATCTGTGCTGTCAATATCCTTTATTCAAATTTACATGAGAGCTCAATGATTTATGAACCTGATTTACTCATGCTTCTTTGTATGTTATTTATTTTGATACTTGTACCTCGCGACGCATCCTGGTACCTTCTCCGATGCTCTTCCCATACCTTGTTGCTTCATACTTGTGTGCCCCACTGTGCCGTCATGTCTTACCACATTTTGTACCTCTCCACAGCTTCCTCTGTTTCCCTCTTGACATCTCATCTTCCTGTAAATCTCTCCTCTTTTCTATGCATCTACATACATGGTCCCATATCACCCTGATTGCTTCTGTATCCCATGCATTTTTGTACTTTTCCCCCATAATACGTGTTCCCATTGCCCCCCACACCTTTCCCTTCCCTACAATTTATTGAACCTCCCGATACTGTACGGTACCTAACCATTCGTTCCATCTCTCTGCATGCCCCACACCTATGCCCAGCCGAGTCATTCGTAGGCAAAGGCATGTACCTGAAGCGGCTTCGCTACCACGGCCGGGGCATGTTCGGCATCATGGACAAGGTGCGCTGCCACTACTTTGTGAAGCTTGTGGAGGGGCCGCCGCCCTCCGCCGCGGAGCTGCAGCGCGCGCGTTACCCCGTGGAGCATGCTCGCTCGCCGCTCGCTCACCTGCGCTCGCCCATAGAGCAGGCGCGCCTCTACGTAAAGGAGCTGCGCCAGCGCACCGTCCCGCACTCCCTGTGATGTTGGAGGGGTTTAGAGCGCGCCTTCCCACACTCTGATGTGCGAGTGGGATTTAAAGAGCACCGTGTGTGCAATCAACTCTGCTCCCCCCTGTAGTAGAAGTTGGAGTGCCCTTATGTGCAGTAAAATCTGACTAATTGGGGGCAGAGCCTCCAACTTACTCCAAAGTCCAGCTTACTTGTGTCCAGCTTCGTGAGGGTTAACTGAAGTCCAAACGTGCAAAGCACAGGCACTCGCATAAGTGCACCCAACAAAACCGGTATGGAACATGGTGGATGGTGTGATTTGCTGCATTCTCAGAAGCCTGTGTTTCTTTATTGCTAACGTTCAGACACCACAGCTGGTAGCAATCGTGAAGGGCTGAATCGATCTACGACAGAACCTCGACAAATTTCAAATGCCAGTGGAAAATGGTGTATTTTATCACAGCCCAAAATCTGATCATGGGTTGTCTGAAATGTTTTGTACAGTATATGAACAAATCAATATGGGCACCGTGGTGGTGAGATGTTAACTACCTCGCCTGGTATACAAGAAGTCACGTGTTAAATCCCGACCCTGACACCTGTATATTTGCAGTTTGCTTTGCTCTCCCCGGGTCACATTGATTTTTCTCCGGGCCCCCTCCGGTCTTTCCCTTCACATTTAGAAATGTGTAGAGTATTTGGTTGCTATAATTTCCACAAACCACTTAATTGGGCTGTCATTTGTGGCCAAGTCACTTCTGAAAAAGAGTTATATAACTTAATGGACCTTACCTGGAAAGATAAACATCGTTTATATGCCACGGCTCCCCTTATGCGACACGCACGCGTGGTATTGTTAAATCTATTTTATTTGATACATTTTTGTACAGTTTGCACTCTGCAATAATTATTATTCATCACAACATTAAAATCAGACTGCCTTTAAATAACAATTGCTGTTGATTTTTTTGTGTACAAAATCGAACACGCCACATTGTCTTCATGAGTAATGATATAGTTTATAGTCGTGCAGTTCATTGCCACTGCTGGTTTGGCAGCAGAGGTCTCAACAAATCAGTCAAGTGGCATCACTTCACCTCTGCAATGCTCTGGATTCCCTTATGGAAACACCTGCTCTGGTTTGAGACATTCAGGCTGACCTGAATGTCTCGAGTAACAGAACAGTGTTCCTCTGATGGGAGGTCAGAAAAAAGTACATTGGCTGCATCATGTATCCAGCATGCCAGCCACTGCATGTCCTAGCAGTTCCTGTTAATGTGGGTGCAGTTATACTGATGCGGCACAGGATGAGCTTGCAGCTCAGTGAATTTCCTGAAGGAAACTCACCAGCAGTGCTAAGATTGTGAAAGATGCCAGTGGGTGGCTAGTGGTAGCCACCTTCCAGAAACGATGGCAAGCAGAAAGTAACACCAGCAATATGATAATGTAATGTCACCACTGTTAAATGGTGAATGACAGCCATGGTCCTTGTTTTGTGTACAGGCATATCTGTCAGTGCTGCCTTTTATAATGCTGTTTCGTTATTACGTTACGACCTAGAGGAAAATTAATGTGAGGATCAGCCCATGTATATGGAAGTAGGTGTGGTGCTGCCCATAGGGGCATGTCTTTGGAACCAGCATCGAGGTCTTGTATTAATTCTGCTCAGTTGATTTGACACCTATGCTAGAGTATCGATTCATCGAGGGTGAATTCATAAATTCATTGACAATCCATGTATCGAATAATTCCATAGGTTAGTATAACTTCCCACGGAACGTGTGATTACGGCAAACAGTTAATCTTACACGCAAGCTCCCACACAATTTACTGAAAAGTGCATAACTTATTGCATTTTTTAATGTCAGTATTAAAATGTATTTGAATTAATGAAATTATTTTATATATTTATCATGTGCAAAGTATCATTAAGGTTATTACCAATACTCCAATGAAGCCCTCGTATCGCTCATAGGTAAAAAAAAATTGCGCCGTCAGTACGCACCTCCATTTGAACCATGTTGGTGACCTATAGCGCTGTTTCGTATCGCGCTCCATTTACCAAGTACGCATCCTGAGCGCTATAAGAGGTATACTTGTACATGTACGATTGTGTTTGAGCATGTGTTTATATGTACTCTACTGTGTATACGTGGGAAAAGAAAAAACGTATTCAGCCCTCCAGGATCAATAGCATTTGTATGAAATTAATGGCTGTCCTGTGCAGAGTGCCAGCCATATGAAAGTGGAATTCCACCACTGGCTCAGGGTCACCAATGGAGATGTGCACTCTACATTACTTATCTGGAAGACTGACTTTCTGTATCTGCTGATATGCACATATGTATGTTTTACACGTGCATGAAAGACTGGTTTTGCACATGTCTGATGTGTTTACATGTTCTGAATATTTATACAATAACAATCCCATATCCTTTGATTTAAAGCTTTCGTGACTGCAGTAATTCATATTCTTAGTTTTTCGGTAAAGTCACGTTGAAGAGAAACAACAAAATAACAAAATATATATAAAACAATAAAAAATTCTCACGACGTTTCGACCATAACTCAAACGGTCATCATCAGGTGTGTCGGTTTGCATAAATTTATTTTGAAAACGGCATATTTATTTATATATATAAAAATAACGTTTGCGTCACGCGCAACGATGGCAGTTTGCCAGGACTAGTCCATCTATTTTTTGAAAAGAGGAGGGGGGAGACGAAATTTGTTTTTATGTATGCTGTCTGAAAGGCACTGTAAGCGTGAACAATCAATCAAGAACTGAAATGATTTATCAAATCTTTCCAATGATTGCTAAGATAGAATCCATCTTCTCGGTTGAAATTGTCTCTGTGTTTGTATATGTGGATAGCCTCATGAACGAATCTCTCATGGAAGCCAGATGGCTTACAAAGAACCTCCGTCTTGGAAAAGTCAATGGCATGTGAGCCTACTGAATTAGAACAATGATCTGCTACGGCCGAGGTGTTGGTCCTACCGTGTTTAAGGTCTGCTTTATGTTCACGAATGCGGTCCGAGATATGGCGTTTGGTTTCTCCAATGTAACTACTACCACAGAGGCAACTTAGTTTGTAGACACCAGGGTATTGTATGTCCGGAATCACATCTTTTACAGACGGAACCAGATCACGGATTTTATGTAATGTGTTGAAACGGACCTGGATCTTGTGTTTATTCAAGATTTTGGAGATCTTTTTTGTGATCCCAGCAATGTAGGGTAAAGTGATGGTTTTGAAAGGCTCCTCAAGAGGGTTCTTCTTCATGGTTTGAGTGATAGCTTTGCGGATTGTATAGTCGGAGTAACCATTAGCCCTAAGAGCTTGGTGTACGTGCTTGAGTTGCTAAGATGCCAGCTAGCAACCTCAGCAAAGATGAGCGTTTTGAATTATATAAATTAAAAAAGAGGAATGATATTGTAGTTCTCTCAGCTGACAAAGGCAATGCTACTGTTATCATGGATAAAATAGAATACAACAACAAAATTAAAGAATTACTCGACGATGGTAGTTATACAAAAATAAAAAGAGATCCCACCAACAGCCTCGTCACACAAACCAACAAAATAATTTCTGATTCAACCGCATTAATTGATCAATCTAAACAGTTTTCGTTGAAACCTTCTGCTGCCAGGCCACCAAGATTATACGGCTTACCAAAATACATAAAGTTGATACACCTCTTCGTCCCATAGTCTCTACTATCAGCTCCCCCACCTACAAACTAGCTCGTTTTTGTCTGAAATCCTGCGTCCTTTCACTGGAAAGACCACCTCTGCGGTACAAAATTCTACTCACCTGGTATCAACAATCAAGGGTATTTCCCTGTCCCCAGACGACCTGCTTGTCAGTTTTGATGTAGTTTCCTTATTCACCAAGGTTCCTGTACCTGACACCATTGCAATCATTGAAGACTTGGTTCATCAAGGACTAAACACTGAGGTACCCCCCCTGGTGAGACACTGTTTAACCAATACATACTTCACTTGGAATGGAACTTTCTACAAACAAACTGAGGGCACCCCAATGGGCTCCCCCCTTTCTCCAGTTATAGCTAACATTTTCATGGAGAAATTTGAGACTGACGCCATCCAGACTGCCACTCTGCGCCCAACCTTATGGAAGAGGTACGTGGATGACACTTTTGTCATCTGGCCACATGGCCGGCCTGCTCTAGACCAATTCTTCGACCACATCAATTCCATACACCCAGCCATCAGATTTACCATGGAAGTCGAAATAGATGGCAAGATACCTTTTTTGGATGTCCTAATTAAAAAGAGACCTGATGGTTCAATGAGCCACTCTGTCTACAGGAAAGCTACCCATACGGATGCTTATCTGAAACCGGATTCCCACCACCATCCATCACAGAAGAATTCTCTCATCAAGACTCTGTATCATAGAGCCCAATGCATATCCGACCAGGAACACATAAGCAGTGAACTCAAGCACGTACACCAAGCTCTTAGGGCTAATGGTTACTCCGACTATACAATCCGCAAAGCTATCACTCAAACCATGAAGAAGAACCCTCTTGAGGAGCCTTTCAAAACCATCACTTTACCCTACATTGCTGGGATCACAAAAAAGATCTCCAAAATCTTGAATAAACACAAGATCCAGGTCCGTTTCAACACATTACATAAAATCCGTGATCTGGTTCCGTCTGTAAAAGATGTGATTCCGGACATACAATACCCTGGTGTCTACAAACTAAGTTGCCTCTGTGGTAGTAGTTACATTGGAGAAACCAAACGCCATATCTCGGACCGCATTCGTGAACATAAAGCAGACCTTAAACACGGTAGGACCAACACCTCGGCCGTAGCAGATCATTGTTCTAATTCAGTAGGCTCACATGCCATTGACTTTTCCAAGACGGAGGTTCTTTGTAAGCCATCTGGCTTCCATGAGAGATTCGTTCATGAGGCTATCCACATATACAAACACAGAGACAATTTCAACCGAGAAGATGGATTCTATCTTAGCAATCATTGGAAAGATTTGATAAATCATTTCAGTTCTTGATTGATTGTTCACGCTTACAGTGCCTTTCAGACAGCATACATAAAAACAAATTTCGTCTCCCCCCTCCTCTTTTCAAAAAATAGATGGACTAGTCCTGGCAAACTGCCATCGTTGCGCGTGACGCAAACGTTATTTTTATATATATAAATAAATATGCCGTTTTCAAAATAAATTTATGCAAACCGACACACCTGATGATGACCGTTTGAGTTATGGTCGAAACGTCGTGAGAATTTTTTATTGTTTTATATATATTTTGTTATTTTGTTGTTTCTCTTCAACGTGACTTTACCGAAAAACTAAGAATATGAATCCCATATCCTCTCGGTGGTGCCCGATGATAACCCTGTGGTGGCTGTGAGCAATGCCATGGGGGGGAGGGCCAATTCCAATTGGCTGTCCCCCTCATGGCGCTCGTAGTCACAGCGGCCAACGGGCGCTCTGGATGGGTACGAGGGACTGGTAACCCCTCCACTTCATTTCAATTACTACGAAAACATGCAAAAAATAACGAACTTGTTCCGGACGTCTCAGGGGAACAGGTTTCTATGACGTCTCCTGACCAAACCCCACTTGACAGAGCCAGAAGACTCAACCCGTACCCTCGGGGTTCTATCCAGCAAAAAGCCAATGCAAGTGGCCACTTGAAATGTACGAATGTTCACTGCGGAGGAGAGGCTCCCACTTCTCTTATCGGGAGCTGGACTGGTACCACCTAGATCTGCGGTTGTCAGGAGGTCCGGTCGACTGGTTCTGGCTGCAGTCACTGAGGGCTAGTCAATCCTCTATTCAGGGTAAGAGACAGCCAAACAACATGGAATAGCTCTTCTGAACAAAATAAGGGGGTGTAGGAGCGTGGCGGTGAGGTGTGGGAAGCTGTAAGTCCCCGGCTACTGTGGGCTCGCCTCCCCATCAACAGGAGGCGAGGAGTGGTGGTGGTGGTAGTAGTTTACGCCCCCACCGAAGGTGAACATCAGTAGAGGGATGCAGGCAAGGCTAATGAGTCAGATGCCTTCTATGACCTATCACAGGTGCAAGTTAAAGTGGCCCCTTGGGATAGAGTCCTCCTGGTGAGTGACTTTAATGCCTGAGTGGGTCATGATGCTGGCACCTGGGCTGGAGTTATTGGAAGGCATGGGCCAGATCAGCTAAATAACAATGGTAGGAGGCTTCTAGATTTCTGTGCAGCCCATGGGCTTGTAATTACCAATATGCTATTCTGTCATCGGTACACCCACATATGGATGCACACTGGGTCCAAACAAGAACATCTGCAGGACTAAATAGTAATGGAACAGCGGATGCGGGCCCATGTCCTTGACACCGGGACCTACCATGGAGCAGAAAATAACTTGCAGCACCACACCTATCACCATTCTTAGGAAAAAGAAAGGTGATCCGATCTCTGTCCCCCAGGAAAATCTTTGCAGGTTTGCTGAGCATTTCTGTGAGTTCTTGGGGGAGGGGAAATCCCTCAACCCAGAAAACATTGGACAAAGTGGGGATGATCCTGCTGTGGCTTGGATGCCTCAAATACTGGAAGAAGTAGTCACCCCCTGTGAGTGACTGCCTTAGGTGACGTCTCAGCCAGCCACTCAGTACGGAAGGTGATCCAGAGTCTGAGACCAGGAAAAGCGCCGGGCAGAGGGTGGCATTTGTGTGCAGACTGCCCTATGTAACATCATTATAACATTCTGAATCACTGAGCAGGTTCCACAGGATGGAAGGATGCCATGGTGGCCCCCCTCTTTAAGAAGGGGGGCAGACTGTAACAACTACAGGTGCATCTCCCTCAGTGTGCCGGGAAAGGTCCTGAAAAGGATTATTCAACATCGCCTTGTCAGGCACGCTGAGGAGAGGCTTGCGGAGCCCCAATGTGGTTTCAGACCAGGGCGGTCCTGCACAGACTCTATATTCTCTGTCCGTCTGCTACAGCAGAGGTGTAGGGAATTCCAACAGGACCTACGTCTCTGCTTTATTGACCTGGTCAGGGGCTATGATACCAACAATAGGCCTGGGCTCTGGGTTGTTCGTGCTTTCAGAGTTCCTGACTACTCACAATCATTAAGGACCTTTATGATGGTGGACAGGCCCAGGTAAAGCTACATCACAGGGAGTCAGAGCCATTCTCTGTTTACCTTGGGCTGCAAGAGGGATATCCTCTGGTGCCTACATTATTTGACATTTTTAAACCACGTAGTTCAAGAAGCCTTCTATGGCTCTACCGGAGGAATTTCCATCTGGTTCAGATACAATGGGAGACTTATCAATGCCCGGGTGCAGTCAAGCGATGGCATCCATGTTAAGTATTCTGATGATCTGGTGATTGCTGCTCACTCAGAGAAGAAGTTGGCGGTGCTGCTTAACCTGGAGCATGCTACTAAGAGGTGGGGCCTTACCATCAGCCCCTTAAAAACTAAGCATCTGCCTGGGTATTTTGTGTCATCAAACACACTCCACCCTCTCAACTCCCCATTGGTGATGGGGAGAGTTGTGGAGAGAGTGGAGCTGTTCCCATACCTGGGCAGTGTGCTTATGACTGGCTATGGTTTTACAGCAGAGGTCTCACTCCGAATCAGTTGAGCGGCATATTTTCATTGGCTGCATAACGCTCTGTGGAAGCTACCTGGTTTGTCACTCCAAACGAAGCTTTGGGTCGTATTCTCCGCCACAGTTATGCCCTTACACTTCTCTATGCTTGCGCAATGTTGACCCCCCCCTATTAAAACATCTTTGGTGGTTAGAAACATTCAGGCTGGCCTGCCTACAATCCATCCTGGGTTTAACCAGGCTGGATTGTGTGAGATCACAAATTCTTGAAAGACCTAGACACAGTCCCATTGGTGAGCTCCTTCGGCAGGCAAGGCTGCATTGGCTGAGTCATGTAGCTTGCATGTCTAGCCACTGCATGCCGAGACAGATTTTGTTCGGGCAGATAGAGGACTAAATGGGCGTGGCATTGGCGAGAGAAGATGTGGAATTATGTGATATGAGAGGATATGGAGCTGAGTGGACTTGCCAATGACTGGTACCAGCAGTGTCAAGATTGGCCTCTGTGGAGGATGCTCGCGAAGGACGCGACTGGGGAGTTGAAGGTAGTCGCCATCCAAAAACAGCAGAGGGCACAGGAGTGACGCTCACAACAACGAGCAGAGCGCCGGGTGGCAATCGGGGGCACAGGTGGTGCATCTGCCAGTCATCTCAGTCAACCCATGACCTGGCAGTGAGCATTCGACACGATCCGTGGCCTTAAAGTGCACATAGCATGGCACAAGCGCTCTGGTAACATCACCGCCACGTAGTGGGAAATTCTGGTTCTTGTTGTACCTGTGTGTTTGTGTGAATATTAAGGCATGTTTTTATTCGTGTGCGTATGCATCCACGCTCGTGCACAGTAAATCACGCTTTTTTTACCTCATCTCTAACAAGCTCAGCCAGTCTTTGAAGACCCTGGGGACAGAAACACAATTACACTTACACTCTGCAATTCGTGTCAATACGTGTAAAAGCCACTCCTAGTATAATCTCACCCGTTCTCTTTTGTGTGTAAAGACACAAATTGAGAGTTGAATATCAGAAGTCGGAGTTGAAACAGGGACACTAGTGTTTCATCCACACTTGTGATTACCTGTCTCCCTGTATTTTTGATTGCCGACCCGCACCTCCGGTGTAGGGGTTATAAGGAGGGAGGGGGCAGAAGGACCAAAATTTTGGGGGGCCCAGTGGTCGTGCTCACCCACTGGTGGAATGTTTCGGCCACCATGCCACCGTGTCTCTCCGTGTATCCCCATGTCTCTATGATCCCCTCCATCCCCATGGCTCCCTGATCCCTTTATTGCTCATGCTACTCACCGTATCGATGAGCTTTGGGCTGGTGATTGAGAACGATGCACGCAAGTGTGAGGAAACTGCATCCAAGCCAGGGTAGAAATCACCTCCAGGCACGAACAACACCTGGAGCATAAACCCAGTTGAGTGACATGTGTAGATGAACGACTTTTTGGTCCATAAGTAAGATCTGCACAACACCTGCAGATGTCATATCTCATGCACAGCACAGCTAATCGACAGCCTCTGCATGTTGTGTGGATCACGGGGGCTATATGACCATAATTCACCGTGATGCTCAGTGAGGCTTGAAGATAAGGAGATTAAATGCGGGAGCATAGAAAATACAGTACAACAATTAATCTTGCTGCATTGCCCGCTGCTGCCCGCATTGCATCGCAACTTCGTAGCCAACAACGGCAACCTGGCATGCATGGTTGTTGCTCATCTAAACATGAGCCAAGCTCAATCTTGCTTTTAGCTTCCAAGATATGATTAGATCAGGGGCATCTCTGGAGATTTAACCATGTGTGTCATAATATGTGTGGAAGAATACACGTGTGTGAGTGTGTATGTGTACGTGTCGACCTAGCCTCAAATAAGTACCTGGTGCATTGTATAAATATCGCTACTTGGGTGACAAAGGTGGCGAGTTGTGGTGCTAGCCTCCACCCATTTGTGTACTGTACCGGCCTTCATAGGTGCTCGCTAACAGCACTTGTCAAAAAAGTGTGTAAAGGTTACAAGGGGGATCTTTGTATGTGCGCGTGCCTCTTTTGCCAGGGCTTTCTTCATGATGAGGTCTCGTGAATTTTCCACCCCCAGTAATTTTATCCATAGGAACATTCCTGCCTGGGGCGAATCCCACTCAGCCAAACCTGGACACACACGGAGACATAAGGAAAAACGGTGATACACAGCGAGACAGGTGAAACAGCGACACATTTAAGATGAGGAGAAACGGTGACACACGGGAGGCATGCGGAAGAACGGGGTTGCACGTGGAGGTACAAAGATGCACAGGGACGTGTGAGGAGACAAAGGTATGCAACATAAGGACTCAACAAGGAGGTAGAGGGATTGTATTCCGAGGTATGGGGATGTATGAGGAAGCATGGGGACATAAGTTGCCAGGTTGGCAAAGTAAAATTTCACATCAGACAAATCGCCATTAATGCAGTAAATCTCATCAGATCTTGGGAGCGAGGCAGGGATGAGCCTGGTTAGTACTTGTATGGGAGACTGCCTGTGGGCTTGGGCATCAAGGTACCCAGGGGGTGGTCGTACAGCCATGGATTCTTGATTTTGTCTTTGCGGATTTCTAGTGTTACTCCCTCATATATGTGGGGTTTCTCCTGATACTCCAGTTTCTTTGCACATGCAAAACATTCAAAAATGTAATTGGCCAAACATCTGTAGGCAGGTCCCTAAAAAAAGTCTTAATACTTTAAGAATAAACAAAATACATTCATGTTATTATAGAAATTTATCATGTACACAAATGTCATTACAAGTAGTGTTTGTCCGCATACGTGTGTAGATGCGCATGCCACCGTGAGCCTTCGTGTGCCTTACCCGTGAGCCATTTCTGGGCGGAGGAGACCATTGCATCTTTCTGAGAGCGGTAAAATTCCACCACACTGCATCAGACAGAGGAAGTCACAGTGTCACGCACTTACTGACGGGTGACAGAAATGTCAACAACATTTTAATAAAGAGACGCACTGTTTATTGGATTCTAAAATGGGTCAAGTGAATATATTTGCTGAATCCAAAGTGTCCCATTGAAAAAAACGCATGAATAACGTATACATTGTACCTCTACTATTAATCTTTATTGGCTCAACAATTGCCTCCTCCAGGGCATGGACTTTTTTTTAAATGCAGTCTCTGACCATGTCACCGGGAGTGCGCTCAATCTCGTCAGACCTCAGAAGCTAAGCTGGGTTGAGAGCCTGGATGTAGTGCTTGAATAGGAGACCACCATGCATACCAGGGTGGCATCGATTACTTCGAGGCTGTGCTACATTGTGGTAAGCAGAGGACAGTGCTAAAAAATAAATTGTTCTGCCATTCTATGCTCCCCACCTTTACCAACACATGGTTACAAGTGTGGTAAAGTATGGTCAAATAACACCTTTCCAGACCTGAAGTGTGGGGAGGCCCTCTTCCAGCAGTGGATTGACAAAAGGGCTGTATGAGTACATTCACATGTGTTGGTAACGCATTCCGGTTTAGTGGCAGCTGAATGGTTTACCGTCTTATGTGGAGGATTGATTAAAGGCTGCACAAGACTGTATGCGTAGCAGAGTCGCGGGTCTATTCCCTGGTCTCCCATTCACACCAGGGTGTCAACAACCATGACGGGTGCCAGTGGCACCTGTAATGGTTGAATGACGGTGGTGAGTGTAGCGTGGGTGGTGTTGTGCTGTTAACACACCTGTCAACGTGGTCGAGAAAGCCATCTATGCCCCATTGCTCCAGAAGCTTATACACCAAGATCTGCAGAGGCACATCGTCATCTGCATCATTACCCCCATCTGCATTCTTATCCTCATAATTATCATAATCTACATCATTACGCTCATCATCATCTTTACCACCACCACCACCAAAATCATCATCTGTATCACCATACATCATTATCCGTGTCACGAGTCAGACCCCCTCTTATCCATGTTGACACGCAGGTCGCTATTTTTTTTCAGCAAACAGCCACGTATAAATGGAGAAGATACACACGTAATTTACTACCACTACTACCCATGGATAGCAGGAGCTATCCCGCACATAATTGGAGCTTCTGCGGACCGACCATGGCCAAGGTTCACAGGATTCATGGATAACAGGGAAATAAGAAAGGTTCCACTGTATTAACATTACTATCACCATCACTATAATAAGCAACACCATTTGATAACTGTCACTGCTCTCATCTTCATCACTTGCAAAATCGAATCATGTTAAACATTGTCATCGTTTCATGTTGCTGACACTATAATTTTCATTATCAACATCACAATCACCAAAATCAACACCATCAAAATAATCTAAACTCTCATCCCAAATCATCTTTGACACCATCATCATTGTCACAAGTAGAGGGAAACAAGTATGTGTCGGCCAAATTGATGTATCGGCGGAACACCGGTGCAGCATAACAAACCGGTCCTCATAAAACAGTCTGAAATCAATATTTTTATCGTAAAATCTGTCTATCAGTCTTTATTTGGCCCTGCTACGATTCAAAAGTTTATTCAGTCTTCTGAGACTTGCTAAAAAGGGTCAATATTGACCGTTGATTTGGGTTAGGGCCACGTGATTTTTTAGACCGACCAGGAGGGTGAGCGCCTCGAGGAACAGCAGCTTTCTTGCGGCCTTGTGAGCCTCGGGTGGGACTGGATCATCATCTTCGTCGTTTGACCTAAGGTTTTCACTCATTTACCAGCTTCACATTCTTTATTGCCGTACAAATACTGGAGGAAGGGCCTTTGCTATTGATGCCCCCAGGGTCTGGAATGCTATCGCCAATAAACTGCAACTTGGATCACTACCTGTGAGATCTTCACTCAAAACTGCTCTAAAGGAGTTGTACACCCCTAGCTGCCACTGCTATTCAGTGGCCTGAAATCAAATGTATCGCTCCGGATGACCGCTGCAAAGTATGATCTTGAGTTTTGATTATAGTGTGCTGATCTTTAAAGGTGCATTGAAAAATTTTGATACTCCTACTGATACTCCTGCTGTTATGGAGTGACTCATACTGCAAGCTATGGCTACAAAGTTTGGTCGTACATGTTATGTATATCGTTTATTGTTAAATTTGAATCACAATTCCTATGATCACTGTTACATTGTTTTTATAGCTTTATTTTGGTGATTTCGAAAACGTTTTGGTTTAGCCATATTTGTTTATTGTAGTACAGAGTTAGACTGATAACTTTAATCTAAATTGTCTTATGGTTGTTATTGTTTGACTTGCATCCCACTGGGATTTTTGCACACAGCGTTGATATACGGTGCTTTTTATGGAAGACTTTGCTGTTTTTTCCTGGATTTTTCTGTTGCGCGTAGTCATTTTAAGATGTTCCTTATTCATGTTTTTGTTTGTTGCGGTTGCACCCGATTCAAGAGCCGCATGGCTCACAGGGCTATACCTAATAAATGAAACTGAAACTTGAGCCACCGATGGATAGTACGGCAAGAAGAGTGTTGCGATCGTTAGGGTTAGATCAGGGATATTTTAATGGCAACAATAAATGAGGAGAAAATCTAAATCTCTCGTGAACAACCAAATACTATTTAAGGTTTTCTCTTATAGGCATCATTGTTCATAAAAGGCCAGTGCTCGTATTTCTCCAACCTTAACCTAACCATAACCATCCGACAAAGTCTTGGGCAAGAGTGAAATCTGTCTAGGGCACGAGTCAAAACACGGAGCCAATCGTCATCAGGCTGGGTGCTATACGGAAACAGACTGTGAAGTTTTGTGTTCAGCTGCTCATAACATTCGTCTTCCGACTGCTTCGACATCACAAGAACTGATTTTGACGAACCCCACAAGATTTTCTGATCGGGGTTGTGAATCGCGGGAAAATAAATAAAATTAACAATTATTGCGAAAAATCTGCTTTTTTATACCGCCCATCGGTGTACCGCCAATACATTCAAATTTGAAAATGGACTCGTGAGGGTGGATGTGTGTAAAAGTGGATAAGTGAGATGAGTGTGAAGAATCACCTGTCAATGGTTGACCTGTGAAAAGGTGGATACATTGTGAGCAGGTGGATGTAAAAGACGATGGATGTGTGCATGGTAGACCTGTGAGAAGGTGGACGTGTGCATGGTCGATGTCTGCATGTGCAGGATGACTCGGTTCACCAACTTTTTGGGTCCCGTCAAGAAACCCAGACGCAAGCTGTCATCGGTAAGGACAGCCAGAGACACAGGGCAATAAGGGGATGGAGCGACACACACGCACACACACACAAAGTCACCTGTAAGAGATTATCACTGAGAAGAAGATGATTGAGGTGAAACGGAAGAGATGACAAGTGAAGAGATAATTGCTGAAGTGCACTTGATGATTTTGAGGAAAAAAATATGCTAGTTAAGGATCAGATTATAATTTTTTATAATCAAGTGATGTAAGTTGAGGATCAAGAATGTTTAAAAGGGTTCTCTCACCCAGAGGAGATGATCTTGGAGAAGGAATCTGTGCGGATGACCCTTCCATCAACATCCATAGAGAGGAAAGATTCACTCCAGGGCTGGGACAACAAAACAATTTCCATTAACATCATCACCTCGATCACCTCATCTCCATCAAAGCCAACGTCATTACTACATCACCACAATCACAGCCAACATTATCACTAATCACCTCCATCACACAGCATGATCACTACATCATTATTTCTCCACGTCCATCACAGCCAACGTCATCACTACAACACCACCATCCAAGGCAATATGAATTATCACTAAATCACTTCCATCACAGTCAAAATCATCGCGACATCACAAACATCCCCACCTCATTGCTTCAAACACAAGATCACCTCATCATCTGTATTGCAGGCAACATCAATGTGACAGACATTACCACATCATAACCTACGTAACATCCAAAATCACAAACATCGCCACCACATCAAGGACATGACATCACCTCATTCACAGGCAACATCAGCACATCGGCACATCATCCCAATTATCACCAACTCCTCCATCACAGGAACCACATCACCGACAAGACTGACTGCATAGGCCTCTCACATTCCGGGTCATCTCACCTTTTTAAACTGCAGGTAAAAGTAAGGGTCGTCTTCGATGATGAGGAGGTCATACTCCTGTGCAATCTGAAAACACAGGTAAGTGGTCGACAGGAACAAGCCAAGTGGCCCTGTGTGTGAGCCCAACGAGATCACACACAGGGCTGTGTTCGTTTCCACCTGCAGGCCTCAGCCAGTTGGTGTAAATCCCCACAGTAGAGGCGGGTCTCCGACAGAAGTGCGGCAAGCAAGCATTTTCACGACTGCACCTTTGACCTTTTAACTGAGAAAAGAGGGCAAATGTACCGTGCGGTTTTCGTACGTTCACACGTGCCAATCAATTCATTCATTACTGACATTACCCTGGAAACAATTACCGAGTCCTGAAATTCAGAATCGGTAATCGAACCTGATAACGAGGACTGATTCACTATCTTTTTCTTTGTGTGTGTGTATATGTCTTTGTCCTGTGCGGAGCCGTAGTGCAGTGTTTAGCAAGCTGCACTATGAACCCGACCACCCGAGTTCAATTCCCACTCACGGCCAACACCAGTGACGGGTATCTAGTGTTTGTAGGTGTATGGGCACATATTTGCTTCGATGTGTGTTGGGTGGATGGAGCAGTGGCTCATACCGCGGTCCTGGATTCCCAGGGTTGTTTCTTGCTCACGAAGATCAACAGTGACAATTGGAATCTGGCATATGCTTGTGTGTATGGTTATGGTATGCGTGTGTTGTTGGGGGGAGCGGCAGTGCAGCGGTTAGCCTGTCGCGTTAATAACCCTGCAACCCGAGTTCGATTCCTGCTCATGGCCATCACCAGTGATGGCTATCAAAACCAGTCCTGGGCCTCCCCTAAGTTGACTCAGCCTAAATTGAGGATCTGGTTTGGTGTGTGTGGGAGCCAAAGGTAGCCGGGCACAGTGCTGAAGCACCCACCGCCTTGTGTGCCGTGCTGGTCTTCTTAGATGCTCACCAACAGCACTTTCCCCAACAGTCTGTTAAAGGCTATAAGTCGGGGGGGGCGTGTATGTTATGTGCATGTGTCTCACGCGGTATATTTCTCGTTTCCTGTCGGTGCTCAGCGAAGCTCCAGTGGGGTTACCACCATTGGGGACTGTGCAGAGCACACGGGGGATGCCTGAGGCAGGGACGCGGGCGTCTGATGGAGACCATGGCGAGAGCACGCGACGTAGATCTGCTGGGATCATCCCCTGTGCATCGCCCGCAACGCTCAGCACACGCGCGCCGAGTGGCTCCACCTGGGACATGAAGACATGGAGGGACACTTGGGGTACAGGTTTGCACATTGGGGGATATTGGGTCACACAGCGACAAAATAAATATTTCAAGCAAGAATGTTGCTCTCCTCCCTGAATTAAGTGACCTTAAATTAATTAATTTTCAGCTGCTGGGCTACAGACCACAAAGTCATGTGGCTGACAATGCAAGTCAGTGGATTATCCTCTCCCAGATCTCACGCCACCACTAGGCAATACCGTGCACTACACAGTCCCGACCTCGTGACCGTGTGCTACAACAGCTTTGTCTAATATTTATTTCCTTGCCTACTTTGCATGTACGTATGGTTTTCAAATAAAAACAGAAACTCTGGAAAGTAGTCGGGTGGCTCAGGAATCAGAGTATCTGAAATGGCACCACTGGAATCTTGGGGTTTGCATCTGGGTCTTAGCTGCCTGTGATTAAACCAGGTTTTCAAGTGGGTCAGCCATCAATGACTGCAAAAAATACCCATCATATTAAATTTGGTTTCGCACCAAATTTGGCTTATTCTAACTCTGAGGACGACAGATGTTGGTTGGTTGACAAACAAAAAAACTCCATGCAGGATATATTAAAGATGTGGATAAAGAGGTCTCACAAAGAGCTCTTAGAAAGAGTTACGTGATGATGGGACCGTTGTCTGATCCAGGGTGGTGCACTCCTATTTGTAGGAGTACATTTTTCATCTTGTGACAGAATGCTCATAGCACAATTTGGATATAATGTGGAAAAACTAAAACTAACTTACGGCGATGAGGGTGCCCGGGTATGTTGGCGTGTCCATGAGCACATAGTCGCCTGGGGTGATGAGCATCTCAAACACCTGGACACACACAGTCATACAGACAAATATACATCTTCTTCATCTCAGCCAAAAGTCCCATTACTGTATGGGGTCCACTGCTCAGGTTTCCTTTCTCCGTAGGCTGCACCTCTTCCCTAATCACATCCATCGTCCTGCCGGATGAAGGCGCACTTTGAGGCCATACGCAGTGGGAAAGCCATGTGAAGAGGTTACTGATCAGACCAAAATGCATGGGTTAAAGGAAGACAACCCCTTAACAATGACACCTTGTAAGGTGTAGATGCATACCTGGGCTGTGTATCCCAGGCTCTCCCACGTGGGTTTATAGCTTCGTAAATGAAAATCAAACATTATCGAGGCCTAAATCTGTTTAGCTTCTGAGATATGGAGAAATCGGGGGCACTCCAGGTGGCTTGGCCATCAGCATATACATGGTGTGTGTATGTATATGACCCAGTGCAGTGTGCACACCTTGCTAATCGCCTCCTGGCTGCCTGTGGTGATGCACACGGTCATCTCGGTGTCTGTGGATTCAAATTTGCGCGTCGGGGGGTTGTGAACCCTTGTCTGCAGCTGCTTGAACCAGTCAATCAGCTCAGGGATGCTGCACACAACCACACAAATGACAAAGATCTCCCATATAGCCTTTAACAGACAGTTGGGGCAAGTGCTGTTAGCAAATGCCTATTAAGGTTGGTTGGCAAATGAGGTCGTGGTGTGACCAGCACCACGCACCTTTGTCTCCTCAGTGCCAATGTACACACAATGCATCAGGTACTGAGTCGAGCGAGGGGAGGCCTAGGATCGGTTCACATATCACTCACCACTGATGTGAGCCAGCCATGGAAAAGCAATCGAACTTGGGTCATTGGGTTTGTTGTGCAATGCACAAGAGAATATGCCGCTGCAAGCACGTACAAACACACTCACATATACAAATACAGTGCATATAGGCAAACACATATGCACTCATCCCTCCACATACACACACATGCACACGCAAAGACACACGTAGGTTGAATGCACACACACCAATACAAATAGAAATGTGGCGAGTCCAACTGAGTCGCAGACATTCTTCTTCAGAGGAAACACATTTATTACATAACACAAAAGGGGTAGCTGCCCCTTTACCAGATACAGCCTAGGGTGGTGACCACCCAGCTAACTACACTACCATACAGGAGTTATGGCTACAACGGACCAGACCGGTACTCGGGTCCCGGGCCACGTGTTGGTGCCTCTTCAGATGTACAACGCGGAGCTTCCAGCTTGCAGAACGAAGCAACCCCGGTCCCTCCCAGGAACCCACCTTATATCCTCCCGGGTCGGGGCCGGCTCCGCCCTTGGCCCCGCCCACCTTCGCGAGCGTTCCAGCTCCCTCTCGATCCCTCTCGAGAGCTCTCCCCGGACACGTGATCACCCCCTAGCCCCCCCCCCCCCCCACCTGGGGGCCTCTCAGTGGACACTCAAATCACATGCCTACGGGGTTAACCAGAGTGCCATGGCCTGGGGCAACCCTGTCCCTGGGCTGACACTCTCCCACTCCCTCCTGTTTGAGCCCGCACTGCACACTATGCGTGGTGCTCTCGCTATCCCAGCGCTCACCAAGCCCAGCTAGGCTGGTACTACACCCACCTACGGGGCGTACGCGATGACGGTGCATCGCACGCCGTGCTCTGCTAGAGCCGGCATCACTCTGTAACACACACGATGCTGTCCGCGATGTAAGTACATCGCATGCCCTGGCCCTCTAGGGCCGGCACCATACGGTGACATCCCCAATGTCACTACATATACATTAATGCATTTACACATTCATTCAAGTGTGCATACAGCTCCCTGTACACGTAGGCACACACAGAAGAAGATCCCCCATGCAGCTTCTGCAGGGGAAAATTCCGTGAAGCAAGCACCAACACGGCACATGAGATCTTGGTCTCCCTAATGCTAATGACAAAGCACCAGGTGATCATTCTAGGCTCAATTTACCTTGAGAAGGCTCAGGCCAGGTTGAAATACCAATTGCCTTTGATTCTATACATCGTGTCCAGGAATCAAACATGGATTTTGAGACTGTAGTGCAATACCGAAGCTACTATAACCACACACACACACAGCTGACAGCATTCACCTGCACGCACACATTGCATCTCCTGTTATCACTTGTGTCTATGGGCATCCGTGTTTCCCACAAATGTCCTGTACATGTCCCCATGTCACCCCATGTCTCTGTGTGTGTATTCTGACATATTGTGGGGAGCGGTAGTGTAGCAGTTAGCGCGCTACACTATGAACCCAGCGACCCGGGTTCAATTCCCGCTCACGGCCAACACCCGTGATGATTATCTAAACCGGTCCTGGGCCTCCCCTAGGTCAACTCAGCCTGAAATGAGTACCTGGTGCGGTGTGTAAACATCGCCACTGGGGAGACAACGGCGGTCGGGCGTGGTGCTGGCCACCCACCCCCTCGTGTACCGTTCCGGCCTTCATAGGTGCTCGCTAACAGCACTTGCCCCATACAGTCTGTTAAGGCTATACGGGGGATCTTTGTCTTTGACATTAGCACATGTAGTCATGTGTCGTTTGTCCCTGCACCCCTTTGCACATGCCCTTGTGTGCTCACTTGTCTCTTTCTGTTTCCTCTGCCACGTTTGTGGCTCCATGCGTGCCCCTTTGTGTCTCTGTGCACGTCCCCTTGTGTCTCCATGTGTGTGTTCCCATATTGCGAGTCCACGTACCCATCCGTGGGCGAGTACTGCAGCATCCTCGCAACGGTGTTGGTGTCGAAATTCAGACGGGATGGTCCGGGTAGCTTCTCCCTGTGCAGTTGCCGTGTCTCCACGCTCACCCCGAGGAATGGGAACGTGTTGGGGTTTGGCATCCCCGTAGCCAGGGAGATGAGGCCCGGTGGAGCCTTCAGCTGCAGGTCAGCTACGATCGGACAAATAGGGACATACAGGGAAACAGGTTACAATGAAACGTGGCATTGCATGTGTCGATATAAGTGAAGTGTAGATACAATATAGATAAATATGCAGCCCTGCAATTACTTGCTCACGCCACTACTGGTAGAAGGACTTCCAGTATAAGGAGCTCTACAGAGCTCCGAGTCTCGAGGATATTTTGTTCTACTCTTCCACACTGGCCAGAAAGGTGGGCATACCAACTTTACTCCACCACACGTGACCTGGCGGTAGACTACGGTGTACACTAAGTTATTGGGTAGCGGAGGAGCCCATTTACGGAAATCCGACTTTACGGAAATCCGACTTTACGGAAATGCTACCACAAATCGTGTTAAAAAAATCAATAAGCAGAAACGTTTGCGTTACCTACGTAAGCGCAAATAGTGCAGCACTGTGAGGTTGCGGATGAATACCGCAAAACGCCGCCTTCACCGAGGATTAAGGTAAACTTAATTTTTTGTCACGTTATGTAATTGTTTTCCTTTTGGAGCATTGCGTAATGGTTTGTTTTCTATGCTAAGAACGATCTTTTTTTCCCATGTTTCTATTGCAAGTTTTCTTCATTTTAAGTTTACTTCATGAGTTATTTACTGTATGTACTTTATTCAATATAATTACACCTCGATTGCTTATGGTCTCAGCCAACAGCGATCGAGTCGAATGCACGCTAAACGAACATTCGGAAGTGACTGCTTTCTGTTAATAATTAATATTCAAATGTTTCATGGTATTCATAAACAATTGGATACAGTATATGTTCCATTAATTTGCACCTGGAAAGTTGGAGGCAGCGACCCACCAACAACTACTAGAGGGGTGTATGAGCAACTTTCACAACAACGGGCAGAGCGCCAAGTAGCTAAACCGGTGACACAGTGGGAAGTGCAGATGGTGCATCTGCCAGTTATCTCAGTTAACCCATAACACATCGGTCTATTTTGTCACCTCCTGCGAGTGATCCTTCATTACTTCACTTAAGCCGCAAAGTGCACCTAACCTGGAAGAAGCACTGTGGTGATGTCACCATGGCGTAGTGGTGAATTACGGTTGTTGTATGTCTACACATCCGTCTTTATGTGGGTATTTGCAGTGTATATGTACATGTCTTTATTCATGAGCGTGTGGCGTATATACATGATGTGTGTATGTATGCATGTAAATGCATGCACGTGCATTCCTTACTCAGAGCCCGGATTGGAGACGTGCGTCTCGCAGCGCTAACTGCATTGATGAAGCGTGAATAATTCATCTCCCGCCTTCTCCACACACACACACACAGGGCACACACCAAAGCCATCGAACAAAGATGGTCAGTGCATCACGCGCTTTCTGATGTGCTACTGCGGCCGTCTGGAATGCTCTCCCTTCCGATATTAGGAAGCCACTGGAACTATGCACTTTTAAATATAGATTGACAACTAATTTAGAAAGAAATGCTTTTTGTGTTTAGTTTGTTGTCCTTCCTCCGATTATCACGGCTGGCTACGTACGGTACGAAAGAAGTTCAACATATATACACACATAGTATACGTACACAGAGCACACACACACCATAACCATGAACAAATACGATAACCACACACAAACAGTACGCACATGCGCATAACATAACCATACATACACAGTACACACATATCAAAAGACAAAAATATTCACTATAGCTCTAACAGACTGTTGGGCCAAGTGTTGTTAGCGAGCACCTATGAAGGCTGGTACGACACAAGAGGTGGGTGGCCAGCACCACACCCGGCCGCCTTTGTCTCCCCAGTAGCTATCTTTACACACTGCACCAGGTACTCAATTGAGGCCGAGTTAACCTAGGGGAGGCCCAGGACTGGTTCTGAGAACCACCACTGGTCGATGGCCGTGATCAGCAATCGAACTCGAGTTGCTGGGTTCGTAACGCAAAGCACTAAACGCTGCACTGCCGGTTCCCCCAATACTACACACATACCATAACCATACACACACGCATATATACCAGATTCAAATTGTCACTGGTGATCTTCGTGAACAAGAAACCCTGGGGATCCAGGACCGCGGTATGAGCCGCTGATCCATCCACCCAACACACATCGAACCAAATATGTGCCCATACACCTACAAATACTACAGTATTTACAACAAAAAGCTCAACACACTCAATAACACTGTGGCCTTAAAAGGAAACGTATATACTGTACTGTAATAGGCGAAGTTTTAGGCAATGGCCCTTCTTTATAGCACATACATTCAGAGGCCAGAGATTGGTGCCAGAAGGCCACAAAGCTGATGGATTGATATTTTTTAAAGTGAAAAATCAGGATGTTGTATACATGTATATATGTATACCTAAATGTATGCTACAACAACAATATTTAAAGTACAGTAAACCCTTGCTATACGCGAGTTTTGGATTTGCGGGTTTCGCATATTCGCGATTTACTAAATGTACACCAATTTCCAATTAGCGAGCCGCTGGACTTCAGTATTCGCAAGTGTACGTGCCATACCATCGACACCAAAAGTTATGAGTTTGAGTGAAAAGGTCAAAAGTGTTGGACAGGCTAGATACCGGTGGGAGTGCGTCTGCGGTAGGTAGGTCGACATTTCGGTATAAACGAGTCGACTGAGGTCCATTAAAAATAACGCAAATGCAGCAATCAGGGAAAGTGTTGCGGCTCACGCTACCCAGAGTGGTAAAATTATAACTGTGCGTTTTTTATTATATACACGTGCATCTCCCGAGGAGTTATCCTCCTTAATTACTCACCATCACCACCATCGTAGTCAAATCATCATCACAGGTAATACAAAAAAACACACTGTCCTTTATAATATACTAGTTATTATTGCAGTCGCTATCAAACATTTACCATTTCCCCCCCTAATTTCACTCCATTTTTCCCGTTGAACAAAGTTTCTTCATTTGCGAATTCTATACGCGAGCCTTTTCAAGAATGGAACTCTCGTGAATAGAGGGTTTACTGTATTTAAAAAAAAATAATCTAATCCTCGAGTTTCCCGGCTGACTGCTGGCTGGGCTTCTCTCCATCCCATAAATAACTCTGTTGTTCGTCGAGATGAGGGCCACTGCCACCTAAACAGTATAAGACGTTCAAAGACATATCATTGATTGTGACACCGAAGAGGTGGGAGTAATGAATACAAGAGACTGACCCGGTTCTTTTAAAATGGCTCAATTTGTGCTCCATCAATATATTGATTTTTCCATAATTTTAATAAAATCCTACAGAATCCAAAAATCCCTCACAATACATATTATCTTGGCATTTTTTTTTAAATAACCGAGTACCAGATTGCGAAATGAGTGTTAAAATCGCGTTTGCTTATTTTATGCTGCAGAACAAAGGTTTTCTCTCCTCGTAGTAGTAATAATAATTACAGCACGTTGCCAATACGGTACATTCCTAATAATGTACCGTATTGGCAACGTGTTTTCGTGAAGGGTGATCGCCACTGATATTCGCAGTTGCCAAGAATCCAAGTAATTTCGCTGGGCTCATAATGCAGGACGCTAACTACTTTGCCACCACTCCCCACACTATGCAACACTGTACTTCAAACCATACACGTAACCACTTAACAAGCATACACAATTTGCCTACCTCTCCATCTTGAGCAAGCACAGATACGCACAGAGGGAAGATTTTCTCTGCAAAAATGCCAGATCCCACTGGAGCATCGCCTGGTTAAGTAAAGGACCCGAATAAATGATTAAACATGAGATGAATAAACCTGTTATTTATTACGTGGAGTTTCTATTAATAGGTCAGTATAAATTCGCTAATTATTCATGTTTGTATTTTAAATTGTTTCGGACAATTAACGTTTATGACAGTCTAGTGGGTTTTAATGTCTAAACGAAAATTTGTTTGTCAAAATGTTGCTATTTTTTTTACAATTTAATGTTGTGGTCAAATATACAGAGGAATAGAAACATCAATATTCCTCCACGCAAATTTAAGTTTGCAGGTAGTACATACCCTAACCAATTCACGTACATCATTCATACAAAAACAACGATGCTGTTGTTGAGCCAAGTGCTGTTAGCGAGCACCTATGAAGGTCGGAACGGTACACGAGGGGGTGGGTGGCCAGCATCACGCCCGGCCGCCTTTGTCTCCCCAGTGGCGATGTTTACACACCTCACCGGGTACTCATTTCAGACTAAGTCGACCCAGGGGAGGCCCAGCACCGCCACGCTCACCCACCACGCTCACCCACCACCCACCACCACCCACCACCACCCACCACCAACCACCAACCACCACCAACCACCCACCACCAACCACCCACCACCAACCACCCACCACCCACCACCAACCACCCACCACCAACCACCCACCACCAACCACCCACCACCAACCACCCACCACCAACCACCCACCACCAACCCACCACCCACCACCAACCCACCACCCACCACCACCACCCACCACCACCCCACCACCCACCACCACCAACCCACCACCCACCAAGTTTTCAAGTTTCATTTATTAGGGATAGCCCTGTGAGCCACGTGGCTCTTGAGTCGGGTGCAACCGCAACAAACAAAAACACGAACAGAGAAACATCTTAAAGCGACGACGCGCAACAGAATCATCCTGGAGAAACCAGCAAATCTTCCAGGCGAGTGCACCAATGAAGGCCGGCACGTCACACTAGGTGGTGGGTTGGCCAACACCCATACACACACTCACCTATACCCACTCACCTATTGTTTACAATCGCTCGTTCGTTAGTTGGCGTACCGGCTAATTGGGGGAAGTATTGTTCACGAGCACTCGTGAGAACCGGGACGGCCACAAGCGCGCCTTGCCGCCTTCGTCTCCCCAGCTGTGATGCTTGCACACCTTACTAGCTACTCATTTGAGGCTGGGTCGACCTAGGGGAGACCCATGTATTTGTCACCGATGATGGCCGTGAGCGGGATTCGAACGTCGCGGTGGCTATGAGATGTTAACTACCTCGCCTGGTACGCAGGAGGTCGTGGGTTCGATCCCGACCCTGACAATGCCTGCTGCTGTATATTTGGAGCCTGCGTGTCTCATCATCATCATCACGGTGGCTATGAGATGTTAACTACCTCGCCTGGTGTGCAGGAGGTCGTGGGTTCGATCCCGACCCTGACGCCTGCTGCTGTATATTTGGAGTTTGCGTGTCTCTCTCCCCGTGGCCGCATGGATTTTTGTTCCAGGTCCTCCGTTTTTTCCCCTCCACATTTAGAACCAACGTCACGCGTTTAGACTGTTTAGATCATTATTATTTAGCTGCTAGAAATGTCCACGTGATAAGCCACTTCGTTGACCTATCAGGTGTGTCGCTTATGAAAAATAACTCATAGCTCAGCTTTTCCTGGTGAAATAAAACAATAGTTCAGTTTTAGTTTATAGTTATTTGCTATACTGTTTATTGTTGTAACGTGCTGACGTGCTGGACATCTGTGAAAAAGAGCTTCATAGCTCATCGGATTCCTCCAGGATAAATAAAGATTCGGATTCTGAACTCGGGTCGCCGCGTCCGTAACGCAGCGCGCTGACCGCGACACTTCACGCACACAAGACAAAGACCGACACGGCACACGAGGAGGTGGGTGGTCAGCACCACGCCCGACCGCCTTTGTCTCCCTAGTGGCGATGTTTACACACCGCACCAGGTACTCATTTGAGGCTGAGTCGACCTAGGGGAGGCCCGGGACCGGTTCAGATAATCGCCACCGGTGTTTGCCGTGAGCGGGAATCGAACCCGGGTCGCCAGGTTCATAGCGCAGCGCGCTAACCAGTACACTACCGCTTTAATACACGAACTCATGCACACACACGTACATACACACTCTCTAACTCTTACACGTACACACACACTCGAACACACACATACACTCTCATACACAGACAAACACGCGTACGCTGGTAATTCATGCACGTGAATTGCTCTTGTGGCAGCGAGAGCTCTGGAAAGACAAGAGACTCGCATATCATTTTAGTTTATCAATGTCCCTTTGTCCGCATATTTTGTGGTCGGGGCGTCCAACCTGCCGAGACGCATTGTTCATAAACACGGGGCATGAACAACAACAGCAAGACAAACAACAACAACGTGGAACAACATCTGAAAAGAGCGCTCAGAATCACGGACAGTCCCATGCTTAGGGCAATATTAATACTACATTTATTGCATTACATAATGAGCGTGATACATGTAAACTTGACAGACACAGTGTCCGCGCATCGTTCTCGTAGAGAGCGAGGGGGGGGGGGAAGACTCGGGAGGGAGACAGAGAGGGGGGAGACTCAGGAGAGAGACAGAGAGGGGGAGACTCAGGAGAGAGACAGAGAGGGGGAGACTCAGGAGAGAGACAGAGACAGAGAGGGGGAGACTCAGGGGAGAGACAGAGACAGAGAGGGGAGACTCAGGAGAGAGACAGAGAGGGGGAGACTCAGGAGAGAGACAGAGACAGAGAGAGGGAAGACTCAGGAGAGAGACAGAGAGGGGGAGACTCAGGAGAGAGACAGAGAGGGGGAGACTCAGGGGAGAGACAGAGACAGAGAGGGAGAGACTCAGGGGAGAGAGAGAGACAGAGAGGGGGAGACTCAGGGGAGAGACAGAGACAGAGAGGGGGAGACTCAGGGGAGAGACAGAGACAGAGAGGGGGAGACTCAGGAGAGAGACAGAGAGAGGGAGACTCAGGGGAGAGACAGAGAGGGGGAGACTCAGGAGAGAGACAGAGACAGAGAGGGGGAGACTCAGGGGAGAGACAGAGACAGAGAGGGGAGACTCAGGAGAGAGACAGAGACAGAGAGAGGGAAGACTCAGGAGAGAGACAGAGAGGGGGGAGACTCAGGAGAGAGACAGAGAGGGGGAGACTCAGGGGAGAGACAGAGAGGGGGAGACTCAGGGGAGAGAGAGACAGAGAGGGGGAGACTCAGGGGAGAGACAGAGACAGAGAGGGGAGACTCAGGAGAGAGACACAGACAGGGAGGGGGAGACTCAGGGGAGAGACAGAGAGGGGAAGACTCAGGGGAGAGACAGATAGAGGGGAGACTCAGGAGAGAGACAGAGAGGGGGAGACTCAGGGGAGAGACAGAGACAGAGAGGGGGAGACTCAGGAGAGAGACAGAGAGGGGGAGACTCAGGGGAGAGACAGAGAGGGGGAGACTCAGGAGAGAAACAGAGACAGAGAGGGGGAGACTCAGGAGAGAGACAGAGAGGGGGGGACTCAGGGGAGAGACAGACAGAGAGGGGGAGACTCAGGAGAGAGACAGAGAGGGGGAGACTCAGGAGAGAGACAGAGAAACCACCACAAACCCACCACCACAAACCCACCACCACCAACCCACCACCCACCACCACCAACCCACCACGCTCACTCAATCCCAACTTTAAAAAAAAAATTAGCCAATCGATTCTCGAGAAAGGAAATCAACTCCGTAGATTCGAAGCCGTCGAATCGAGTCGCGCGCCCTCTATTGGTCCACTCGCTTCTTCGGGGTCGATGTCCCGTGGCGCCAAGCCAACGTAACAGTTTACGTTGAACTATAACACCGTCTTTGCAGCGATGTGTCGGAGCAATACTGCGCGTTACCAAACCGTTACACAACGTTGGAAGTTTAAAAAAATGTACACGAAATTTGCTCGCCCAGATTCGTAATATTCGCCGTGAAGGTGGTGTTGTTTTATTCGCTTTAAATTGACCATTGTTGTTGTGGCAACAACAATGGTCAATAGCGACATCCGCAGCGTTCACCTGTGATTGAAGATGTGTGAATGTTTGCTGTTTTCTGCGCGGCGTGCGGGCTTAAATGCTCGCGCGTGTTGCGTGCAGCCGCCGCGTGAAACCCAAGAATCCCGGCGCGAAGGCAGGGGGTGTGTCTGTCACGTGGCCGCGTTCTGCATTGCGATTGGTGAAGAGCGGTGGGGGCGGGGCCAACCGGGGTGTCCCCGAACTGGGTGACAGTGACTGGGATGATGAATGGGGTGGGTGACCGAGTGGGTGAAGGGCCGTCCATAAATGACGTCACGCGATTTTGGACGATTTTTGACCCTCGTCACACGGCGTCACAAAAAGTCAGACCCCCCCTCAAATATGACGTCACAAAGCTCTGCCCCCCCCCCCCCCCCAAAAATATATATAGAACACATGCTTCAAATCGCTTTAAACTATTGTCATTGTAGTGCGTATTTAGTGTGGCGCTGCACTCGGATGTTGTAGGAGAAAACATTTATTAAAAAGTCTATTTAATCAAGTAGAACGTGTTGTTATTTAATGTTGCGCATTTTTGATGTGACGTCACATTTCTCAAACCCCCCCCCCTCGTCACACATCGTCATAAATGTCTGACCCCCCCCCCCCCCCCAGGTGCGTGACGTCATTATGGACGGCCTCTGAGTTACTGAGTGAGTGACTATGTTGGTGGATGCCTGAGTGGGTGGGTGACTGAGTGAGTGAGTGACTGAGTGCGTGAGTGACTGAGTGGGTGAGTGACTGATTGGGTGAGTCAGTGACTGAGATGATAAGTGGGTGGGTGACTGAGATGAGTGGGTGGGTGACTAAGAGGATGAGTGGGTGGGCGAGCATCTCAGTGGGTGACTGAGTGGGTGGTCGAGTAGGTAGATGAGTGCAGGTGAGGCAGTATGTGGGTGAATGCGTCAGTAAATGGGTGAGTGAGTAGGTAGGTGAGTGATTTAATGGACGAGCAGCGGTGGTTATTTAATGACAGCTCTGTGCCACGTTTCTCATTCCTGAGCGGGTAAAATCATTGCAAGAGCCTAACTGCGCAACAACCTTCACGGTTCAGTCCTCCGACCCTGCCAGGGACGTCGTTTTAACGAATCCGTTTTAAGGTCGCTTCACCTCCCTCTCGCCTGGACCACGTCAACACATGTTCCTATCACTCAGACCACCCACTAACACCTACAACAGCATAGTCACCTACAACCCTTCCCCTCGCGTCTGATGTCCCTCAATTTACCCCATATCGGACCAAACTCCCCATAGCCTCTCCCCTCACCCCCATTATCTCCATGCTTCATCAGAATCCCTTCTCTCACCTCCTTCAGAAGTGCTTCGCGGTACAGCCCCACAACACATCGGAGCGCTGCATTGCATAACTCACATGAATCACAAATAATTATCAATGACCATGCGCAAGATACGATCCGTGTATCTTGATACGATACAAATCCGAGTCCAAGTGACGAATCGTCAAATGGCAAATTGATAGAGACAATTGCTCTCGTCCCTGTCCGAATAAAATGCTACAATCATCACACATTGACCCTCCATCGGCTAATTTTGATGACAGTTTTAGCGATATTTTAGCCCAATTTCGCCACCCAATGGCAATGAGTCTCGATGTCAGCCAATTGGAAGGGAACACCCTGGCCTTGATCCATCGGCAGGTGGAACGGGGGGTGGGCGTGTTGTGGAAATGGGGAGGAGCCCGAATCATGAATGCAGCAGCAACGCTGGTGGCACTTTCGAGTAGGGAGATTTCTCTGTTTACCGCAATTTCCCCTCCTGCTTTTGAAGCCCCGCACTCCCATTCTGTCCGAGGAGAAAATCAGCATGCAACATTTGACAACGGCGAGGCGAGGGCAAAAATCTCGCCGTATATCCTTCAACAAACTCTTGGGGTTAAAAGTTGTGTTAGCGAGCACCTATTAACGTCGACTCGCCACATGGAGGGGGGTCACCAGTACCACGCCCGGCCGACTTTGTCTCCCCAATCCTGAAGATCGTACAGGGTACTCATTTAAGGCTAAGTCGACCGAGAGGGGACCCAGGACCGGCTCAGACATTCGTCACCGATATTGCCCGCGAGCAGGAAATGACATCGGGGCGAACAGTTTTTGTAGTGCAGAGCGCGAACCACCGCACGGCCGCTCCCCACATCGCACGCACGCGCGCCGTGCGCTCCAGCGTAAAAGCTATGGAACCGTGAGCAGCTGCTATTGCATAACTCGGGTGAATGGCACGGCACTGACTTGAGGGAGGTTTGATGGATCACGCTTCGCGAATGGAGGCGGTGTGGCCAGTTGGTTGCTACCAAATGTGTCGCGTGGTTTGTGTAATATGTTTGCTGTGATCAATGTGGAGGTCGTTTATCCGAGCCCATTTGCGCTGCATGCATTTTAAAATGTAGCTTGGATTCAACGTTGATTCGTGTTTGTGATATATGTCGATTCCTCTCGTGATGCAGTGTTCTTTTTTTGTGCCGACTGCTTTACTTTATTGCTGTATTGTACTTGGTTTTAGCTTTTTGTCATGTTGGTGACGCAGGTCACGTTTGCAAACGAGACTCATCCTGGTCTCTTTGAGTTCTCGCCTGGTTAAAGGACATTCGCTGAATGCTGGACATTTGTGAAAAAGAGTTGCATAACGCATCGGATTGTTTTGGTGATTTCGAAAAGTTTTTTGGTTTGGCCATGTTTGTTTGTTGTAGTACGGAGTTAGACTGATGGCCTTAATCTAAGTTGTCTCGTGGTTGTTTGACTTGCATCCCACTGGGATGTTTGCACACAGCGTTGGTGTATGGTGCTTTTTCATGAATCTTTTGCTGTTTTTTCCTGGATTTTCCGTTTGCACAGTCACATAGTCACCTTAAGATGTTTTCTTGTTCATGTTTTTGTTTTTTGTTTGTTGCGGTTGCACCCGATTCAAGAGCCGAATGGCTCACAGGGCTACACCAAATAAATGAAACTGGAAACTGGATTCCTCCAGTCTAAATAATGATTCTGATAAAGATTATAAAAGAAAAGAAACTCTAACTTGAACTGGAAATATATGCGTGGCTTTGTGAGTTCCAACTGAGGAGACATGAAGGAGCTAGCGATGATGATGAAAAGGGCGAGGCTGTGGTCATCTGAGTGAGTGACATGTATTGTAAGAGTAGCTGGAAGGTGGCTCAGATGTAATGCCATGGATTTTCAACAAGGACGTTTAAATCACCAGCAGTGGTGAGTGGAGAGGAGAGACCCAAGGTCAAGGTGACATCAAAAAGACACCATGACACCTCTTATTGATTTACATTTCGGTATGTGCGGTAAACCGGTAACCGATTATTACCAGACGTTTTCACGCGATTACCGAGAATTACAAAAAGACGACACGCCTACTGTATGACAAAGCCTAAGATCCCCCACATAGCCTTTAGCAGACTATTAGGGAACACGATGGGGATGGGTGGCCAGCACCAAACACGCCCGCCAAAGTTCTACTCTCACGCACAGTGAAACAACGTACATTACGTACCGTACACAACAACAACGATCCCCGTATAGCCTTAAACAGACTTTAGGGGGCAAGTGCTGTTAGCGAGCACCTATGAAGGCCGGCACGGCACACGATGAGGTGGGTGGCCAACACCAGGCACGGCCGCATTTGTTTCCCCGGTGGTGATGTTTACACACCGAACCAGGTACTCAGTTGAGGCTGAGTCGACTTAGGGGAGGCCCATGACCGGTTCAGATAATCATCACTCGTGTTGGCTAAATCTTGACTTAAAGCTTTCGTGGCTGCAGGAATTTATATTCTTTGGCTCTTTCGGTAAAGTCACGTAGATAGAAAACATAATAATAATATATATATATTTTAAATAAAGTGAATAATTTTTATATTCACTTTATTTTCATTGTTTTTATTATGTTATTGTTATTCTTTTTTCTATCTACGTGACTTTATCGAAAGACCCAAAGAATATGGTGTTTGCTAGCCGGGTTCGTAGCGCAGCGCGCTAACCACTGTGCCACCGCCCACCACATCCACTTTATACACTCACTCACACATTGCCCATAACCGCATCACTCGGAATGCGCTCGATCCAGTCAAACCTCGGGAGCTCAGAAGGTTGAGCCTGGATAGTGCTTGGATGGGAGACCACCTGGTATGAAAAGAGGTGGAGCTCGCACTGACCAGCGTGGTGAATGAAGTAGGGTCAAATAACCCAGCAGGGCGTGATGAGGCCGTCATGCGGCTGTGGATTGACAAACGGGCTGTAGGTGTACATATTTTCATAAAATATTTGTGGGTGATAGCGCGTAAAAAGAATTGTGTCGTACACCGTCCTCCACCCGACAGAGCCGATTAATAACGTCGCGTAAAAAAAACGTGCCAAAGTTACTACTGCTTCAGCACACCGCTGCGTTTAAGTGAGCAATCCACAACAACATTTCACTGCACGTGCGTGTACGTGCACACGCATGACATTGAACACTCACACAGATACACGAGCTTATTCACCCATTCACACCTGTGTGTGTGTGTGTGTGCACGCGCGCGTGGATTGATGTTGCATGGAAACTTACAAGTCCGCTGGTGGTGCCCTGTGTTTTTGTCTTTGAAGGATGCAGTTGGGGGGGGGGGGGTTGTGATGAGGGGTCCAATTAGCCCCCCCTCCCTCCACAATGTTAATCAAGGACGAGGGTGGCGGCACGGGAGCTTCTTTCCACTCGCGAGGGAGCGCGCGAGGCGAACACTGGGGCCCTAACTCAAGTCTCTGGGTACACGACACTGCGCGCTCTGCGTGTACGTATGGCGCAAGCACACACACGCGCGCGTGTACACTATTATCTTTACATACCCACTGTCGCATGTACTGAACATATGCCCGCGTATGCAAAGATAAAGGCAAAGATTCCCCGTGTAACAGACTGGTGGGGCAAGTGCTGTTAGCGCGCGCGCACACACACACACGCAGATAGTGCGTGTACATATACAATCGCACACACACACACATGCAGATAGTGCGTGTACATATACAATCGCACACACACACGCAGATAGTGCGTGTACATATACAATCGCACACACACACACACATGCAGATAGTGCGTGTACATATACAATCGCACACACACACACATGCAGATAGTGCGTGTACATATACAATCGCACACACACACGTACTGCGGGGCAGT